AGTAAGCAGAGGAGCATCCATAACAAGAGTTATGGATGATAAATTCAAGAGAGTTAACAGGGTATCAGATTAAGTAGAGTTATTTAAGCCTTTTTTATGACTCTGATTTTACTCTGAATGAAATGAAAAGCCTTTGGAGGTATGATATTTGATTTGTGTATAAGAGTATCAATCTGCTGACTTGTGCTTTGAGCAGACATAGAGGGACAAGAGTTGAAGAGTTAAGAGGCTGTTGCTATATCCAGGAACAAGATGATGGTAGTGGCATGGCCCAGGGTTGGAGTAGCTGAGATGATGAGAGAATGCAGATTCTGGGTATAATAAGACAGAGTTAACAGGATTTCTGTATGGATTGGATATGAGAGATGAGATTGCCAAAGGAGCAGACAGAGAAGAAAAGGGAACCAAAAACTAACTCCTAGAACATTCCACATGTAAATAGTTGAGGAAAAATCAACAAGGGAGAGTGAAAATAGAGCACTAGGTATGTAGGATTAAAAAGGGGGGGGGTATGATGTCCTAGAACTTAGATACAAATTATATCAATGAAAAAGGGGTAATCAAATGTGTCAAGTGTTGCTAATAGTTCAAGTTATGTAAGACTGAGAAGGGACCACTAGATTTAACATTTTGTATATCACTGGAGAAGGGCTGAAAGGTCTGATTTACACAGGATCAAGAGAGAACAGGAGAGGAGGATCTAATAATAGCATGAATAGATAACCATTTTGAGGAGAACTGCTACAAAAGGAAAGAAAAATATAGGGTAGTAACTTATGAGAAAATGGAGAACTTTTTTAATAGTTAAGCGAAATAAATACATGCTTTCATGCTGATAGGAATGATCCAATAAACATGAAAAATATGTAAAAGACAGAGGAAAGAACTGTTGAATTGGTATTCTTGAGTAGACTAGAGTGGGTAACATCTAGTTAATAAAAAAAAAGAAATCAAAAGATGGGCTTTAGATAGGAGCTCATCTTTGGTAAGAGTACGGAAGAGGCAAGTACACATTCTAATAGGTGAGTATAGTGATGGAAATCTGTAGAGGTTCTCCTTGTTACAGTTTCTCAGTTCAGTCAGACAGAAGGTCATCACCTGAGGTGGGAGAGGTAGGAGGTTTGCAAGAAGGGGAAGGTATGAAATGATAGTCTAGGAGAATATAGAAGAACTGGGGGAATAATGCATAGTGTCTTTGGTAGTCAGAATTAAGGTCTCATTTGAGGTTTGTGCTCATGAACTTAACCCAAAAAGCATACTTATATGTTTTCTCAAAGCTGTAATTCAATCACTGAGTAGGTGGCAAGTTGTGTTTGACCAGTGTTATGGTTGCTAAGCAAGTACAGTGAAGGTACACAGGGGCAGATTACCAGGGGATGATATCCAGGGGGTGAAGGATTGTGAAATGATGGCACAATCAATGAATTGGAGATCCCAGTGGATTTGAAGTATTGTTTACACCAGAATTCTAGAAGGACTGAAATAGAAAAATAGGTCATAGGGTGAAATGCATGTAACTGAGATCATGGGGTGGGGATGGGGGTGAAAATTAGCACTTGGATACAATGAAGAAAGAGTGACTGAGATGGAGATGATAAGATCAGTGGAGGAAGTAAATTCAAGGAACTGAGAGGCTAGGGTGACGGGCATCATATATTTATATACTGAAATCAGCAAGAATTGACACAGGGGTACTGTTAGAGGGACAAGCAGTCAGGAGTGCAGACTTTTGAAAAACCAGAGGGACCTGGGTGGATGTAAAGAGAGGCAAAAAAACAAAACAAAAAAACCCCAGAAAACAGAAAACCCAGCAACACTGAGGTAATAATGATATAACCTACTGGCATGAGATACAAGCTGGATGGTTTTAGGGAGCAGAGACAGAGAACAATTTGAAATTGGCAGAGGACCAAGGGGACCTTCTACCTCACCTCCAGGTCAAATGCTATTTGAGAACTGGGAGAAAAAACAGCAACCATTCAGAGAGTGCTGCAGGAGAAGCAGGGTCCATAGACGGAATTATGTTTACATCTGTGAAGATGAAGGGAAAGTTCAAAGAGGAAGGTGAGAAAGAATCCTGCTAACAATGGAAAGTTGGGGAAGGGTGGATGAAAGGGGCCAAATAAAGGTAGGCGTGAGGGATCCCTGGGTGGTGCAGCGGTTTAGCGTCTGCCTTTGGCCCAGGGCGTGATCCTGGGGACCTGGGATCGAATCCCACGTTGGGCTCCCGGTGCATGGAGCCTGCTTCTCCCTCTCCCTATGTCTCTGCCTCTCTCTCTCTCTCTCTCTCTGTGTGTGACTATCATAAGTAAATAAATAAAGGTAGGAGTGAGTCACTTGAGAAATGGGGTTTCTGGTATCCCCTGCTGTGAAATAATAGACACTATATATGTTGGTCTCTGCCCCTAATTCCTAGCACACTGCTCCTACAAGCTTTGTAATTTCCTAAATAATAAGAGTGCTGGGGGCACCTTTCATTCCAATATTTGGTTTTTGATTCTGGTTTCTGACCTAGAACTCAAATCTCAGAATTTCCTGGATGATCAGAGTGTCTTTTGTTCTAATGAGGTGACTTTAGGTGGGTTCCTGAAAGAACCAGAAAGATCAAGCCATGGTTAGAAGCTTGGAACTTTAAGCACCTTCCTCCCTATGCTCCAGGAAGGGGAGAGGGGCTGGATATTGAGCTAATAATCGATCATGTCTACATGATGAAGCTTTCATAAAAATTCCAAAAGTACAGGATTAGAAAAGCTTCCAAATTGGCGAACACATCCACATACTGGGAGGACAGCACACCCCAACTCCACAAGCTCCTGTGCTCTGGATCCTTGCAGACCTTGCTTTATGTACCTCTTCATCTGGCTGTTCATCTGTATCTTTTATGATATCCTATATTATATAGTAAACTGGTAAATGTAAGTTACTATTTCCCTGAGTTCTGTGAGCCATTCTAGCAAATGATAGAATCCAAGGAGAAAGCTCATGAGAACCTCTGATTTGTAGCCAAGTTAGAAGTTTGAGTAGCCTGGGGACCTACTACTTTGGATTGACATCTGAAGTAGTGGTGAGGAGAGTCTTTTGGGAGCCTTTAACCCATGGGATCTGTGCTAACTCCTGGTACTGTTAGAACTGAATTGTAGGACACCCAACTGGTGTTGCAAAGAATTGCTTGGAAAAAATCATTGATGTGGGAAAAAAAATCCACCCATTTGGTGTCTGAAGTGTTGTATGGTAATAATGTGAGAACTAATGAGAAACACACAAGAGTGTTTTTATTGTTCAAAACAGATGTCAGATGAACTGGCATAAATAACAACAACAAAAGGGCAGAATGAAATTAGTCCTGGCAAATTCAAATCAGGTAAGTGGACATGATGAGAGTGTGTGGGACGCAGGGCTGGCTGTATAAGATAGAGGAAAGGAGATGTCAGAAAGCAGGATGTTGGCAGCCTGTGAAACTCATGTATCCCTCTTACAATGGAGGGACAATGCCTAGGGTTTGGTCCCAGGGCATGGATCTAGTCTTGACCCTATTGAGAGAGAAGAAAGCTGACTCCAAGAGTTGGGCTCAGTCTTGATACCTGCTGAAGAAATTAAGACTTCTAGAAAAGCCAGAAGGAATCTTTGACCACCACATTCTATGTCTAAAAATTAGAGTAATAAAATGTATCCCTACAAAATTTAGCCCAGGGTGGTCTAACAATGGGAAGCCCAACAACTGTCAGTTAAAAAGATATTCCACCCTTCTCTTGTGCAGAGGTGCAGTCTGTTTTCCTCTAGTCCCAAAAGAACTAGTTTGAAAGATAGTTAATTTTATCATAGACATTTAAAAGCAAACTATTGATGGGATTATAAGGAATTTAGTACAATGTTCTAGTGAAATAAAATTACACTCTAGGTAAAGCAATGAAGCCAAGTTGATCCGTTAGTAGGTACAATAACTTTCACTACAGGAGGACCCCAGTAGTGTCAGTAGTTATCTATCCACCCCCCATCCATCTATCTAGCCATCCAAATTTACTAAGCATCTGTGCTCCAGACACTGCAGAGAGTGTTGGTAAGGAAACTAGTTATGATCTCCATCTTCATGTTTACAGTCTAGTGAGGAAGAAAATCAGTGATCAAGATATTGTATATATGATGAATGCCACAAGGTCAGAGTTTTCCAGAAGAATATAACGAGTGGACCTATCTTTTACCATTTGCCAAAAGATTATCTGAAGCCAATTTTTCACATCCTAAAGGACTGATAAGCTCATTTCTAGAATGATTCCATTGTGAGAAACACAAGGGCCAGAACAGAAGAGTGATATAGCTACAACACAAGGGAAACCTGACAGTCCCAACTTCTTAAGCAAGATCTTTGACATTCACTGTTTTAGGGTATGGTGTCCTCTGTATCCCCTTCCCAGAACTCAGGCTCAGGTTCATCAAAAAGTAGAATCTCAGTATCATCTAGGAAGACTGAATTGTGCCACAGCTTTTCTTTCTTTCTTTCTTTTTTTTTTTTCCAGCAATGGGATTGCATTTCTCCACAACTGAAGCTTAGAAAGAACCACATATATAGCTGCTGTTCTAGAAGCTGAAGTGTGCAGCTCAGGGCATGCCCTTGCTTTCCCAATCTATAAGATAGATTTCTGAACACTCCCAGGGAGCAACAGTGAGGCATGACCTGTAAGCTTGGCTCCAGCTGTACAAAGGTTTGCTGAGACATAATTTTCCTTCTACCTAGTGAGGTCAGTAGCCAGTTCATGTATAGATGAATAAAGTCCACTTTAGATATGCACAGAGAAAGTTTAACTTGCTCTTTTTTCACTTCATCTGGTTAGCTACTTTATGGCTCATTCTAAGCTTTATCTCATGATTCTTCATAGAATCATCCCAAAACATCCATTGGCTATTATGCCATTTTCATTTTGCCATTTTGTATCATTGTATGCTAGTACTCCAAAACCACATTATAATATGTTAAGTCCACGTGATTTAAAACATATACTCACTGCTGCTTGGTGGCAAAAATAATCCATTGATATTGCGAGGTTTGCTGTGATAAAAGATACAACTGATCTTCACACAACCAAGAGGCTGAGTTTCCCAGAAGCATGAAATGCTGCAGTTTTGCTAGACAAAAGAGGTGAAGGAAACGTAATGATCAAATGCCATATTCAAAATAAATACAATGCACTATAATACAACACAGTGTGACAAAACTATCTCAGTTACTGATTTAGGATCATCTATGTTTCCTGAGTTTTAGTATTTATAGACTCTGCTATTTAAAAGACACAATAGGTATTTCTAAAATATACTCCTCCCTTTTTATAAGAATTTTATAAGTAGCATGCAAAATGCCTAAAATTAAGTAGTGGAAGAAAGAATCATTTTTTTCCACTATTGTGTTGTAAGAGTAGAGTTCAATATTATCTAAGGGAGAGGTTTTTAACAAACATGATGATGGCAAGTAATTCTACCTGCATTTCCATGTGTCTAAATCTGCAAAGTGGATCTAAACATTTTCCCTCTCTCCATAATGAGCACACAGTGTCACTGCCAAGAGCCTCTTCACAGTGTCGGAATCGGCACTGGGAACCCTGTAAGAAAAAAAAAAACAACACTATAGAAAATTGAACATACCAACATTAATGTTCAACAACAGTAGGTTGCTAATTAAAGAAAATATGACTAGATCAACTTAGAATCACAAAAAAATGCTACAAAATAAGGTCATAAGTCTAAATTTTAGTAAATTTGTTTAATTTTAGTGAGAGATTGGCAATGTAACCTAATGATTGAATAGTACAACATGGCCACAAGTCACCAATAAAATGCTACTCTTTGGTATCAGTTAATCTGTATGATTCACTAAGAATAAACATATGAGAACAGGAATGCTTTTGATCACAATCCATTGATGAAACAATTTAATTTCTCTTTCTGGAAAAAGTCAGTTTTTTTGTTTTGTTTTCTTTTAAGAATCGCAGGTCATAATCAAATGGTAGAGATTATCTCTATTAATATTTATTAGATAATGTTTTCTTAGTCTATGGAGATACTGTTAAGTGTGTTTTTATAGGGAAAGTGAACAGAGCTTAAAGTTCATATTATTGTGGAGTTCTAAGTAATTAGCTCACTATGCTACATTAAATGTGTATTCTTAGGAGAACACAGGCAACATCCTTTTTGAAGTCGGCCACAGTAACTTCTTGCAAGATACATCCATGAAGGCAAAAGAAACAAAAGCAAAAATGAACTATTGGGACTTCATCAAGATAAGAAGCTTCTGCACAGCAAAGGATACAGTCAACAAAACTAAAAGCAACCTACAGAATGGGAGAAGATAGTTGCAAATGACGTATCAGATAAAGGGCTAGTTTCCAAGATCTATAAAGAACTTCTTAAACTCAACACCAAAGAAACAAACAATCCAATCATGAAATGGGCAAAAGACATGAACAGAAATCTCACAGAGGAAGACATAGACATGGCCAACATGCACATGAGAAAATGCTCTGCATCACTTGCCATCAGGGAAATACAAATCAAAACCACAATGAGATACCACCTCACACCAGTGAGAATGGGGAACATTAACAAGGCAGGAAACCACAAATGTTGGAGAGGATGTGGAGAAAAGGGAACCCTCTTCCACTGTTGGTGGGAATGTGAAGTGGTGCAGCCACTCTGGAAAACTGTGTGGAGGTTCCTCAAAGAGTTAAAAATAGAACTGCCCTACGACCCAGCAATTGCACTGTTGGGGATTTACCCCAAAAATTCAGATGCAATGAAACACTGGGACACCTGCACCCTGATGTTTCTAGCAGCAATGTCCACAATAGCCAAACTGTGGAAGGAGCCTCGGTGTCCATCGAAAGATGAATGGATAAAGAAGATGTGGTTTATGTATACAATGGAATATTACTCAGCCATTAGAAACGACAAATACCCACCATTTGCTTCAACGTGGATGGAACTGGAGGGTATTATGCTGAGTGAAATAAGTCAATCAGAGAAGGACAAACATTATATGGTCTCATTCATTTGGGGAATATAAAAAATAGTGAAAGGGAATAAAGGGGAAAGGAGAAAAAATGAGTGGGAAATATCAGAAAGGAAGATAGAACATGAAAGACTCCTAACTCTGGGAAAGAAACTAGGGGTGGTGGAAGGGAAGGTGGGCAAGGGTTGGGGGTGACTGGGTGGCAGGCACTGAGGTGGGCACTTGACGGGATGAGCACTGGGTGTTATTCTGTATGTTGAAAAATTGAACACCAATAAAAAATAAATTTATTAAAAAAATAAAAATAAAAATTCTAAAAAAAACAAAAAAAATGTGTATTCTTTATGCCCTTGGTCTACAAAGATAAACAATTGTGCCAATACATCTATACATGCACAGCCCCATCTTTATATACCTTTATTTATCAACAAAAGTAAATGTGGTTTATTTTAATAGGCTGCTATTACTTCTTTTTTTTTTAAATTCTCTTTAACACATAGGCCCACACTTGGAAAAACTGCAGGTCATTGTCTTTTTGACAGAGAGGTACGTGACATACAATAAAAATAATCCATGAAGTTCTGTTTTGACATGTTCCATATTTTTTTCTTACCTTTCTCACCCTCTTATGCCTGTCTTCACAATTTTCCCCTTTTAAAAGTGGATCTGTGGATGTTGTAGTACAAGATAGGGGACAGGGCTAGATAAACCAATATTTGAACTCTTGGTTCTGTTACCTGTCCATAGTTACAAAGTTAATTCACTCTTTACCCTGTCTGTGCTTCAGTATCCTCACAGATAAGATGCCCTCCTCAGAGATTGTAAAAATTATGTGCTGTAAAAATTATTGCAGATGCTATTATTATGTATTCATTTAATTATTTATTGATAATTTACCAGCCTGTGGTAGGTACTTTTGAGATACAGCTGTGAAACAGACAAAACTCTGCACACGTGGAATATAAATTCTATCATTACTTATCATCTCTAGGTTTAATCATAAAGGGACAGGTAAGTAAGTGGATCAAATTCTCATGGTCAAAGAGGCTGACTCCCTTCAGGTTTCCTAGCAGAGATAAAACACTTTAAATCAGACACATTGTATCTTTCATTCAGGCATGAACATGAATCTCCAAATTGCTACATTTATTTCGTTTCATTGAGATCCATTAATCCTACTCTCTTAAAGGTTTTTCTTTTTTGTTCCCCAGTTAACCTTATAAACTTGAATTCATACTTGGCTAATTTGTTTATAATATTTCTTTTCCTTTTTCCATGTTATCAAATATTTGCTGTTAGACTGTTTGACGGGAAAATTCAGTAACAGGTTAATGAATTTCAAATAGGGAATCAATTAGATTTATTAAACCAAACTTGATAGTGAGCTGAATTTAACTTTTTGAATCTACATGATTGGAATCACATTAACTATAACAATATGATGTATCATATAATGTTTCAATATGTTTCAGTATTAAAATATGTCTCAAGGAGCCATAACATAGGCAAAAGTGCCACACAAAGATAAAAAAAAATCCATTAACTGGAACCTATATGTAGTTTCAAACAAATCATAATTTTAATTTCCTCAGAGATTCAATATGTCAAAAATACATGATAAGCCTTTACTTCAGATTTTAAATATGTAAAGTATTTTGCAGGAAAATAGTAAATTTTGACTCAGCAATACAAATTATTGCCATATCTTCCCTCATTCTACTAAAAAGCTTAAGCATGTGAAGTACCATAAATTGTACAATATTTACCTTTATGCATGTGGAATTAAAAAAGAAATAGCAGTCATTCCCAACTTCTGCCATTTTCAACTCTCTTGCTGCTAATCCAATGTTTTTTTTTAATATAAGAATTGCAGGAATGCAAATAGAAGAACTATCAGAGTGTAAGGGGGAAAAAGAATTTCTTTTCCACAGTCTTTCAGGCTATCAGTAGTATTCCTTTAAAACTGACCTCCTGTTGACAGTATATCACACAATAGATAATTCTTAAAGAAATTTAAATTACAAGATACCTTCTCTAGCTTTGCAGAAATGTTGAAAGTGGTTGCTAGTAAGCACACAAACTCAAACTTCCAGAATTTTCCTCATTGTTACCTAATCCATTGTGTGCTCATCATAAATGACCTCACATGTAACGGTAGGCTAGCCTACCCTAGTAATTTCTGTATAGTATTTCTCTTCCTCAATTCAAGTATATTAACCAAATAGACTAGTAAAAATAAAATATTTTATCTTTTAATGTTCTTTTTTTTTTAAATCTTTTAATGTTCCGATTGACTCTGGGTCATAAGCTAGTTCATAATTTCATAGTTAAAAGTATTAAGTATTTCACAAATTAATAACTGTTTTCTAAACTCTCATTTCTATACATGGTTTGGAAACAAAACTAAAATTTTCTAATAAGTAGATATACTATCTATACTCCCAAGATAATAAGTAAAATTATTTAAATATGTACTCACTGCTATCCATTGAATTGGGGGAAAAAATCATTCAGATTGTGTCATTTTAATAGGTACCCGAAAATAACTGGACTATTTATTCATCTTGTAGCTATATTCCATTCATTTTTCATCCATCTTAAAAGGAGGAATAGCTTCTTCCTATAGCAGAAAGGTTCCAGAGTGTCTATAAATTTTGAGAATTTGTTGAAGACAAAGTGAAGTACTCTGATTCCCAGAAGAGACATTTCAATCAGTAGTTACTGAAGTCTTTCTTCATCTTAGTATCTTTAATAAAAGAACTAAAACCTAGCAGAAATCAATAAAATTATTCATAGGAGGTGACTTAAGAAGAAGCCATAGATATGACATATTACAGCAGATCAAAATGTATTTTTAAAATGCAATGTACTTTGAATTGGAAATTAAGAAGATAAAGGCATAGGGAGTCTCACTTTAGTTAAGTAAAACAGACTAATTGGTATGAACTTTTCAAATACTTTAAGGTAGAAATCCAGGAAATAAAATAAGGAAGTAAAGCTTAGAAAAAGAGTTGTTTGCCTGTAATTGTAAATAAGAGGAAAAAAAAAAAAAGAAATAGGCAATATTAAAAGTAAAGTGAAGAAGTAGAAAATAAAGATTTGGCTAAACCCTTGAAAATGTTAGCAAAGATATATATTATTTTTTAAAAACTTAATATCTTGCCTTCTGTTTTGTCCTACCTTCTAACTCTAGAACAACAATGTACTCATTTTAAGCACATAGGTTACTGAGAAAAACACCTCTAGGAAATATCTTTAAGTGGTCTTTGCTTCCAGATAAACCCTTTCTCTGCCTGTGAGCTTTTGGCTGCATGGATTATTTCTAAATACTGTTACCAAACACCATTATTGCATGATTACGTGTAACATCATGATTAAAGCCACTGTGAGAATCCCTATTTTTACATAGGGGAAAGGACGAAAAAAATGTTTTTACCTTTTGGAGTATGTTGGGAACAATTACATTCCATTAGACGCAGCAAAAACAGGTCAAACCAAAATGGAGATTTTTTTTTTTTTTTTTTTTTTTTTTTGTCATTGCAAAACACAGTAAATAGATCCTTACATTTTGTCAGTCTTTAGAATGCCTGGAGCCTTAATTTCTTCTTCCGTTTTTTCTTTTTTAAACAAAACTCTATTTTCTTTCCTTCCCTCTCCCTTCTCTTAGTCACGTCTTTCCTGTTGTAAAATTCATTCTAGTCTTTCAGGAAATGCTATCACCATACTCAGGAGGATTTTTACTCCCTGTAAAGAAGAAGGATGGGAAAGGTGCCTCCACAGCTGGGAGTAGGCCTGAGAATTCTCTAAGTATTTTGTGTTGGCCAAGGTAGACTCACACTGAGTGTTTTTCATCTTTGATTCAAACACATCAGTCAGAGAAGAAAGTCTTCCAATTTGTGATCCAATTACACCACTTTCAGTACAGGGGCCAGTAGTATCTCCTTGCTGGCTCTTCAGGTTTATGAGAATCAGGCAAAGCTGCGGGCTGCTACCTATTAGAATAGGAGCCCCATTTGTAATTGTGAGTTGGACCTGAGACTCTCCCCAGCCTTGGACTCCCTTGTCTCAGCCAAAGGCTTTGCTCTAGGCACTGATGAAATCAAAGCCCCGGAAATAGAGTGCTTCCTGAGGAATGGTTAGCCTTGCTACTACTATTCAAACAGCAAGTAGAATGTTTTGAAAGATGATCCCGTCTCAGAAATGACAGAATGTTGGACCTAGAAGATTCTGTGGCAGTTTGGGAAATGACAGTTGATAGTTGTGAGGGTTATTTAATTGTCGTTCCCTTGAGACCCGTGAAACAAGCTGCTTGTTGGGATTCCTCTGGAGGAACAGAAAATCACTGGTGCTTGACAACAAAACGCTAAGTGTCTCGTCCCAGTAGTTCACAGCGCCAGCATCAGGTGTTCTAGTCCCCCTGTCCCTCTTTAATATATAAATATATATTTGGACTTTTTGTGTTTTCCTAGGAGAAAAATACAGCAGAAGAGAAAGTAAATGAAATGGCAAATCTCTTCTTTCTCCTGTCTGGATCCGGCAATCAAAAAAACAGCACTTTTTTTTTTAAGGGATATTCTTTGGGAGCCCTTTTCTATATAGATGTCTTTTCCAAGGATGAAGTCATGACAATGCTGGACCCTATGGGAACTTACAGATAACACAGTTACGGAAATGAGACCTGGGTCTTGTGGAAGCAGGTGAAAATGGCAGTGGTCAGAACTCCCCTGCTGGAGGCTACTAGCCTCAGTGACAGGGAAAGGCTACTGTCACTAAATATTGCATATTTTATTCAGTCATTGGCTCTCTTATCACTTACCCTCCAATATTCGTGGGAGCAAGGAGTCCAACAAAGCTGTTGATGGACTAGCTCTGCAGTTGATGGGACTCACAACTCAAGCCATCTGGACCCTGGGGGAGCTCATAGTTAAGACAAAAGAGATTCCTATGGGAAAAAAAAAAAATCGAGATTGAAATCCGGTTTGGGATGGGACTGAGGCTAACTTTGGCACTCAGTAAAGAGCATCAGGAAAACCTCGACCATATTATGCAGCACGATGAGGGGTCATGAGAAGGGTGTTAGTGCGTGTGTGAGGACGGGGTGCCCGGTGTCTCATCTACAGCTCTGCTTGCACCCGGGAAACCCGTTTCCATCAGGCCTTGGGGTGGGGGGTGGAGGGGGGGTGTCTGAACATTTCTAAACGTCTACAGGAATTTATTACAGAGAACAGGCAATTAACTTTCTCCAGATTAGTGTGAAACCGCCATCTAAAAGAATTCATTACTTAAAACTTGATACTCTGTGATTTGCAGGATATACAGCATCGGTTTCCCATTGTGGTTAATCAAGCACACACACATACAACCCAACAACCGACCTCTGGGTTCAGGGTCATCACACCCCGGACCAAAGATCGCGAGAGTACGCACACGCGGTTTGGGGAAGGTGGTGGGTGGGTGGGTGGGCGGGGGCGGTACCTCGGCTCCCGCACTACAACTCCCAGAAGGCGCAGCGGTCAGTCAGTCAGTGAGGGGGCCGCTTCCGCGCATGCGTCTCCGCCCTCCATGCTTGGCGGCGGGAGGACGCGGTGGCGGGGTAGGGCGGCGCGTCCGGCTGTCGGGGACGCTTTCCTGGCCGCGGCGCCGTGTGGATGCGCGCTGTGCCTCGAGGCCCGGCTGGCGGGGCCCACCATGAGGCGCCTGGGGTCCGTGCAGCGGAAAATGCCGTGCGTGTTTGTGACGGAGGTGAAGGAGGAGCCCTCCGGCAAGAGGGAGCAGCAGGTACGGAGGGGCGCGGGCGGCGCCGCGGCTGCGCAGGCGCGTCGGGGCTCGGGGAGCGCCCTGCAGGCGGGGAGGTCCGAGCTCCCCAGCTGCAAGCCGGGGCATCTCCGAGGGAGCTTTTTCTGATAAGACGACTCGCACTTAGCATCGCATGGCAATCGAACACGCACATCTTAACGTTGATAGATATGCCTTTTTTTTTTTTTTAACCTACCACCTTTTTTGGGGGAGGAAGACCCCTTCCCTAACTATTCACCTAATCACCGCAGCCCAAACTTTACTGCTTTCCAAGAGCGTGGAGATTTTAGAAGACTCCTCGCCTTAACGGTTCTAAACAGGGAACTGGTGGCAGCTTGACCAGCTAGCCTAACTGGGTCCCTAAGGTGAGACCTCAGGTGGTGTTACTAGCGGTGGCCTGCTGGCTTCTCACTTTGCCGTCCCGTCCCTGGATGCTCAGGTCTCTGCCACCGGGTGTTTGTCACAGAGGGACCTCGGTAAATCACCTTGCTGGTGGATGATTGACCTGTATCAAGGTGATTCTTTCATGTGTAGCAAAGTCTTTGATAGAATACCTTGATAAGTTTTGGGTGGTTTTTTTTTAAGATTTTTATTTAATCATGAGAGAGAGAGAGAGAGAGGCAGAGACACAGGCAGAGGGAGAAGCAGGCTCCATGCAGGGAGCCCGACGTGGGACTCGACCCCTGGTCTCCAGGACCATGCCCTGGGTCCAAGGGCATTAAACCGCTGAGCCACCCAGGCTGCCCATGCTTCCAACTCTTGATGCAAAATTCATCATGTGCATTTGCATCCTGGGCATTCATCATAGGCCTACACACACACACACACGCACACACACACACACACACACACACACACGCCTCCTTACATCATTTGCATTGGCGTTCTTGTTTTCTAGACTAAAAGACCTATAAGGTGGAGATTGCCCTGGTATTTCTAGTCCCACTTTCTAGGACCTAATCTGTAGTAGGCACTGGAGAAATATTTGTTGAATTAAAGAATGAACCTCGGAGTCCTTTCATGCCAATTTTCCATTCACCTTGACACTTTTTACTGTTTTTATTTTTCTAAGGTTTATTTATTTATTTTAGAGACAGAACATGCAGACATGGTCCAGGCAGAGGGAGAGAGGCCTCAGACTCCTCACCGAGCGCAGAAACTGGTCCTGGGGCTCTTTCCCACAACCCATGAGGTCATGACCTGAGCCAAAACCAAGAGTGGCTCTCTCAACCAACTGAAGAAGGCAGCCAGGCGCCCCTTACCTGGACACTTTTTACTTTACAACATAACATTTCTAGTGCCACTGCTAGTTCTTAACAGTTTACGTGCTGCTTGTGCACTGCCTAGCTATTCTTGCCTACCACCCAGAATGATCATCATCATGTTCTTTCCTGGTCAAAACCCCACAGTTACTACTAACTGTAGCAGTAGTTGCCAAGCTTTTATTTATTTATTTATTTATTTATTTATTTATTTATTTATTTATTTATTTATTTATAGCCATGACAAACCTAAATATTGACATCCCAAATAGTGATTCACTCTAGCTGTGATTCTCAACTTTGTATGTTGGGCTGGGAGTGGGTAGTTTGTAAAAGCACCTTCCACCAGGAAAAATAAGCACCTGTTTTCCCCCTCTACAGTAGAGATTTACCGACAGTATTATTTATAGCATAATATTCAATTCATTAACCATAATTCAAGGCTTCCCACTAATCAGGCCCAGTCTACTCTTGAGGTACTGTTGGATGCATCATGAGTTGCCTGGGCTCAGTGCAGCAGAAGATATGTGTGTTGGCGACCAGTTGCCTATTTAAAGTGAAGTTCTGTCCTGTTTGAACAAAGTCTGCTTCATCCTGTGAACATACTGGGCACAGTCCTGTCTTTATTTTTTGCTTATGCTGTGCACTCTGCCTGGATTACTTCCAGAATTTTTAATTTTTTCAAATCAGACTTTCTCTATGAAATCTTTGATCATCTTAATTATCCCAGTGATCTCCTCTGTCTGGAAATTGGAGGACCATTCAGTTTATACTCGCTGTTACTTTTTAAACATGGGTACCTTGTTTTTCCAGTCGCAGTTTAAAGTCTTTAATGAGAAGAGTTCCGTGTATCCTTTGGTATCTTATATTGTCTTTTGAACCTGTTGATAGCAAAGTGGTAGAAAGTTGATTCTTCTAGAAGGAATGTTTGGAGCTCATCAAGAGCTCCATGGGCAGAGTAATCTCCCTAGGATCTTTGATAAATTTGGATGCACACCAACATGAGACCTTCGCTGCTCTACCACAGGACGCTGCTTTACCGCAGGTTAAACATACCCTCTGATACTAATTGTAGAAGTTAGTGTTAAATACCCAGTCATTATTTTATCTTAAAAATACTGAATCAGTAACCGAATGGTGCTGATTTCCTAAGTCTGCCTGACTCAGAAATAGTACTTCCATTTATTAGTCTTAAACCTGTACACGCCAGCATTGTGCGGTGCTTTTCACGTTAAGATGTTACTTCAGATAATTTACACTATAAAACAGTAGCCTGAGTCTTTCTCAGAAATAAAAATACATCACAGATAAAAAGTTGGTAGGAATTGTAGAAACTCTCTCTTCCTCCATGGAATGATGGCCTTGGCTTCTCTTCCTGACCGTAGAAAAACCGTAAATTATGCAGTTTACTACTGCTAAAGCTGAATGAGCCCCCATTTGTTATTCTCCTTACTATTTATTATACTTAACATTGTATTATGCATTTTGTTACTATTGTCTTGCTCATGAAAATGAAAGTTCCACCAAAGGCAGGTACTTTTTTCTTACCTGTATATTTCCTAGTCTCAAGGTTAGAAGGCATTTAGCAAGTATTGTGCCAGGTAAATGATTGAACACACTGTGCTCGGGAGACAGTGCTGCATAGCACATGGTTCCTGGTGTCCTCTCATGGTCAGTAAAGAAACGTGAACAATTACAGATCAGTGTGGGAAAACGGGTATTGCTACGATAGCAAAGAAGGGAGGGGGAAACTCATGAGAACTTGACAGAAGAAATATTTTTAGATTTTCTTGAAAGGTAAGCAGGAGATTGTACCTTAGAAGCAGTGAAATTAAGAATATTCCAAGTGAGAGTATATGTGAAGGCATAGAGGCTGTTTATCTTAAACCGATTTTCTTTCTCTCTTTTTTAAGCCATTTAAAGTTTTGGCAACTGAAACTCTAAGTCACAAGGCATTAGATGCAGATATATACAGTGCAATTCCAACAGAAAAAGTGGATGGAACATGTTGTTATATTACTACCTACAAAGGTAAAATAAAACTGTACTACAAATATTATTTAATCACTTTATGAACTATATATATCTGAAGTAGGACATTTACCCTTCATACACCCTTGGCAACCTAAGTGTAGGAGCAAAATGTAAAATCCCAGTTGTTATATTTATTTATCATATCACTGCATCTTTCTCTTGGGGGAGGAAAGGAAGGTAATTAACATTTACTTACTACTTATTAAGGGCAGGCAGTATGAGAAATGCTTTATACATGTCATCTCTAATTTGCACAGTAAGCCTCCATTTCATAGATGAGAAAACTGAGTCTCAGAGAACTTAAAGAATTTGTCCAAGACTATATAATTAATGAATGGCTGAACTGGTAACACAACCTATGTTTGATCCTAAAATATGCTCTTATGTCACTGTTTCCAGTACTGACTCCCAGTTTTTATTGCTGTTGGCAATATCTCTAATTTATTTCAATTTATGCACTTGAAGAGCTAGAAACTAAAATAGAAATTGTCACTTAAGGAAAAAAAATGCATCGAAAAGAGAGAAATAATCTTTGTGATTTCCTTTTACCTCGTAATTCCAGCAAGAGAAACAGAACAGTTAAATAAACGCAAATTAGACATATTCCTGGTATCAGGAAGTCTTTTCTGAAATGCATTTTTTTTCCATTTTGAATTGTGATTAAAATACACGTAACATAATTTACCATCTTACCCATCTTTATGTGTACAGCTCATCGTTGTGCTACGTCACCACCATATATCTCCAGAACTCTTCATCTTGCAAAATTGAAACTCAATACCCATTAAATAAATTACCATTCCCCCTTCTCCAGCCCTTGACAACCACCATTCTATTTTGTCTCTGTGGCTTTGGCTACTATAGGTACCTCCTTTATGTGGAATCCTACAGTATATGTCTTTATGACAAGCTTATTTCATTTAGCAGAGTGTCCTCATGTTCATTCCCTTCATTTTGAAGGCGGAGTAATGGTTCATGGTGTGTATATGCCACATTGTTTGTACACACCACATAACTTTATGTATATGCCACATACTTTCATGTCTATATGATTCATCCATAAGTGTACACTTGGGCTACTTCTGCCTTTTGGGTCTTGTAAATGATGCTGCCATAAATATGGTGAACAGATATCTCCTTGAGGCCCTGCTTTCAGTTCTTTGGCGGTATATATTCAGAAGTGGAATTGCTGGATCATATAGTAATTCTATTTTTAATTTTTTGAGGAACTGCCATACTGTTTTCCATAGCAGCTGATGATTCCCTGCCTACCAAAAGTGCACAAGGGTTCCAGTTTCCCCACCTCCTCATCAGCACTTCTAATTCTGTTTGACAGTAGCCATTTTAAAGGATATGAGTGAATTTTTGTATTTACGAGTAAAAAGAACAGAAGGTCCAGTCAACCAGAAATGACCATATAATTTTAATCTGGTTCTTCATATTATTTATTGGCACAGTTAATAAGGAATACTGAATGTCTGAACCAAACTATAATCAATTATTTTAAAATCTCATATACTTGAAGAAACTAAAAGATTTTTCAGGGTTTTACAATTATATTAAGAAACTTAAACATGCATCATTGTGTTTGATCATGTATAATAGTGGCAGATAAACATGACTGGATTGCTAAAAAAAAAAACTTACAGGATCCAAAACGACAGTGCTTGCAAATCCAGAGGTGATCACTGGTATAGGATAAACAGTATTAGCACCGGCATTAAACATACATCGCAGCAAAGGGTTGATGAGGCCAAGTGAAAGCGCCTTTTGTTACCCCATCTTCCCCCTCTTCACTCCTCCCAGCCCCCAAAGTCCTGGCAGGACACACTTTGTCAAATCAGGAATCACTGATGTATGCAGGGAACACCTTGGAAACAAAATCCAAAATGAAGTCTCAGCTGGGGATTTTTATATTCTGCTGGTCACGGAGACATCTTCCTGCTAAGTAACCAGCCTCAACAGCAGAGCCCTCCAGGAGTCTCACTGAGACCAGGTATAAGACTCACTAGTCTGACTGTTATCAATAAATAGTGCAGCACATTGCCCTGAAACTTCATGGATCCATGATAATGGATCATCACTAATAATCACTGTTTCATGCCTTGACCAGGGATCAGAGCCATGCAGAAAAACTCAGCCTAATTCCACATTTTTAGGAACTAACCCTCATAGCACAGTTATATTTCAGGAGAAATGTGAATACTGTTATCCAGATAGGTTTCCATTTAGTATAGAGATAGCTTTGGTTTCTCACAAATGCTCATTGCCAATAAAATGTGGCTGTGAATGTCCTTATGAAAAAGTCACATATTTACTTTTTACCTCATCCTCATCATTCTTTAACCAAAGACTTAAGTCTTACAGCATAAGGTACTGCTGGGTAAGATGTGTCTGTTAGAATTCATATTTATCTTTGTCTTGTAGGGTTGCTGCTTTTAGGGAAGATGACCCTGTTATATATTGAAAACCTTTCTACCGAAATGTCTTTCAAGATAAGTTTTATTGTTTGCTTCTTAAACTTTCTTTTCCCTTTTATTAGACTTTTTTTTTTTTTTTTTTTTTTTTTTTTTAGGTCAGCCATATCTTTGGGCTCGGCTAGATAGAAAACCTAACAAAGTAGCTGAGAAAAGATTTAAAAATTTTCTACATTCAAAACAAAACTCAAAAGGTTAGTGGGTCCTTTTCTTTTTTTCAGCTTTTTATGATTTAAATAACCTGCAATTTTTGACTTATTTCTTAAGTGGTAATATTTGTATACATTATATCTTTCTTACAGTTTAAGTACTGAGGGGAAAGAAGAAAATTGTAATTGAGTATCTTTGTACGTAAATAATATTCTTGAAAAATATTTTGTTTTCCTAACATTTTTATGACTCATAAAAATTGTTGATATTATAAAAACATGCACATTACCGGGGCACCTGGGTGGCTTAGTGGTTGAGCATCTGCCTTTGGCTCAGGTTGTGATCTCGGGGTCCTGGGATCGAGTCCTGCATCAGACTCCCAGCAGGGAGCCTGGTTCTCTTTCTCTGTGTCTCTCATGAATAAATATAATCTTAAAAAAGTTACATATTACTACATACATACTGTAATGAGCAACATGTTTTGGATTTGTTGCCTAAGAGACAAGTAGGTATTTTTATAAATCAGCCATAGAAATATCAAAGGGTTATCAGTATTTTTAATTAAAAATTAAAATGGCTGGGATCCCTGGGTGGCGCAGCGGTTTGGCGCCTGCCTTTGGCCCAGGGCGCGATCCTGGAGACCCGGGATCGAATCCCACATTGGACTCCTGGTGCATGGAGCCTGCTTCTCCCTCTGCCTATGTCTCTGCCTCTCTCTCTGACTATCATAAATTAAAAAAATAAAATAAAATAAAATAAAATGGCTAAATATTATATAAGCAGATACATACATTAATCTTTGTATATCCATTCATTCATTAATACATCTTTATAGTACATTAAAAATTCATCATTAATCTGTATATACTGGAACATTGGCTACTTTAGACTTCTGTCCAGTATTTACAGATAGTGGTAGGTTCGAAATTGAAAATTTTTTTTAAAAAGTATTTGACAGAGTAAGTGAACACAAGCAGGGGAGTGGCAGGCAGAGAGAGAGGGAGAAGCATGTTCCCCACCAAGCAGAGACCTTGATGTGGGGCTTGATCCCAGGTTCCCAGGGTCATGACCTGAGCTAAAGGCAGATGCTTAACCTACTGAGCCACCCAGGCGCCCCTAAAATTGAAAATCTAAAGTGTTAGTACTCTGAGAAGTGCAGTCACATCATGGTGATAATGGAGAATAATTATATAATACCTGATATTACGGGTATTATATAATACCTTATATTATGATATTATGTTCCCACTTTTAATTTGTTCATTCTTATATTTTTTAAAATATCACTATATATAAAATTATTTAACTCTTTTAGAATTTTTTTGGAATGTTGAGGAAGACTTCAAACCTGTTCCAGAGTGCTGGATACCAGCGAAGGAAATAGAACAATTAAACGGGAATCCAATGCCTGATGAAAACGGACACATTCCTGGTATCATGAAAACTTTTCTAAAATGCATAAGTAGTTTTTCTGGGAATGGGAACATTTTTGAAAAGTGCTGAGTAGAAAGATACCTCAGATTAAAGTTCAGTTCAGCCAGCATGTCGAGTACCCATAACACGCAGAGTACTCTTAGGCTCTAATAATAAAGAAGTGAAGATTAGAACCCTACCTAAGTGATCTTTCAGACACTAGGGGAAATCCACCAATATTAGTATGATTTAAGAACTAAAAGGAAAGCACACACAGGCAGGATATAGTCAGAGAAAAGAGGAATAATTCTAGTCAGCTTCTGGTAGAGGAAGCTCTAAGGGAGAGGACATCTGTACTGAAGCTTAAGAACCAGAAACTTAGCTGGCAAAGAGGGAAGGTTAGCTTAAGCAAATTCCCACAAAGAGGAGAGATATGGAGTCATGGTAATTTTATGTGACTTCTCTGGCTGGAATGTTTAGGGCGTATGGCTTTGGAGGACATTATAAAAGGTGAGGCTCTAGATGTGGAATGGGCTTAGGTCTTAAAGGGTTTATTCCACTGAAAGTTTGAAATTCATCCTGAAGATGACGATTAAGCAGGTGTGCAGCAGAACTAAATTTAAATTTTTGAAGTAGGATTATGATAAAAGTGGGGTGGGTTTCCCTAGAGACTAATGGACCAGGAAAGAAGTTATTACAGTTCTCTGAGTGAGTATTGAAGGCCAAAGATCAAAGTGGTGTATGTGTCCTAGTTTTTGTTTGTTTGATAAAGAATCATCCACATGTGGGAGACTATTCTGGAATAGGAGTTAGGAGAGGAATAGCAATAACATTCAGTACACGTGGAATTAATACATCGTTTAGCAAATACTGCAGTAATACAATAAATTGTAGAACACTTACTGCATAGATCTATTGTCCCTGAAACTGGAGAGACAGTAGAGAGAAGATTTAAGGAAAAAAAAAGTTTTAATGCTGTGTTTTAGAATGGTGTTCAATTCTTATTGAAAAGGTGAATTTTCTTTTTTTTTTTTTTGATCTCAAGTTCTGCTTTGTTTTTTATTTTGTTTTTTTTTGTTTTTTTTATAAATTAATTTTTATTGGTGTTCAACTTACCAACATACAGAATAACACCCAGTGCTCATCCCGTCAAGTGTCCCCCTCAGTGCCCGTCACCCATTCACTCCCACCCCCCGCCCTCCTCCCCTTCCACCACCCCTAGTTCGTTTCCCAGAGTTAGGAGTCTTTATGTTCTGTCTCCCTTTCTTATATTTCCCACACATTTCTTCTCCCTTCCCTTATATTACCATTCACTATTATTCATATTCCCCAAATGAATGAGAACATACCCTGTTTGTCCTTCTCCAATTGACTTACTTCACTCAGCATAATACCCTCCAGTTCCATCCACATTGAAGCAAATGGTGGGTATTTGTCGTTTCTAATGGCTGAGTAATATTCCATTGTATACATAAACCACATCTTCTTTATCCATTCATCTTTCGATGGACACCAAGGCTCCTTCCACAGTTTGGCTATTGTGGACATTGCTGCTAGAAACATCGGGGTGCAGGTGTCCCGGCGTTTCATTGCATCTGAATCTTTGGGGTAAATCCCTAACAGTGCAATTGCTGGGTCGTAGGGCAGGTCTATTTTTAATTCTTTGAGGAACCTCCACACAGTTTTCCAGAGTGGCTGCACCAGTTCACATTCCCACCAACAGTGGAAGAGGGTTCCCTTTTCTCCGCATCCTCTCCAACATTTGTTGTTTCCTGCCTTGTTAATGTTCCCCATTCTCACTGGTGTGAGGTGGTATCTCATTGTGGTTTTGATTTGTATTTCCCTGATGGCAAGTGATGCAGAGCATTTTCTCATGTGCATGTTGGCCATGTCTATGTCTTCCTCTGTGAGATTTCTCTTCATGTCTTTTGCCCATTTCATGATTGGATTGTTTGTTTCTTTGGTGTTGAGTTTAAGAAGTTCTTTATAGATTTTGGAAACTAGCCCTTTATCTGATATGTTATTTGCAAATATCTTCTCCCATTCTGTAGGTTGTCTTTGAGTTTTGTTGACTGTATCCTTTGCTGTGCAAAAGCTTCTTATCTTGATGAAGTCCCAATAGTTCATTTTTGCTTTTGTTTCTTTTGCTTTCGTGGATGTATCTTGCAAGAAGTTACTGTGGCCAAGATCAAAAAGGGTGTTGCCTGTGTTCTCCTCTAGGATTTTGATGGAGTCTTGTCTCACATTTAAATCTTTCATCCATTTTGAGTTTATCTTTGTGTATGGTGCAAGAGAGTGGTCTAGTTTCATTCTTCTGCATGTGGATGACCAATTTTCCCAGCACCATTTATTGAAGAGACTGTCTTTCTTCCAGTGGATCGTCTTTCCTCCTTTGTCGAATATTAGTTGACCATAAAGTTCAGGGTCCATTTCTGGGTTCTCTATTCTGTTCCATTGGTCTATGTGTCTGTTTTTGTGCCAGTACCACACTGTCTTGATGACCACAGCTTTGTAGTACAACCTGAAATCTGGCATTGTGATGCCCCCAGCTATGGTTTTCTTTTTTAAAATTCCCCTGGCTATTCGGGGTCTTTTCTGATTCCACACAAATCTTAAAATAATTTGTTCTAAGTCTCTGAAGAAAGTCCATGGTATTTTGATAGGGATTGCATTGAACGTGTAAATTGCCCTGGGTAACATTGACATTTTCACAATATTAATTCTGCCAACCCATGAGCATGGAATATTTTTCCATCTCTTTGTGTCTTCCTCAATTTCTTTCAGAAGTGTTCTATAGTTTTTAGGGTATAGATCCTTTACCTCTTTGGTTAGGTTTATTCCTAGGTATCTTATGCTTTTGGGTGCAATTGTAAATGGGATTGACTCCTTAATTTCTCTTTCTTCAGTCTCATTGTTAGTGTATAGGAATGCCATTGATTTCTGGGCATTGATTTTGTATCCTGCCATGCTACCAAATTGCTGTATGAGTTCTAGCAATCTTGGGGTGGAGGCTTTTGGGTTTTCTATGTAGAGTATCATGTCATCGGCGAAGAGGGAGAGTTTGACTTCTTCTTTGCCAATTTGAATGCCTTTAATGTCTTTTTGTTGTCTGATTGCTGAGGCTAGGACTTCCAATACTATGTTGAATAGCAGTGGTGAGAGTGGACATCCCTGTCTTGTTCCTGATCTTAGGGGAAAGGCTCCCAGTGCTTCCCCATTGAGAATGATATTTGCTGTGGGCTTTTCATAGATGGCTTTTAAGATGTCGAGGAAAGTTCCCTCTATCCCTACACTCTGAAGAGTTTTGATCAGGAATGGATGCTGTATTTTGTCAAATGCTTTCTCTGCATCTAATGAGAGGATCATATGGTTCTTGGTTTTTCTCTTGCTGATATGATGAATCACATTGATTGTTTTACGAGTGTTGAACCAGCCTTGTGTCCCGGGGATAAATCCTACTTGGTCATGGTGAATAATTTTCTTAATGTGTTGTTGGATCCTATTGGCTAGTATCTTGTTGAGAATTTTTGCATCCATGTTCATCAGGGATATTGGTCTGTAATTCTTCTTTTTGGTGGGGTCTTTGTCTGGTTTTGGAATTAAGGTGATGCTGGCCTCATAGAATGAATTTGGAAGTATTCCATCTCTTTCTATCTTTCCAAACAGCTTTAGTAGAATAGGTATGATTTCTTCCTTAAACGTTTGATAGAATTCCCCTGGGAAGCCATCTGGCCCTGGACTCTTGTGTCTTGGGAGGTTTTTTATGACTGCTTCAATTTCCTCCCTGGTTATTGGCCTGTTCAGGCTTTCTATTTCTTCCTGTTCCAGCTTTGGTAGTTTGTGGCTTTCCAGGAATGCGTCCATTTCTTCTAGATTGCCTAATTTATTGGCGTAGAGCTGTTCATAATATGTTTTTAAAATCGTTTGTATTTCCTTGATGTTGGTAGTGATCTCTCCTTTCTCATTCATGATTTTATTAATTTGAGTCTTCTCTCTCTTCTTTTTAATAAGGTTGGCTAATGGTTTATCTATCTTATTAATTCTTTCAAAGAACCAACTCCTGGTTCTATTGATCTGTTCCACAGTTCTTCTGGTCTCGATTTCGTTCAGTTCTGCTCGAATCTTTATTAACTCTCTTCTTCTGCTGGGTGTCGGGTCGATTTGCTGTTTTTCTCTAGCTCCTTTATGTGTAAGGTTAGCTTTTGTATTTGAGTTCTTTCCAGTTTTTGAATGGATGCTTGTATTGCGATGTATTTCCCCCTCAGGACTGCTTTTGCTGCATCCCAAAGATTCTGAACAGTTGTATCTTCATTCTCATTAGTTTCCATGAATCTTTTTAATTCTTCCTTAATTTCCTGGTTGACCCTTTTATCTTTTAGCAGGATGGTCCTTAACCTCCACGTGTTTGAGGTCCTTCCAAACTTCTTCTTGTGATTGAGTTCTAATTTCAAGGCGTTATGGTCTGAGAATATGCAGGGGACGATCCCAATCTTTTGGTATCGGTTCAGACCCGATTTGTGACCCAGTATGTGGTCTATTCTGGAGAAAGTTCCATGTGCCCCTGAGAAGAATGTGTATTCAGTTGAGTTTGGATGTAAAGTTCTGTAGATATCTGTGAAATCCATCTGTTCCAGTGTATCATTTAATGCTCTCGTTTCTTTGGAGATGTTGTGCTTAGAAGACCTATCATGTATAGAAAGAGCTAGATTGAAGTCACCAAGTATAAGTGTATTATTATCTAAGTATTTCTTCACTTTGGTTAATAATTGGTTTAAGTATTTGGCAGCTCCCACATTCGGGGCATATATATTGAGGATTATTAATTCCTCTTGTTGGATAGATCCTTTAAGTATGAGATAGTGTCCCTCTTCATCTCTCACTACAGTCTTCGGGGTAAATTTTAGTTTATCTGATATAAGTATGGCTACCCCTGCTTTCTTTTGAGAACCATTTGAATGGTAAATGGTTCTCCAACCTTTTATTTTCAGGTTGTAGGTGTCCTTCTGTCTAAAATGAGTCTCTTGTAGACAGCAAATAGATGGGTCCTGCTTTTTTATCCAGTCTGAAACCCTGCGCTTTTGATGGGGTCATTAAGCCCATTCACGTTCAGAGTTACTATTGACAGATATGAGTTTAGTGTCATCATGATATCTATTTAGTCCTTGTTTTTGTGGATTGTTCCACTGAACTTCTTCTTAAAGGGGAATTTTAAGAGTTCCCCTTAAAATTTCTTGCAGAGCTGCTTTGGAGGTCACATATTCTTTCAGTTCCTGCCTGTCTTGGAAGCTCTTTATCTCTCCTTCCATTTAAAATGAGAGCCTTGCTGGATAAAGTATTCTTGGTTGCATGTTCTTCTCATTTAGGACCCTGAATATATCCTGCCAGCCCTTTCTGGCCTGCCAGGTCTCTGTGGAGAGGTCTGTTGTTACCCTAATATTCCTCCCCATGAAAGTCAGGGACTTCTTGTCTCTTGCTGCTTTAAGGATCTTCTCTTTATCTTTGGAATTTGCAAGCTTCACTATTAAATGTCGAGGTGTTGAACGGTTTTTATTGATTTTAGGGGGGGAATCTCTCTATTTCCTGGATCTGAATGCCTGTTTCCCTTCCCAGATTGGGAAAGTTTTCAGCTAGGTTGTTCAAATACATATTCTGGCCCTCTGTCCCTTTCGGCGCCCTCGGGAACCCCAATTAAACGTAGGTTTTTCTTCCTTAGGCTGTCATTTATTTCCCTTAATCTGTCTTCATGGTCTTTTAATTGTCTCTTTTTTCCTCAGTTTCCCTCTTTGCCATTAACTTGTCTTCTATGTCACTCACTTGTTCTTCCACCTCGTTAACCCTCGTCTTTAGGACTTCTAGTTTGGATTGCATCTCATTCAATTGATTTTTAATTTCTGCCTGATTGGATCTAAATTCTGCAGTCATGAAGTCTCGTGAAAAGGTGAATTTTCTAGTAAAGGAGTTCTGAGTGCTCTGTAGTGAACCATGAAGAGGTTAATTCCTCAACAGAATAAAAAATAACCTTACTCTTAAAAAAATGATTGATTTTAAAAGTAGTTAAACTTAAAACACTTCCACTGATTTTAATAAATGATATGTGTGTGATAAACATCCAGAAAACATGGAAAATTTATAACAAAAATTGCTTCAAGTCACAATCCAGTGAAAACAATGTGATTACAGTTTTTCTTTACATGATAGGTTGGGTACCAGTGGAAAAAAACAACAAACAGTATTGCTGGCATTCCTCAGTAGTTAATTATGAATTTGAAATTGCCCTGGTACTGAAGCATCATCCTGATGATCCTGGTCTTTTGGAAATTAGTGCAGTGCCTCTCTCAGATCTCCTAGAACAAACACTAGAGCTTATAGGAACAAATATTAATGGAAACCCATATGGTGAGTAAAGCCTTTTTCCCAATTAACAGTAACTGTCATTTATAAAGAGAACTTTGTGCCTTCAATTTAAAACACATTCAGTAAAGAAATGACTAATTTGAGTTAACAAGCCTTCTAGAATTATAGCCATTTCTATTTATGTCCATGGTGAAATTTATGCATGACTCTAACCATTTTATTAACCCAAAAAGTTGATTTTAGCTTCCCATTCTCCCCTGTAATAACATAGAACTATGTATGAAACTCAAGTGTAACTTTTTTTTGCTTTTTAAATTTAGGTGAAATGAGGTGAATGAAAATCATGTGTTTTTCATGGCTAGGTAATTAGTTTAGCATTAATAAGCCACTAAGAGTAAATTAAAGAATTGCCCATGAATAGCATATCCAGTATCAAAATCTGTACTATGATGAGTTGAGTTCAAGTTCAGAGGGCACTGTGGAGTACATTGTTGACAGGGGGCTGAAGACAGACCCAAGGACATTAAAGCTGGAATAACAAATCCAATATAGAGATTAGCAGCAGATTGATAGGCAGGTAGAAGGAGGTTAAGATAGTAATTATACATGTTATCTGAGCTACAGAGTGGCTGTTTGCCAAACACTGTATGATATTTGAACTTGGCTAATGGTACAGAGCAGGGGTTGGCAGACTTTCTCTGTACAAGTCCAGTAAGTATTTAGGTTTTGTAGGCCATTCCTCTGAAATAGGCCATAAACAGTACCTAAGAGAATGGGTATAGCTGCATTCCATTGAAACTACAAAAACAGGCATCTGGTTGGATTTGGCCCATGGGTCATAGTTTGCTGACCCTTTATATTTATAGATTATATGAAGGTAAAATTCAGACTTAATGGGATAAGGTGGCACTTCTGAATGAGGTTTCTCGTTGTATTTCTCTCTTCTAGCAATCCAACTAAACTTTGATAAATTTATTGCTAAATGTTTTAAAAGGCTTTTTTTATTTGAAGAAGTAAATTTTCTCAATTCTTTTTGAAACCTTTGTATGGCTAACGGAAATTTTTACCATTCAGGGTTAGGAAGCAAGAAGCATCCATTACATCTTCTTATACCACATGGGGCATTTCAGATAAAAAATCTACCCACCTTGAAGCACAATGATCTATTATCCTGGTTTGAAGGTTGCAGAGAGGGTAAAATTGAAGGAATAGTATGGCATTGTAATGACGGCTGTTTAATCAAGGTAATGGCAGAAAATAGTTGGCGGGATTATGTCGTTTTATTTAATTTCCTCATCTCACAGACCACCATTCTTTATATGATAAAGAAGTGTTTCCCAGGATGTTTTCATTCTCTGGGGCATTGGTTTTCCTAGATGTGCTTCAGAAATAAAGTGATGAAAACATCTGGAAAAATTGCATATTACAGACTCCCTTCTTGGAAATTGATGTTGCACATGAATGCTGAGATAATCTATACCAACTTAGTTTAACTCAGCATTTTCCAAAGTTACTTGATTATAGAATTTGAGGTAAAGTGCCAAGGTAACAGCTAATATTTACAGAATGAATTTTTATACTTTGTGCCCTTTCTGTCTCTTGGACTTGTCTACTTAATTTCTCACAGGTTTCTGAAATTGATAATGTTTGGAACTGGACCTAGTCCTATCAACCCTGATTCCCAACAATTCAAAAAACTCATATGGTTTTTAACCCTTCTCTCCATTACTTTATACATAAAATTCTTTAAGATTCTGATCTATTGAATCTGTACTTCTCCCCAACCATTTGGCAGTTTTCATTTTAATTGAAGCTGAGAGATTCATACTTGATTTAGTTTATCACCCTCTTTAAGTGTTATCTTTCAGTCTTATCCCTGTCTGTCCATTCTCCACAGTAAGTGAAAATGTTACTTTGTTGCATAAAACAGCTTCCTGACATTCAGGATCTGACCCATGCTTCACTTTCTGAAACTGCTGTAAACTCCCATCGGCCAAATATACACACACTATTGTATATGCTCTAACCATACTTAAGTAATTGCAATCAAAGCAAAAAGCACCATTCTATCACATGATACTTAGAATGCCTCCCCCCACCCATGTTTTTCAATTGGCTAGCTTCGTACTCAGCAACAGACTCCATTCATTACATTCTTTGGAGCCCCTAATTATGATCCTGGCATGTTTCCAGGTACTGGAAATACAGAGTCAACAAAAACAATGTCTGCCTTCATGAAGCTCACATTCTAATGGGGAAGATAGACAATAACAAGTAAACATGTAATATGTCAGAAGGAGAACAGCTATGAAAAAAAAGAGGGTAAGAAAAGGTGGAGCCTTGAATAGTGCCTGGCAGATGGTAGGCATTCAAAATAATTATTTGTAACTGAATGAAAATAATAAAGTCTGAGGCTAATACCCTTTTTTCCTCTTTTCAGGTTCATCGCCATCATCTTGGTTTATGCTGGCCAATTCCAGATACTTACATGAATTCAAAACCAGTTGTTATCAACATGAATCTGAACAAGTATGACCATGCCTTTGATACTAAATGTTTGTTTAATCTTTTTTCAAAAATAGATAATCAGAAATTTGGCAGACTCAAAGATATAATACTTGATGTATAAAGTAGAAATCCAGTTAAAAATCAGCTTTATTATATTGGAATCTTGAATATTCTGCTATATGTGGAAGGTAAAAACATCTCAGAATTCTGTGTCGAAGAGAGCAATATGTCGTCTAGCATTTGAAGAAACGAATTTCCCAGTTGCAAATTTTATTCAGAACTAGCAAATGAATTTTAACCACAAGACTTAAAAAATGTAATGGTAAGCTCCTCTGCCTGGTACATAGTTAAAAATTGCAACTAAACCAACAATTCTGGATCATTAATACTTAACATATGGCTCTAACCTCATAACATGTTTATATACATGTAAATATATATAAAACTAGATTCTTAACACACATATAAATAAGTATGTATAAAACCCCAATTTTAAATGTTAAAATTAAAATCACCCTATACTCTTTAAAAAACTTAAACATGAATATATACAGAAATTCATCATAGCTCATTTGATAGTCATAACTTACTCTAAAAGTCTTAAAAAATATACTTTTCTAGTATGTTTAAAATTTTATATAATTTTATTTACTAAGACTTCAAATTTAATAAAGGTACAGGTATGAAGAAAGAAATCATGTAGGTCAGAGACCTGCTTGATTTCCAGATGGAGTTTTAACTTCTAAAGTTAATAAATAGTTCAATAAAACTATAGTTATAGGTAGTCCTTAATAAATGGGGAGATTAGGAGGACTTTCTCCTTCATCTTCAAACTGTTCAGAAGCAGCAATAGGACTAGTTAATTCAACTCCACATTGTTCAGAAAGTTTTCTTAACTTCTCTTCTAAGAGAATATTCTTTTTCACTTCTTCTTTATAATTATACTTCAGATCTTCAATTTCTTCAAAAAATGAAGGATCAAAGTTTTCCAGTTCTTTTTTCAGCTTTTTTATTTCCTCCTAATAGAAACAAGATATTTTTGAAAGGTTTGTAGGAATATAATACATTCTTAAGATTTAAATTAAAGAAACTTAAATATAAACATAAAATCCAAAGTAACCTGAATAATCAGATATATGCTATACAGGTAGAAGTATTTTCTTAGAATTCTATTAATAAGGTTTCACTGTACAGCATAAGTAACTTGTTAGCTGGCAAATCAAATTCTCTATTCTGTAAATTATGCCCTAGTTTTTGACTAAAACTTATCATAAATTTGTGTGTGTAAACTAGTGGTGGCAACATTTTTCTCTAAAAGTATATCAGATACTCTCATTGGGGCAATCAGAAAGACTTGGCTGTTCACAAGTTATTTTGGTTAAGATTCTTTGGTTTAGGCTTCATTTATATTTTCTTTACAAATACCTATTTTTTTTATGAATAACATTTAACTTATAAATATATTTAGAATTTGGGAAACTCTGGGACCTCTACCTAAGAGAAATGTGTAAAGAGACAATATGAACTTCAGAATAGCTAGTGATCACTAGTTAATTCTTTAGTTTATGCTGTTTTGTTCTGTTTATAGATTCTTTAAGGGATAAAGCATGGCAAATATTTTTCTTTAATAAAAAAGGAGCTCTTCCTGAAAAGAATTTCAAAAGGAAATAAAAGACACTGTTCCCAATGTGACCCAAAACTTGAGTAAAATAATGAGCTATGCTTGTGAGAATTAAAAAATAAATTTCTCTTTAATCCTATTTGTTTTATCTCAGTTTTTTTGTAGCTTTCGTTTAGTATTTTTAACACAGGTGACTATAATGAACTCTGCAATATCAAGGTCAAATATAAGTGTATCACATAACCCCAGGAATTTTTAGGATATATATACTTAAAGATAGTCATAAAAGTTGTTTCTAACAGCTGTTTTCACAAAACATAATATAGTTAGATAAAATTACCTTCAAATGCTGCTTTTCTAAATCTGAGGTTTTGAGCTGTGTCTCTAAATCTTTTACTTTTTCCTTTAGTTGATCAGGATCTGCCAAAAAAGTTTTAAAAGTCAGATTCCAATTTTCCCCACTCTGACAAAGGATTTCTTTTAGAGAATAGAAAACTAAACCACGGCCTAGAAAATAGGGCATTTTATGGCTGAAAAACTTTCCAGGCTGTAAATACTGTAATGCTACCTTTTACAGTATTGTAATTCCATAGCAGACCAAGAGAAAAACCATCTGCTGGGTATTAGATGGGTAAAATCAGGGTAATTTTTCTAACCTAGAAGAAATTATTTTCCAGAGAAAAATTCTGATCTGAGCAGGAAAAATTGTTAGGTACTAAAAGGACAACAAAATAAGTAGACTGTTAGGTAAGGGGCTACAGCCACAGCTGGCCAAATGCTCCTGGTACCCAGCAGTATTGACTATTCCATGAAGTCAGTCCACATTTACCTTGTAATTACTACACAAAAAATATGCCAGTCAGGATGGATAAAACAAAGAGAAATAAATCCTAATGCTATGGTCGGAAAATGTTAAGTACAGTACAAGAGCCTTAATTTATTGGATCCTTAACCACTCCCCTCACCTGGAGTTAACATCTCTAAATTTATAATGAGAATCAGTGGACAAATGGAACGTTTTATTTCATTGTCATCTTTGCTAGAAACATTTAAATTAAACAGAACATCTAGTATGTCATGTCATTTTGCAGCCACTGAAGTGTAAAATTTTAAAAGTAATGCTAAACTTTGAGAAATTAATGGTCAGCAAGACACATTTTCATGAATGAGACAGGAAGGTTGGTACTCTGTTACGGTTCCCTTGGAATGGTCCCCTAATTATGAGCTGGAGACAAGAAATATTTTCCTCATCCTTTTCCTTGGGAATAGGCAACAGAACTCATCTTCCTTTGGAAAGCAGAGCAAAATGATACTTTTCAAAACTTCTCTCACCTTTGTAGAAAGTACTCGCTGTTTTTTATAAAGTCGGTTCTTAATCACAGGAATGCTGTATTGAGTTGATTGTCTTAAAGGGGTGCTATACGTTACACAGCTTACTAATGTAAAAGTAAAAGTAGTGCAGTAAAAGTAATTATTATGTACAGCACTTTCTGGAGTATGCTTAATGGTATTGGATTGCATGATTGAAATGGCAAATTCCATACCAAAGGATTATTCCAATTTATACCTGAGCAACCTTTGACTATTTCAAACAGCTTTTTCAATATTCTACTGTATAGTCTTGTTGATACTTTGTATTTAAATAGTGCTTTAGAATTGCCAAGACCATTTCGGTTTGATTTTGAACCTTAGCAATCTTTGAAATATGTTAGGTATCCTGTAAATAAATGAGGAATATAAGGTTCTGAAATTCCCTCTCAGGAAACTTAGGTTTAGAGAGACCTTGCCAAACGTCATAGCATCAGCAGGTCTTTGGGGGTGTGCTAGTCTGGTACCCTAAGCTGGCTACTAAAAGAGATACTGATGAGAGAGATTTACATGACTGTTTTAGTTATCAAGAGGTAGATAAGGCAGTTTGCATGGTCAAAAACAGGGAATGGTGAGGGGCTTTGGAGTTCCATAGATTTAGGTTTCATCCTGCCTGTCAATGCCTAGCTGTTGTGATCTCGTTGCTTAACTTTAAGGTGACAATCCTAGGTAAAATGGAGACAATGGTACCCACCAAACAGCATCTTAAGAGTTAAATTATAAAATGCTAGGGTGGGGGGAGAAAAAAACTTATAAAATGCTTGTAAAAGCACTTAGCATAGTGTCTGGTAAACTTGTACATGATAGCCTTAAAACAAAGTAGTAACAAGAATATGTGGTAGGATACTGAAAAAGGTGTATGAAATAGACTGTTCGGGTATAAATTGATACAATCCTTTGGAATAGAATTTGCCATTTCCCCATCACACTATTAAATATACATAATAAATGGTTCTTGTTAACATTGATGTTCTCAAAAGTCAACAGTGGGTTTGTGAATATTGAACCATTCATTACTCTTAGGGAAAAAATGTACACATATACATACTCATATCTTACATAAAGTATAATTATAATCCTGGAAACAACTCATCCTGGGTAGATTCTATTTTCTTTGTTTTATAAAAAAGAAAAAGTTCAGAAGAGTCAAGTAACTCTCCTGAGGCTGCACCCCTCGTAAGTGTCAGAGTTGGGATTTAAACCCAGACCAGGGATCCCTGGGTAGCACAGTGGTTTAGTGCCTGCCTTTGGCCCAGGGTGAGATCCTGGAGACCCAGGATCGAATCCCACGTCAGGCTCCCAGTGCATGGAGCCTGCTTCTCCCTCTGCCTAGGTCTCTGCCTCTCTCTCTCATTCTGTGTGACTATCATAAATAAATAAAAAAAAAATAAAAACAAAAAAAACAAAAAAAACCCAGACCAACTGGCCCCAGAACCAGAGCTTCTTGCCCTTTTGATGCCCTGCCCTGTACTGTCTCCATCCTCTGGTCATTTGTATGAGAGCTGAAATAAGGTAGAGTCTCATCTTACTGGATCTCATCTGGAAAAAGGTGGGTCAGAACTTAAAATTTCACTACTGTATCTGCGAAAGCACTAGGAATACTAGCTTGGGGGTTAGAAGTCAATTTTAGTGAGTAGCTGAATTCACAAATACAGAATCTGAAAGTATTGAGGATCAACTGTTAATTGCATATACATGTATACACGACATATACACATGGATACATATGCACACGAGGAGGGGCACGATGGCAGAAGAGCAGGGTCCCCAAATCACCTGTCCCCAACAAATTACCTAGATAACCTTCAAATCATCCTGAAAATCTACGAATTCGGCCTGAGATTTAAAGAGAGACCAGCTGGAATGCTACAGTGAGAGGAGTTCACGCTTCTATCAAGGTAGGAAGACGGGGAAAAAGAAATAAAGGAACAAAAGGCCTCCGAGGGGGAGGGGCCCCGCAAGGAGCCGGGCTGAGGCCGGGGCGAGTGTCCCCAGGACAGGAGAGCCCCGTCCCGGAGGAGCAGGAGCTGCACCAACCTTCCCGGCGGGCGGAAAGGGGCTCGCAGGGAGTTGGAGCAGGACCCAGGAGGGCGGGGATGCCCTCGGGCTCCCGGGGACACTAACAGACACCTGCGCCCCGGGAGAGTGCGCCGAGCTCCCTAAGGGCTGCAGCGCGCACGGAGGGACCGACCGGAGCAGCTCGGAGGGGCTCGGGCGGCGGCTCCAGGGAGGGAGCTGCGGGGCGGGAGCGCGAATCCACCAGCGCAGGCCCCGGAGCACAGGGCGCCGGGACACAGCCCAGGATCCGGCCTCCCCCGGGACAGGCAGAGGCCGGGAGGGCCCAGGACAGCGAGGACGCTCCTGCCCCGAGCTGAGCAGATCAGCGGCCCCGCCCCGGAGCCTCCAGGGCCCTGCAGACGGAGAGCCGAGAGCCCCGAGCCCCGTAGTTCCTGCGGAGGCTGAATCCAGGCTTCCAGAGTTGCCATAGCAACTGCGGCTGTTCCTCCTGGGGCCCCACGGGGTAAACAACCCCCGCTGAGCCCAGCAGCAGGCAGGGGCAGAGCAGCTCCCCCAAGTGCTAACACCTGAAAATCAGCGCAACAGGCCCCTCCCCCAGAAGACCAGCTGGACGGACCAGTTCCAGGGGAAGTCAAGGGACTTAAAGTCTACAGAAACACTCCCCCGTGTTTTTTTTTTTTCTTTTTTTCTTTTTTTCTTTTCTTTTTGATTTCTGATTGCTTCCCCCACCCCCCTTTTTTTTCACCTTTCTTTCTTTTTCTTTCCCTTTTTCTTCTCTTCTTTCCTTTTTCTTTTCTTTTTTCTTTTTTCTTTTTCTCTTTTCTTTCCTTCTCTCTCTTTCTCTCCTTTTCCCAATACAACTTGTTTTTGGCCATTCCGCACTGAGCAAAATGACTAGAAGGAAAACCTCACCTCAAAAGAAAGAATCAGAAACAGCCCTCTCTCCCACAGAGCTACAAAATCTGGATTACAATTCAATGTCAGAAAGCCAATTCAGAAGCACTATTCTACAGCTACTGGTGGCTCTAGAAAAGAGCATTAAGGACTCACGAGACTTCATGACTGCAGAATTTAGATCCAATCAGGCAGAAATTAAAAATCAACTGAATGAGATGCAATCCAAACTAGAAGTCCTAACGACGAGGGTTAACGAGGTGGAAGAACGAGTGAGTGACATAGAAGACAAGTTAATGGCAAAGAGGGAAACTGAGGAAAAAAGAGACAAACAATTAAAGGACCATGAAGACAGATTAAGGGAATTAAATGACACACTAAGGAAGAAAAACCTACGTTTAATTGGGGTTCCCGAGGGCGCCGAAAAGGACAGAGGGCCAGAATATGTATTTGAACAAATCCTAGCTGAAAACTTTCCCAATCTGGGAAGGGAAACAGGCATTCAGATCCAGGAAATAGAGAGATCCCCCCCTAAAATCAATAAAAACCGTTCAACACCTCGACATCTAATAGTGAAGCTTGCAAATTCCAAAGATAAAGAGAAGATCCTTAAAGCAGCAAGAGACAAGAAGTCCCTGACTTTCATGGGGAGGAATATTAGGGTAACAACAGACCTCTCCACAGAGACGTGGCAGGCCAGAAAGGGCTGGCAGGATATATTCAGGGTCCTAAATGAGAAGAACATGCAACCAAGAATACTTTATCCAGCAAGGCTCTCATTCAAAATGGAAGGAGAGATAAAGAGCTTCCAAGACAGGCAGGAACTGAAAGAATATGTGACCTCCAAACCAGCTCTGCAAGAAATTTTAAGGGGGACTCTTAAAATTCCCCTTTAAGAAGAAGTTCAGTGGAACAATCCACAAAAACAAGGACTAAATAGATATCATGATGACACTAAACTCATATCTGTCAATAGTAACTCTGAACGTGAATGGGCTTAATGACCCCATCAAAAGGCGCAGGGTTTCAGACTGGATAAAAAAGCAGGACCCATCTATTTGCTGTCTACAAGAGACTCATTTTAGACAGAAGGACACCTACAACCTGAAAATAAAAGGTTGGAGAACCATTTACCATTCAAATGGTTCTCAAAAGAAAGCAGGGGTAGCCATCCTTATATCAGATAAACTAAAATTCACTCCGAAGACAGTAGTGAGAGATGAAGAGGGACACTATATCATACTTAAAGGATCTATCCAACAAGAGGACTTAACAATCCTCAATATATATGCCCTGAATGTGGGAGCTGCCAAATACTTAAACGAATTATTAACCAAAGTAAAGAAATACTTAGATAATAATACACTTATACTTGGTGACTTCAATCTAGCTCTCTCTACCCTTGATAGGTCTTCTAAGCACAACATCTCCAAAGAAACGAGAGCTTTAAATGATACACTGGACCAGATAGATTTCACAGATATCTACAGAACTTTACATCAAAACTCAACTGAATACACATTCTTCTCAAGTGCACATGGAACTTTTTCCAGAATAGACCACATACTGGGTCACAAATCGGGTCTGAACCGATACCAAAAGATTGGGATCGTCCCCTGCATATTCTCAGACCATAACGCCTTGAAATTAGAACTCAATCACAAGAAGAAGTTTGGAAGGACCTCAAACACGTGGAGGTTAAGGACCATCCTGCTAAAAGATAAAAGGGTCAACCAGGAAATTAAGGAAGAATTAAAAAGATTCATGGAAACTAATGAGAATGAAGATACAACTGTTCAAAATCTTTGGGATGCAGCAAAAGCAGTCCTGAGGGGGAAATACATCGCAATACAAGCATCCATTCAAAAACTGGAAAGAACTCAAATACAAAAGCTAACCTTACACATAAAGGAGCTAGAGAAGAAGCAGCAAATCGACCCGACGCCCAGCAGAAGAAGAGAGTTAATTAAAATTCGAGCAGAAATCAATGAAATTGAGACCAGAAGAACTGTGGTACAGATCAATAGAACCAGGAGTTGGTTCTTTGAAAGAATTAATAAGATAGATAAACCATTAGCCAACCTTATTAAAAAGAAGAGAGAGAAGACTCAAATTAATAAAATCATGAATGAGAAAGGAGAGATCACTACCAACATCAAGGAAATACAAACGATTTTAAAAACATATTATGAACAGCTCTACGCCAATAAATTAGGCAATCTAGAAGAAATGGACGCATTCCTGGAAAGCCACAAACTACCAAAACTGGAGCAGGAAGAAATAGAAAACCTGAACAGGCCAATAACCAGGGAGGAAATTGAAGAAGTCATCAAAAACCTCCCAAGACAAAAGAGTCCAGGGCCAGATGGCTTCCCAGGGGAATTCTATCAAACGTTTAAAGAAGAAATCATACCTATTCTACTAAAGCTGTTTGGAAAGATAGAAAGAGATGGAGTACTTCCAAATTCATTCTATGAGGCCAGCATCACCTTAATTCCAAAACCAGACAAAGACCCCACCAAAAAGAAGAATTACAGACCAATATCCCTGATGAACATGGATGCAAAAATTCTCAACAAGATACTAGCCAATAGGATCCAACAACACATTAAGAAAATTATTCACCATGACCAAGTAGGATTTATCCCCGGGACACAAGGCTGGTTCAACACTCGTAAAACAATCAATGTGATTCATCATATCAGCAAGAGAAAAACCAAGAACCATATGATCCTCTCATTAGATGCAGAGAAAGCATTTGACAAAAAATAGCATCCATTCCTGATCAAAACTCTTCAGAGTGTAGGGATAGAGGGAACATTCCTCGACATCTTAAAAGCCATCTACGAAAAGCCCACAGCAAATATCATTCTCAATGGGGAAGCACTGGGAGCCTTTCCCCTAAGATCAGGAACCAGACAGGGATGTCCACTCTCACCACTGCTATTCAACATAGTATTGGAAGTCCTAGCCTCAGCAATCAGACAACAAAAAGACATTAAAGGCATTCAAATTGGCAAAGAAGAAGTCAAACTCTCCCTCTTCGCCGATGACATGATACTCTACATAGAAAACCCAAAAGCCTCCACCCCAAGATTGCTAGAACTCATACAGCAATTTGGTAGCGTGGCAGGATACAAAATCAATGCCCAGAAATCAATGGCATTCCTATACACTAACAATGAGACTGAAGAAAGAGAAATTAAGGAGTCAATCCCATTTACAATTGCACCCAAAAGCATAAGATACCTAGGAATAAACCTAACCAAAGAGGTAAAGGATCTATACCCTAAAAACTATAGAACACTTCTGAAAGAAATTGAGGAAGACACAAAGAGATGGAAAAATATTCCATGCTCATGGGTTGGCAGAATTAATATTGTGAAAATGTCAATGTTACCCAGGGCAATTTACACGTTCAATGCAATCCCTATCAAAATACCATGGACTTTCTTCAGAGACTTAGAACAAATTATTTTAAGATTTGTGTGGAATCAGAAAAGACCCCGAATAGCCAGGGGAATTTTAAAAAAGAAAACCATAGCTGGGGGCATCACAATGCCAGATTTCAGGTTGTACTACAAAGCTGTGGTCATCAAGACAGTGTGGTACTGGCACAAAAACAGACACATAGACCAATGGAACAGAATAGAGAACCCAGAAATGGACCCTGAACTTTATGGTCAACTAATATTCGACAAAGGAGAAAAGACGATCCACTGGAAGAAAGACAGTCTCTTCAATAAATGGTGCTGGGAAAATTGGTCATCCACATGCAGAAGAATGAAACTAGACCACTCTCTTGCACCATACACAAAGATAAACTCAAAATGGATGAAAGATTTAAATGTGAGACAAGACTCCATCAAAATCCTAGAGGAGAACACAGGCAACACCCTTTTTGAACTTGGCCACAGTAACTTCTTGCAAGATACATCCACGAAAGCAAAAGAAACAAAAGCAAAAATGAACTATGGGACTTCATCAAGATAAGAAGCTTTTGCACAGCAAAGGATACAGTCAACAAAACTCAAAGACAACCTACAGAATGGGAGAAGATATTTGCAAATAACATATCAGATAAAGGGCTAGTTTCCAAAATCTATAAAGAACTTCTTAAACTCAACACCAAAGAAACAAACAATCCAATCATGAAATGGGCAAAAGACATGAAGAGAAATCTCACAGAGGAAGACATAGACATGGCCAACACGCACATGAGAAAATGCTCTGCATCACTTGCCATCAGGGAAATACAAATCAAAACCACAATGAGATACCACCTCACACCAGTGAGAATGGGGAAAATTAACAAGGCAGGAAACAAAAAATGTTGGAGAGGATGCGGAGAAAAGGGAACCCTCTTCCACTTGGTGGGAATGTGAACTGGTGCAGCCACTCTGGAAAACTGTGTGGAGGTTCCTCAAAGAATTAAAAATAGACCTGCCCTACGACCCAGCAATTGCACTGTTAGGGATTTACCCCAAAGATTCAGATGCAATGAAACGCCGGGGCACCTGCACCCCGATGTTTCTAGCAGCCATGTCCACAATAGCCAAACTGTGGAAGGAGCCTCGGTGCCCATCGAAAGATGAATGGATAAAGAAGATGTGGTTTATGTATACAATGGAATATTACTCAGCCATTAGAAACGACAAATACCCACCATTTGCTTCAACGTGGATGGAACTGGAGGGTATTATGCTGAGTGAAGTAAGTCAATCGGAGAAGGACAAACAGTGTATATTCTCATTCATTTGGGGAATATGAATAATAGTGAAGGGGAATATAAGGGAAGGGAGAAGAAATGTGTGGGAGATATCAGAAAGGGACACAGAACATAAAGACTTCTAACTCTGGGAAACGAACTAGGGGTGGTGGAAGGGGAGGAGGGCGGGGGGTGGGGGTGAATGGGTGACGGGCATGGAGGGGGACACTTGACGGGATGAACACTGGGTGTTATTCTGTATGTTGGTAAATTGAACACCAATAAAAATTAATTTATATAAAAAAAAGAAAAAAAAAGAAAAAAAAAGGATACATATGCACATAGCAATGCAATGATTAATCACTTGTGAATTGGAAGCATGTGACTAGACTTTAATGTTTTAAATTGTAAAAGGGAAAGAGAATGCAGACAGTGTTTACTCTATGTAGTTTTTAAGTTAATAATGAGAGGACGGGGTGCCTCCGTGGTTCAGTAGGTTAAGCATCTGACATCAGCTCAGGTCATGATCTCAGGGTCCTGGAACTGAGCCCTGCATCACATGGGGCTCCGTGCTCAGCAGGGAGTCTGCTCCTCCCTTTCTCTCTGCCTTTCCCCCCAGCTCCTACTCTCTCTTTCAAATAAATAAACAAAATCTTAAAAATAAGAGGACAATAACATTTAGAAGATAATGTTCAGAGGGCTTAAAAGGGCCTATATATACTTAGAAACTGGAAGCCACAGACTTCATATTCAGTGCTTAGCACTTTATCATGATTAAATGTAACACTTAGATGGAACATAAAGAGAAAAACATGGAGTATATGCTAGTCGATACTATAAAGAACTCAGAACACTCAATGGGAACATTATTCTTACATGAAGGAAAGAACTCTGAAAACCTATCGGATTTGATTTCATAGGAAGACAGTCATCAGAAATCTGAATAAATAAAAAAGGCAAGCCCTAATCCAAAAACTTGGGTTAGCTAACATGCTATAAGTATGTTATAAAGTACTTTACCAGATACAGTGCTTTCAGCTCCGCCTTGGTCTTTGTTAACTTCTAACTGATGGATTAATTCCGCCTTTTCTTTTTCCAGCTGATTTTTAGCTAATCTAGAACACAATGATTATGAGTTCAACCAAAACCACAAAAACCAGTCATTGATTTATGAATATATGGGTATTTCTTTTGAATTGTGTGATGTAAATTGCTGAGAACTTGCTAATAATTCATAAAGGTAAAGAGTTCTTCATTTACTCTGACTTGCAATGCTACCTTCTCAAACTGAGATCACTGAATGAAAATTCTTCATGATTCTTAAAAATGACATCAGGTCAGACTTTTAAGTTTTCCTTTTGGAGGAATCTCATTAGAGTATTCCACACAGAACCCTGTAAGTAAATAATTTTTTTTCTCTCATTAATATTTGCCTCTGGAAAACTAAGATCTAACACATTTTGTACTATTAAGAAAGCTTAAATTGGAAGCTTGGCACTTATATTAGGATCTGGTTTACCCTTTTTTTCAGTATCTATTATGTAAGAGTAACTGGCATCAGAAGGATGAAATAAGACTGATAAACTTGTTAGGCAGCAAGGTTGAAAAATCCTAATCTCTGTATGTAACAAACCTGGTCATAATTTAAAGTCTATTTTTTTTAAAAAAAGGGTAGTCTTACAAACAGATAATGTACCTTAGAACTTGAAGCTCTCGTTGAAGGCTTTGCTCTGTCTCAGCACCTTCAGGAACATGTTTGAGAATCTCAATCTTTGGGCATAATGAAAAATTAAGAGACAAAGTCTGACATGGAAATACGAGGTTTTATAAAGATACACATTTTCTGCAAAGGGTATTAAAGGTTGGGTTTTCAAAAGCACAAAAGATATGAATGAATGTTGTGTTCTATTCATTATTCATTCACAGTAATTACTGAGTACTGCGTGCCAGGCATTGTCCTAGGCACAGGGAATGGAGTGATGAAAAAATAGACAAAAATCCCTTCTGGCACGTTCCTATGGTCCTTGGATATGATTTAGTGAGAAAGATACAGGGTAGGAAAGAAAAGATTGCTTATCTAAGGGGTTTGGCTTAAAAGGTTGGTGGTGCCATCCACTTGATGGGCCTCCCAGGGGAGGTATTATCAATTGTTCATTTTTATCTACAAAAACAATGCCAAGGAGTGGCTTGAGCTGTAACACATTATTTTCTCTGGGAAAGAAAAATTACTTGCCTGTTGCTCGAGTTCTTCCGTGTATTTCTTAGCTTTTTGTTCCCTCTCTGTTGCTTGTCGTACAAGCTGTTTAAGATCAGTAAGGCTTTGGGTTTTTTTGGCAATATCAGTTTCCAATTCTTTCAACTTAGTTTCGTACATTCTAAAAATAAAGGTAAAAAAATGGCGTAGAAACAAAATAATTTCTCTCATTGACTTAAAAGCCAATTCAAATTATTGCACTAAAAATAACAGACTGTCTTACTCTTTCTTCTTGTCAAATCTAGTCAAATTCTACATATTTATTTAGTAATGGGTGACAACAAGGGCTAAGTATTCCTAACTGAAAGGCCAATTGAAATAGAGGATTTAAGTGTTTCCCAAGGTTATCAACAAAGATGGAGCCTGAATTTGACCACTGTCAAAAGAAGATTAAAATTAATATATTTTCAGTCACAAAACAAAAAATGTAGTGCAATTCATCTATGAGAATATCAAATTCTGTATTATTGGGTAATCTTAGAAATATATTTAAAGATCACAAGTTAAAGCATTTCATATATACCTCCTGTATACACACACAGAAGCATACAGAGAAAAAATGAGGTATCCAGGTAGAACAAAGCCAAAAGGACACTACTGGGAAAGGAAAAAACGTACAAAGCAGGGGTGAGAAAATGGCATATGACATTAAAATCTGAATAGATTTGTAACCTTTAAAGAAATGACCAATAGTTAAAAAACCCAACTCCAAAAGAAAATTTTAAAACATTAAGCAAAAATGATTTTATAGCATATCATACCACCTTAAAGGGAGACAATGCTCATAATATTCAAACTTTACCAGAGAAAAAAAGAAAGAATGCTGGGCAAGAAAATCAGGTGAGGACAGTATAAGGAAGGGAAATTATTATTTCAATACATTGAAATAGTTGTTGATACACCTTAGAAACTATGATTGGAAAGGAATGTTCTTAATCTGACAGACTGTCCACCAGAGGAGTGAAGAAGTATCAGAAGCTTACTCCTTGACTTCAGTTCTCCATTCAGATGCCCCACCCGATCAGAGAGGCCTTCTCTGATCAGCTATTTAAAATAGTTCCAGGGATCCCTGGGTGGCGCAGCGGTTTAGCGCCTGCCTTTGGCCCAGGGCACGATCCTGGAGACCCAGGATCGAGTCCCACGTCGGGCTCCCGGTGCATGGAGCCTGCTTCACCCTCTGCCTGTGTCTCTGCCTCTCTCTCTCTCTCACTGTGTGCCTATCATAAATAAATAAAAATTTAAAAAAAATAAAAAATAAAAAATAAAATAGTTCCAATACCACCCAGTTTGTCTCAGCCGTCAGGATTAGGCCTGATAAGAACAGATGCCATTAGTTTATTGAGTAAATCTGAAGATTTCAGCCTGAGGAGGACCTAGGTGTCATGGGTCCCAAAGAAATCTCTCCACCACTTTACTAAGTGGGTGTATAATGCCTGCTGCAGATCCTAGCAAGGTTTTTGTTGGTTTTTAAAGTTTTTAGATTTAGGGAGGCTTGAGGCCAAGGATCAGAATTAGAATTAGCCTTCTCTAGCTCAAGTGGATTCTACAAGAATTTTGTAACTTTTTCAGAAGAGTTTACTGAAGGCCCACCCTATGCTTGGTTACTTTTCAGTTCTCAGATTTAGAACACACAAATGACAGTAAGACTTCAGTATTTCTAAAGCCATGGAAACCACCCAGCTCTACAGAAACCAGGCAAATAGGACTTTTAGAGGAACATCTAACGTGAAGCAGAGAGTTTGGCATGCAGCATGAACTACAGTAAAGTATCTGCTCAGTAAATCTCAAAGTAACAAAATTCTGAGTCTACATGTGATTGTAGAAGGAGGTAAAGGACCAAACCAGCAGTCAGCTGATAACCTTGCTGGTTGAGAGCTTCTGCTAGGGTCCAAGCAGACAAGACAGATAGATTCCTTTTCCCTCAATCACCTGTTATTTCATTTAGTCCTCCCACTAGCTGTCTTGCAGAGTTAAGAGACAGCAAGATAGGGGAGGAGGGGCTCTGAGTACTATCAGTATGGTGTTAGGACAGGAACCAAGAACCGTTCTCTGGGACTGTAGCCACCTGGGCTGTATCCTAATCTGCCTGCATAACCTTTCTCCTCAGACCTGTGGACAGGGCCAAGTACAGTGCAACAGACCCACGTAGGACTTGCTGTAGCCTCATAATGCTAGGGATGGTGACTTGATCCATCCCTCCTCAAGCCCACTCTAAATAACAGGTAGACATCAAATGAGAGACTGGAGATGTATGGACATAAAGAACTCTATGAATATGGTAAGATAAAGAAGAGTTTGCCTTTAGCATTGGGGCCAGCAGATGTAAAGAACACACTTCATCCAGGATGGCTCTAAGAGGAAGACATGGGTAGCATCATATTAGTTTCTGGCTTCTATATGCCTTAAAGCAGCTGTTTAAGACAGGAAATGAGAATGACACCAAAGCTGCCTACTGACTCATTAGAGTCATGATGAGCCACCCATGATGACAGTGGTGATGTTTACTAGTGAGTTCCTAACACTTTGACAGTGACAAAGTTTATGTGACCGGTAGGAATCACACCTGTAGAAAAGGTTCACAGGATGGAAGAATGTCTAGGGTCAGAATGCAAAGGCCAGTGAGAACTGAAGCTACTGAATTCATCTGTCAAGGCTGTTTAAAGAACAAGTTGCTCAAGATACAACTCCAAGACTACGGGCACCTGGGTGGCTTGGTCAGTTGGGCGACCAACTCTTGATTTTGGCTTGATCTCAGGGTTGAGATCAGGCCCGGTGAGGGGCCTTGCGCTCAGTGGGGAGTCTGCTTGGGGTTCTCTCTTCCTCTGCCCCTCCTCCTGCTCACACACATGTACTCTCTTTCTAAAATAAATAATCTTTAAAAAAAAAAAAAACCCTCCAAAATTGCAGTGTAGCCCAGTTCCAGTATGGTGTAGGTTGCAACAAGACAGCTCAATTGCTCCTGGCTTATACTTGAGGTAGAGAATGAATGTAACACGGAGGCTGAGTTGTGGCTGGAGCAAAGCAGCAGCCGGCTGAAGTTGGGCACCACTGTTCGAGGCTCGCAGATGATAGCTGTTTCCTGATGCCCACCCAGCTCCAACACCCTCGGCCCAACCCCAGCTCTGCTTTGTCATGTGCACTGCCACCCAAATTAAATATCTGAAGGAAGAAAAAACACCTTTTACCTGTTCTAGCATTGCCCCTAAGTATCGTGTTAAAAAAACAAAAAACAAAAACAGTATCGTGTTAAAGCAAACCACCATGAAGGAAAGAACTAAGTTAATCAGAGTAGTGTCATACTCTTTTTAAAACATTAATGGCAGCATTAGAACTGGTTAAACTTTGTGCAAGTTTTAAACTATTTGTTCCTACCTTGTCATAACAATTGATTTCCAGCTCTTGCTGTCAGCACCTTCTAGCTGTGGGCCTCTACTTTCTGCCAGCTGTAATCTCTTACCAGTCTCTTCTAGTTGAACTGTCATCTTCTCATTTAATATCTCTAAATTATTCTTAGCTATCCGCAATTTTTCTGCAGATTCAGTCTCCTATCATTAAAGACTAATTAGTACAAGGTAACAAAACAATAGTGTTCTCAAAGATGTAATACATTCAAAATGACCACTATAAATCAGAAAACAAAAGTAACCTGGCACTCTAAATGCTGATTAAAATTCCAATAAAAATCCAATGTTTCCTTTACTCTAAAATAGCAGTATGATCATAATTAGAACAGATCATATAAACGAGGTTAGAAAAATATATTTGCAAATATTTTACTCTAGTGGTTACTTTACATTTGTCATCTTTGTAGTATTTATAGATAATGGGATAGTTTGTCTCAATACACTCAGAAGATGTTTTGCTTTGACCAATACTTGAGAGACCTAGCTGTGAGCATAAACTATGTGTAAGTACCGTAGATAATTTCCACTATTAAACTTTCATTTAAAGCACACTACACTCTGGCCTCACAGTATATTCAGATACTGCTGTAACTAGCCTAAAAATCTCAATTTCAGTTTATTCACTGGATCATCCATATAAATAGCACCACCTATTTGGGGCAAGGAATATATTTCGCAACTTAAATAGAAAGGAATCTTACTATTTAACAACACAGTTTCATATATTCCTTACTTTACATCAGTCATTGTTCTGAGCCATGTGCACTAATCTTAACTCATTTAAATCCTGCAGGAACTCTGTGAAACAGGTATATTTATCATTCCCAATCTTATAGGTGAGGAAATTGAGGGATAGTGAGGGGTCGGTAGCTTGCCTTTGTTTCCACAGCTAGTAATTAGTAGAGCTAGGATTTGAACCCCAGACAGGTAGCTTCTACATTACACTACCTCTTAATTTATTATTTTTAGTGTACCTCATGGTGAAAGGATGGCAGCCATAAAAATACAATTCCTAAATCTTTTCATATCTACTCTGAATAGACATGCTCATTAACTTTTTCATTCAGCTTTTCCAAGATGTATTAGTTAATTAACATAAAAAGTAATTATTAATCAGTAATGAATGCCATACTTTTTTAAGTTCTTTACGAAGCCTTTCATTTTCAGCAACAATCTTCTCTGTGCCTTTGGTCTTGGATTCATAGTGTATGCTCAACTGACGTCCAAGGTGAGCTTTAAGTTTTTCTAATTCAGCCTATTTCAAACAAACAAACTATACATTATGAAAACAAGGAAATAAAAGATCCTATAAACTCATTAAAACTTAATTCAAAGCAGTTTTAGAGACCATTTTTTGATAGAATTAAAGCCTTCCCTTTCATATTGGTCATCTAGAGCAGAGGTTTCCAACCTTGGTTACCCAGAATGAGTTGACACTTAAAATCACAGTATCTATAGTAGGACCCACCCCAAAAGAGCAATATCAGGGCTGGGGGCGTAGGCATCCACATATTTGAGAACAGACACAGGTAGGTATTTATGCAGCCAGAGTGAGAACCATTAAAAACATTTCATATAACAGGAGTATATTTAAAACCTTCCTTAAAAAATAGAAATTATAATAGTAAAGACATCCCATATGAATGATCACATTAAAAAATTACCTTCAACTTTTCATTTTCCAGCTCAATATTAGCCATTTTTTCACTGGTCAGTATTCCTGATGCTTTTTTCAACTGTTCATTTTCCCTTTGGACTTTTTCAACAACTTTTTTCATCAAACCAATGGTTTTTTCTAGTTCTGGGATTGTCTTTCCACTTCTACCAGACTACAAAAGAATATGTTAACTTTTTATCTGATCAAATATCTGAGACAGTAGAATATAAAACACCAACAACATAACAGGCTCATTATTATACTTGTTGATTCCTAACTTTTAAAGCCAAAACCTGTATTCAATTCATTGTTAAAATAATCCTTTGCGATAGGAATTATGATCCTCAGGACTCAGAGAATCTGGTATTCCTAGTCATGCAGCCAATAAGTAACATCTCAAATACTCCAGCCTTGATGTCTGTTCCAAATTAATAAGTTTGAGAACCTAAATTTTCTATTTAGCTAATGTTCTTTCCTGTATACCTGAATTTTCTTTATATGAAAAAAACCCACAAAAGAAAAGTTTTGTCATTAAAAAGCTCATAAGTAACCAAATTTGAATTGCAGAATAGAGGTGATTTTCTCTAAGATCAGCCATTGATTAGAAATTCAGTTTCTAATATAACTATAAGAGACATATGAAATTTAAAAAAACCTAGTGTAGAGTTGTTAATAGAGATGGGTCACTAATAACTGTCTCTTATGCTTTAAAATAAGGTTTTTAACAGTTGAGCAAAAGAATCTTCTTACATATTTGCATTTTAGTCAGTATTCACACTATGCAATGAATAACCCTACATAATTTTAATACATAATTTTACATAATTTTTTTTTTACGATAGTCATACAGAGAGAGAGAGAGAGAGAGAGAGGCAGAAACATAGGCAGAGGGAGAAGCAGGCTCCATGCACCGGGAGCCCTACGTGGGATTCGATCCCGGGTCTTCAGGATCGCGCCCTGGGCCAAAGGCAGGCGCCAAACCGCTGCGCCACCCAGGGATCCCAATTTTACATAATTTTAATATATATTTTCACAACTGAGAAAAGGCCAAATTAACCGATTTTTATTTATGAAATTAATGTTGCTGTCAGATGTTTGTTCTGAATACTTTTCTAGTAATAACTCAATATTTTCACCAAATCTGTCATATATTTAATATTATTACTTGAATAAGTTTTTATAATAATCGCTTCCATTTGTGCCACTTACTAACATGAAATCAACAGGGGCTTAAATCTTTGGCAGGGGCCTCATAAGCAGCATTTATTCATTGTAAAAAGTGAATACAAAATAACGAGAAGAAATATGCAAGAATAAAAAAATTGGGAAACATATTACAGAACATTATACTAAGAAGCTACCATGGAAATCATAAAGAATAGTTACAAAATGTTAAAATTGGACTAAAAGCAGTTAGTAGTTACCTTAATGAGCAGAAGGAGGGTTCCTAGAAGTTAAATGTTTTCAAAGTGTGAAGGGAGATGCAATGAAAAAAGATGTGGAGTCCCAATTGAACTAAAATGCACGCAAGGTGTGACATGATAAAATTCATTGACTTGAAATGAAAAAAGCTTTATGATGTTTTATATTGTAGACACAGCAGAATAAAAACCAAGACTACTGGCAATAGTAAAAGCATATTGCTACTCTTACGACATATCCAAACTTGCTTTTTTCATTACCAACTTATCACTTCTGATACCAAAAGAAATATATGGCATATTCTCACACACTCACCCCTCTAACATGACCAAGTTTCCGTTCAACTTCTGCTTTTTCTTTCTTAAGAAAATCACACATCTCCTTCAAATCTTTTACTTGACTCTGAAAAGTTAGAGCAAGCACAGAACAGTTTAACATAGTCATAGCTGCTGAAAAGGAAAGGCAAATCATTCATTTGAACTATCAGTCTCTTTAGCTGTATAGGCAAACTGAACAAGACAGTCTCTACAGCAATAAGCATTTTGAACTAAGACATATGTTGAATTAAAGTTCATTAATACAAGGATATTTTATATATGAATTTCAAGAAATATTTTCCACATTACTACCTTAGTACAGAGTTTAGAACTTTGAATTTAATCGCCCCATTAATTACATATGTAGACCTTTACCCAGATGGTACAGAGAAACAGCTGAACTAATAGTACTGGTTCTGGTCCTAGAAGTAGGATATAATTATATCATTACGAGTGAAATTAACAGACTGCTAATATTCTAGGTTAGAAAACAGAATGGGAACAATTAGCCAGCCAAAAGAAAAAAGTTCCCATAAATAGGATGAGATTTGGAAAACTAAAGATAAACTTTTAATAATCAAAGTAAAATTCCTAAAAGAGATAATTACCCTGATTTTTTTTAAATGTAGAGAATTAATTTTTTAGAAATGTCCTAATATTTTAAAGAGTGATGATTGTTAATGAAATACACCAACCATCCTCTTGCCTCAGGGCTTTGAACTTGCTATTTCTGTTGTCTGGAACTCTTTCCAGTACCTGTATGACCCACTTCCTTACAATCCCCTAGCTCTTTGCTTAAATATCACTTTACTAAGAAGGCCTTCCCCTCTTACTATAATTTAAATAGCAGTTCCATACACTCCTAAACCAACCAACACACACACACACATACACACACACACACACACGCCCCTTTCACACCAACTGTGCTTTCTCCTATCACTTAACATCAACTGACATACTATATATTGACTTTTTACTTATTTATTACCAATCTTCCCTACTAGAATGTAAGTTCTACAAGTGCAAGAAGTTTTTTGATTGCTGTTTCCCAGCACTTAGGAGAGTGCCTGACAACAAAGTAGGCTTTCAACAAATAAGTGTTACATGAACAAATGTAGAAAGTGTAACACTGCCATAATATTTCACGAATGCGAGTTTCTGACATCTTCATAAACAAATATGAAGAGGGAGAAAAAAGTTTTCAGGCATTAGATTTCCTAAATAGAGTAAAGAACATTAAATTTACCTTTAATCTTGGCAAATCTTTATTTGCTTGTTCAAGCTGAAATTTTAGTTCAATATTTTCAGATGACAACTTCAAGTTTTCCCTCTGAAGCTCTTGTTCCTTTTGAAAATGATCATCTGACTCTATCCCGGAAGTCTTCAGGAAAATAAAGTTAGAAATATTTTTAAGTTTTAATAATAAAAGTGGCATAAAACATATTGGATAAGAAAACACTAGCTAAAGGGGAACATTTTTCCTCAAAAAAAAATGAGAACTCTAGGAAGAATAGCTCCAAATAGATATATTAGAATATAAGAATTGCAGGAGAAAAGGCAATGCAGTTTAATTAATATAGAAAGCAAAGTCAAGAATGTCTTAATAAGGGGCAGCCCCAGTGGCACAGCGGTTTAGAGCCGCCTGCAGCCTGGGGTGTGATCCTGGAGACCTGGGATCGCGTCCCACGTCAGGCTTCCTGTATGGAGCCTGCTTCTTCTCCCTCTGCCTGTGTCTGTGCCTCTCTCTCTGTCTGTCTCTATGAATAAATAAAATCTCTAAAAAAAAAAATGTCTTAATAATGTCCACACATAGACTATCTCCATTATCTCCATGTAGACTCTCATAATGGCTAATAAACTAATTTGTGCCAGGTTTTCCTGTCCAAAAGTATGGTTATTATTTGTTAGGGATTATATTATACCCTAAACCCTACCCCACCCTCAGATTCATATGTTGCAGTCCTAATCCCAGTACCTCAGAATGTGACCTTATTTGGAGATGGAGCGTTTTCAGGGGTATTCAAGGTAGTCAGTAGGGTGGGCTCCAACCCAGTCTGAGTGGTGTTCTTACGAAAAAGGGAAATTTGGATACAGACAAATGCATAGAAAAGAGATGATATGAAAGGGCAGGAAGAAAATGGCCACCTACAAGCCAAGGAGAAGGGTCTGGGATAGATTCTTCCCTCACAGGTTAAAGAAGGCACCAGCCCTGCCAATTCCTTGTTTTTTTTTGACTTCTGGCTTCCAGAACTGTGAGATAAGTTTCTGTCAGGCCACCAAACCTGTGGTGCTTTGTTACAACAGCCCTAGCAAACAATACACAAATCTATAAAAAGCAGTGCCTTAATTTCTTCTTCTTTCTTGGGAAAGCTCTTCTTCCTTCCTTGGGCAAGAACAATCACTCCCTCCTCTGAAATCCAGTTACACTATATTTGCATTTCTCTTGGCATGAATCCACTTTGGGTTATTACTTATGTTCAGCTTTTACTTCTCATCCTAAACTACGAGTCATTTGAAAGAGAAATATGTGCTTGGTTACTTTATCCTACACAGTGGGAAGAAGAACACCACCTTATCTTGTATGATTTACAAGCATCATACGAAATAATCTTGTGTAAATACTCAGCATAGCTTAGTTTGTCCTCCTTCACTCCCTTCTCTCTCTCTCTAGTGACTTGATGGACTATCAAGTCAATAACTCCACAGACATTATAGTTTAAAAAAATACAGTACTGTACAAATATATCCATTATACATGGCTCTATAATGTGTTTTAATTAGCAGTAGGTTAAATACTTCACATTGATATATTTATCCTGAGGTAATAAAAACAAGTGTAAACAAAATTAAAGACACTAAAAAATAGGATATAGAAAAGTAAAGAAATTCTAGACGGTTTGATTCTGACCTGAGGGCACAGAACACTGGCAGAGACACTGCTCGTATCCACCAGACTTCTATTCGTTCAAAGGAATGTGTGTGCATATGCACATATAGAGTGGCAAGAAAAAGAAGACAGACGTCTTTGTTGATGTCTGTACCACAGAAATATGTCTGTGCTTATTCTCTGTCAAATTAACCCAAGTATACATTCTGATCAACACTAGGCAAATCCTGCCACCTGCAAAATCCTCGGTTTTTCCATCTTACAAATGAAGGCATGAGATGGGGTAATTTTTAAGGCCTCTTCAGACACAGAAATCTGTAATGCCCTGTCTCTGAGCTCTTGTCACCCTCACTTCATCTCATCTGTCCGTGGTAGCTATTTATCAAATGATAAACACCTATGGGTACCACTGCTTGAAAGACATAAAATACATTAGATATCACTCACAGAAGAGAGTACTTCTATCTTATGATTTCATATAAAGTTTTTTGTTTTTTTTTTAACACAGTTCTCTCCTCACTAAAACATGGAGGCAATTATGTAAATACTTAGGGATCACTTTTACCCTCAATTCTCAAAAAACAAAATTAAAAGTATTAGTTGAAATTGTCCAGATTTCTGGAAAATAAATTCTAATGAACCTCTCTAGTCTGTAAAAATAATTTAAATAAAATTTGTAATGAATTTTATGAGATTTACAATTCTTTTACAGAAGAGGAATCCTGCTAAAAGGGATATACTACTAGGGGTGCCTGGGTGGTACAGACGGCGAAGTGTCTGACTTTTGGGTTTCAGCTCAGGTTGTGATCTGAGGGTTGTGAGACTGAGCCCTGTGTCACTGTGCTCAAGCACAGAGTCTGCTTAAGATTCTCTCTCCCTCTCCCTCTGCCCCTCTCTACTGTGTGCTCTCTAAAATAAATGAGTAAATAATAAAAAAGGGGGGATACACTGCTAGAAACCAAATTCCTAGTGGATGGGAGTTAAGGAAACACAGGGGAAGTCTCGAGTAAAAAAAACGCATTATGAACCTTAATAAATGAAGTAAGAATTAAGACACTTTCATCTATTTTCTCTTCACATTTAAATGTTTGTTTCTACTGATTGTTTTTAGGACTTGGGTGACTGGAATATCTAAGTGGAAAGGATAAAGAAAAAAAGATAAATGCTATTTGATTTTACCTGAGGGCAAACATGTCTTAGTCTGTAGATTGTAAACTGACCCAAAAGTCGTGTGTCATAAGAGAGATCATAAACTACAGACTTAGACTGGTCTTTATATCCTGCTTCTGCATTGTTAGAGATGTTACTCATGCTCCAAGCTTCCATTTAAAATAGAAATAATACTCTGCAAAATGCTATGAAAATTATACCTCAGCACAACATAGACACAACTTTTCATTATAAAGTATTTGTCATGTGTGGCAAAGAGATGACCAAAGAATGTCACGTAGTATTGTAACACATTTTTACTGATAGTATTTACTGTAGTAAAAGTTTGTGATGAGATTTCAGAGCATCCTGAATTAGAAATCTCTAAGGCAAAATGAACACCTCTAAAGAGCCTGATTTTCATCACCCTGTTAGCTAATTCTTTTTACACGAGTAGTAGTGGTACAACAGTGAGTACTATAATGAATTGGGAAATGTATACCTTTAATTTTTGGAGGAACTAGTCAAATATTAGAGCTTAAGACGAATATCATGAATAGTTAAATTTTTTTTTTTTAACAAATCCTACACAATTTATTTCCATTTGTACCATCTATGCACACTACCTGGTATCAGAAAATTCAGCTAACAAACACATACAGGGCTACCATAGACTCACACCTGGGACACTTCATTTCTTGGCTGGACTGGTACATCGGTTTCACAATTTGCCTGTGCATCTTCCTCAGCACACAGATCCAGTGCGGCAGCAACTGTGGCATAACCAGGGTCCTCTCTGGTAGATTCTTCTGGATCCAAGTGGTTCCTGTGACTCACATCTTCAGCCATGTATCCCTTCCCTTCATCATTCTGGCCTACCTCATTCTCGTCATTGTTTTTATGTTCCTGTTTATTATTTTCACAACAGTCTTGACTAATGTTCTCAATTTCAGGATCTGGTTCATTTTCGAAAATGGACTTAACATCTGCCAAGATACCATTAGTTGACCTAAATGGACTTGGCTTGCTTTTTGGTCTTGTCTCAGATTTATTGAATTCTGCAGGATCTACAATACCTTCTGTTGTGTGTTTTTCTTTATTACTGTAATACCATAGAATATTTTTAGGTATCTGATGGTATAAGTTGTCACTGGCATCTATTCCCTTCCCATTTTTAATTCTGAAAGCTGTTTTGGTTTTTTTTCTGTTCCTGTATAAAGTGTTCTTTTTGTGAAAAATATTATGCCTGTATTTATTAACACTGGTAGCAAGGGTAGAAAGTGCAGTTGTGTCAAATAACAGATTCTGCTTGAAGCAGAAGAAAGAGAAGAAACGTGAAAAGAAGAAGAAAATAATAAAAATATGCACACTACTTGTTTTAAAATAAGATACAGCAAACAACTCTATATTAATGATTTCTTATAAAGGAAAACTAGAAATATATCACACGTTTGAATGGAAACAATGCTATAACATAGTTTCTAATTTACCCAATTGTATGTATGTTCTTGCCACATCAAAACTGGAAATGTAACTTCATTTAAAATCTCATTTGTAATAAAGTTTTATGCAAAGCATAAGAATTTTAAGATTACTTATGTAAGAAGGATTAAAGAAGTTAATATACATCACTACCTGGTAAAAATAAAGGTTGGATTTACTGCACTAATATTCCAAAAACAATCTAATGTTGTGGGTCAAATAAAGGTACAAGTTGATATCACTTTTAAACCTTAAAAACAGAAACAAAAAGGTGTACACTTACTGAAGGTCTAGAAGATGCATCCTTTGAAAACTGTTTTTCTAAAACATGAAGTTTTTCTTGTAGGTATCTGTTTTGTAGATGTAAATCCTCTATGACAGAATCTCGAGGAAGAGCTTGGCGGCTCCTAGGAGAAGCAACAACAGACACTTTACTATTCAAACTTCAACTTCTCACAGATTCACTATAAGAAAATACCGAAAAGAAAGAAAATATGTATTTATTAGCACTGTGTATTTATCTTAAATTCTACAAAACTTATAAACTTCACAAAAATTAGGACATGACTATTTATATTATAAAGTGATCCTCTACAGAGGATTGCTGCATGGCTCTTCTGAATTAGGAGTTAACAAGTGTATTTTGATTTACAGAAATATATTAACATCTTTAAGGAACATGTGTCTATTTATATGGCATTGTGTAAGACAAATCAAAATAGCCACTACTTTTAAGACATTATATAATAACTCCATAACATCTGTGTACTTCTTGAGAAGCTCAAGGACTTAAAAAAGGCTCTTATTGGTGCCAGATAACAATCTGTTCCTCCAACTGTCACATGTGTGGCCTACAAGACCCTCCATAATCTGGCCCCACTACACCTATTCAATCTAATTGACCAGGGGTCTACTTTTACTAAGGCAAAAAGTCTACTTTTACCCACACATTAAAGCTTCACCCTTGCCACTATGCATCTAATAGGGTTCTGCTCTCTTGGAATGTCCCTCCTCCCTTTAATACCTAGTTCTGATACATGAAATTTAGAAATTCAATTTGAACTGAGAAGATAAGTTTCATCTTTTCTAACAAATCTCCAATTACTTTGGCCCACAGAGATCCACATTATTAGGGGGAAAAAATTAAACCTCTAACTGTATTAGGTTTCAAAACTAAAATATTTTGATCCTTGTGAAAACTGCAAAGGAGAATAAAAGGGTTTAACGTTGTTCTGAACATATGTTTAGATCAAGAAAAGGAAGGGAAAGAAACAGGTGTTGAAAGAATTCTTCAATCGCTTTTTTCTTCTCAATCAAGAAAAATTCTGAGGGATTTAAGAAACAATGAGTTAGACAAAAAGGGGAGGAATGGAGGTTAGAAGCTCACAGGTGTTCCTTTAAAAGAGTTCACATTACATTAAGACTGACCCAATCGGGCAGCCCAGGTGGCTCAGTGGTTTAGCGCCGCCTTCAGCCCAGGGCGTGATCCTGGAGACCTGGGATCGAGTCCCGCCATTGGGCTCCCTGCATGGAGCCTGCTCCTCCCTCTGCCTGTGTCTCTGCATCTCTCTCTCTCTATGTCTCTCATGAATAAATAAATAAGCCCTTAAAAAAAAGTTGACCCAATTGCAGGCATTACAAAGGAAGCACTAAGCACCATTAATTACTAATGGTAATTTTTGAAGATTAACAGAAAGGAAAAAAAGTATGATAAACTTAAGAACAGCAAGTATCCTCATATCCAAATATGATAGGTAGGTACCAGACTTCAAACATGATCATTAAGATGATTCCGGACTGCTTGTAAGCACGTAGCAGAGGAAGTAACAGATGATGTAAAACTATGTTCATCTAAGAAGTGAATGAAACAGATTATTACAGTTTCGTTAGGACACGACTGTATTTTGCTTTACATGACTGTGATTGTATTAGAAGACACAACTTGGAAAGACATGATGAAACAAAAAAATTTCAAAGGCTCTGCTAAAGAAATGGCACAGGCGGGGGGTGCACTGGTTCTAGGTACAGTGTAGTAATAAACACGTCCAATCTTGTCTCTCCCAAATGCATGGAACAGCTATTTGAGAACTTTGAAAAGTAAATATTTTACACATTGGGACAAAATACCAGAATTTGAAGTGTCAGCAAACAGGCAGTAATTTACCTTTTCTTTTCCTCTGATGTTTCTTGGCCTGAATACAACGCTGAACATGAAACCTGAGCGTGAGTGTTAATATGGAGGAAAGAAGCTCCAAAGAAGCCTTAAAATTCCAGCTCCAGCAAGGAAAAAGGGCACTTAGGATAATTCCAGAGAGTACAACAATTCCCCTCCCCCATTATTTTTTTCTTGTATCCAATTCTCTCCTCCTCCCTCAAGTAATCCCATGGCAGTGGTGGTGGCAGTGGTGACTGCAATGAGAACCCATAGGAGCTGAAGTATTTAAGAGAAGGAATCTTCTCCAAATGGTAGAGTTGTGATTGCTATGGAGGTACAGTGGCAGTAGTCCCTCTCCCCCACACCCTGCCAACCCCTCTTTCTGCTCTCCTTTTGCTTGCTCAGTTCCATACAGGTGCACAACTGCTGAAGCGAACAGTAGAACAGGGTTCCCCTGAGCCCCAACTTCATTCGAAGTAGCAAAAGGGGGAGCCCTAGGGAATCAAAGTATTAGGGAGGTCACTGAAAGGGAGGGACACATGAAAGGGATCTTATAAAGTCCTTTATGAATTTATGGGCTCATTGTTGAGCTGGGTGTGCCTGGATCTGATCTTAAAGTAGCAAAGACTCCAAGAACTGAACTAACGGACCAAAGATGGCCCAGGTACTAGACTTCCAAACTGGGAGGTGCACAGGCAGGACAGATCCAGAGACTGTAAACGCTTTGAAAAGGAAATGGACATTGGAACCACAGCCCACAGAAAGCAGGTGGAATATGGGGCCGGAACCTAGTCAAACTGCCTATTAAAACAAAAATATCTACATTCTCCATAGAATTAACCAAGATCCAAAGTTTCACCACATAATATTCAGAAGTTCAAGAATACAATCCAAATTACATGGCATACAAAGACCCATGAATATCTTAACTCACGTTGGGAAAAGACAACAGTACCCAAGTCTAAAGTAATACACGTTCATTACATCCGTTTCTATGGGTCAGCTAGTTTTTCTTCATTATAACAGGTACCACATTTTTTCATGAAACAGCCTACCTCATATAGGAAATGTCATTTTCTAAGTCAAGATTTCTCTTTTTCAATTCTTCCAACTCTTTTTCTGACTCGAAAGCTCGCACTCCCATAACTTGATCAACAGTAATGCCAGTTGTTTTTAGTTTCCTCTGCAAACTAAGTTTCTCTTTGTCAGCTCTGTGGGATTTAATATAGCATCATGAAAATATATAATTCACTGTTTTGCTCATTCAGTTTATTAAACCACATCTCATTCATTATAAGACCAACATAAAAAACTAGATCTTTCTGTATTTGCTATGAGCTAACATCTCAAAATTATAGGAAACTCCACTTATAAACTGTTAAAATACTTTTAAACACATTTTAAAGAAAATAAAAAAGTGAGTCATAGATAATGATAATTAAAACTAGAAAATTTCTCAAGTATGATATCAAATATGTACTATCAAATATAAAACAATATAACTTCCAGATCAATTAAAGACTGCATATAATTAGGCTTAAATTTGAACTCACTTGGCAAAAAGATCCTTCAAAGTATTCAACTGCTTTGTTAGGATATAGACTTCCCCCTCTTTTTCTTTCAACTTGTTTCTAATTCCCTCTATTTTAGTTTGCCATTTTTTACCTTCTTCCCACCTAATTAATTCTTCTTTTGTACTCTATAAATAATAACAGAGGAGAAAAATCACCGATATTGTTTTTAATGTCAAGATTTATCCATTACAATTTACTAGAACAATGGCACACCAATACTTTGAGAATATGTAAATGCATTCATTTGGCTATGTAATTTCTAGAATCTTCAGATATACCAAGTTATTACCAGAAATGACCCTCAGTTTAAGGGTTCTGTATTCTATCACTTAGTAGATGATATTCTAGGGAACAGTCTGGACTAATGCTAGCAGACTTAGGAGTCTTTTAAGATTTTAATAACAATGATCATGATCAAAGTAAGCTTCTAACAAAGAACATGTAAATATAAATGACTAATCCAATTTTAACCAAAATAACAATCTTTAAGCATCACAGTCTCTTCAAATCTTCAATGCACATGACTTCTTTTATTCAATAGATGGTTATATAGCGTTAGTCATCCACCAAATACTATTCTAGGCACTAGAAGCAGAAGCAATGAAGAAACCATAGAAAAAAGCATTACAATCTAATTAATGTTGGTTGGGTAGATTAGGGAAAGGGAGCAAAATATAGACAAAAAGCAGGAAAAAAATATAATGTAGTACATTAGCTGATGATAAGTGCTGAAAAAAAAAGGAGCAAAGAGAATTAGCTAATAGCACTAGCAATGCCACTGGAATACATAAATTGCCTATACATACATTTGTATCAGTTTGCATTTTTAGCTCTGAACTCATGTTAATGCTATTAAGACTGCTTCATTATGTTTTCTAGTGTAGTATGTCAGAGCATCTTTATATTGAAATATGAGAAATATAAAAATATTATTTTTATAAATTATTTTTGTTTCTCCTTTTTCATTTATAATGATTTTTTTGAAATTACACATGTAGGTAGTTTCTATTAACTATAAATTTCTTTTTTTATTTAAAGATTATATTTATTTATTTGAGAGACATATCAAGAGAGAACATGAATAGTACAAAGGATGTTATGCTACATTGTATTTATTACAAAAAGCAATGTCAGGGCTGAAAGAGTTAAAAGACATAGTTTAAACAAATGCCCAACTAAGATAAGTTGCGCTATCAAAACTGTCTTCTTTGACACTGGCCAATTTTTTTACCTTATTTTTTTAGTTCAGCTAACAAGTATTATTTTAAAAAACATAAAAGCTTTAGTGTTTGATCATTATTAACTTTTTTTCCTAAATATATATAAGGAATTTTGTGACTTCCAGAAATATAAATATTAGTTTGGGCATAATGGTATATAAGTAATTCTGCAGCATGGAGTGCATTGTAGGGATTAGGCAATTCTATCCCATCTGACAATACCCTCAATTAAGACAGCAAAAGGAGGCTGAAATAATTTAAAAATGAACCACAGCAACAAAAAATAAAGGCAAAGGTCACCAAAGATGTTCTAAAATGGGGAAGAAGATAGAATGCAGAGAGTTCTCTTTTCACATTTTCTGTACCAACAGCCTCTCAGGCATGGATTTCAAAATAATTTAACTGCATTTTAAATTTTTCATTCATTTAATAAATACTGAGCATCATACATGCCAAGGACTGTTGTAGATGGCAAGGATACAACAATAAACAAATCAGGCAAAATCTCTGCCATGAAAGCTTATAGTCCAAAGGATGAATACATAGACAAGTAAATCTCTAGTGTGTCAGATAATAATAAATGCTATGGAGAAAGGTATAAGACACAGGAATGCAAGGCATGGAGGGGGTTTGATATCTCACATAGATAAGCAATAAAGAGTTGACAGAGAAAAGGGTATAGAAATTTCAATATAAAAGCATTCATTGAATATAAAAACATTCATAAATTAGAAATGCCCAGTACTGTAGAATTTGAAGTAATACTCTCACTAGATTCCTGGATACAAATTTTAATATTCGGGTTGCTCTTTGTGTTCTCTTCCTACTTAGTAATAATATCATACAGTGGTACTGACTTGATGGCTTACAAGAGACTTGCACACATTATTTCATTTGATTATCAAAATAATCTTGGGAAACTGGCAATGCAAATAGTATAATTTCTATTTTCTGGAGAAATAAACTGAAACACAGATTAGGAATCCAGGCAAAGCCACAAAGCTACTGAGGGATTTTGATAGGAATCAGTTTAGGAACTGGTATTTAAAGATAGGCCTTAAATACCAGTGGGGAGGCGGCAAAGGAAGCAATCTGTAAGAGCAAGGATATTTTTATCTTGCAATTTTTACCAGTGAAGCTTCTGACAGGAAGTATGCTGTGGTTCAATGTAAACAAATGCAAACATTTTAATAAAACTTATACTAACATTGGTGAAATTTCATAAGTAAAATAAATTTTGGAATATACTGTATTAAGATATTTTAATTCCATTACTATTTTCTATTCAGTGGCATTAAAGACACTTAATTTTCTTTTTTATGTTCATGTTTTTCAAATTGTTTTATAGATATTGAATATTTTCTGGGTAAATTTTACAATAAAAATGTTTCCTAACCTTTGCTCCTCCAATGTAATTTTCTGCAGGGGCAAACATTACTACTAATACCAATATTTCCCAGGTCTTTTTGATATTTTCAATGCTACTGATATAAATCTTCAGTTTATTATTTGTAATAAATCAATTTAATTATATGCATTTTAGCTAGTTTTAGGGAATTTGAGGGGATTGCTAATTTCTGTCAGTAATTTTTGTTACAAAATAGTTTACTAGCTAACCATTAGAAAATTTTAAGCAACTTTTTTCCCATTACAGAATCAATTTATGAAAGTTTTGGTTACTGATTACCACAAATATTGGTCTGTGGTAATCAGTAACCAAACTTTGTTTATCCTGAACTAACAGTAATCCAGTCTATTAAAGGATAAAAAAGACACATTTGGGGCAAGGTAGCAGGCTAAATATGCCTAACTTTCTTTCCAAAATCAAAAGCACCGATTTATATAACAGTGGGTTGGGGAGAAGTTGGATAGGTGTGAGGGGATTTTAGGGGTTCTAGAATGTCAGGAAGAGGATATGGAGACAATGTAGTGACTTCTGGGTACGAGTTACATTATAGGTGTCTCCTGTAAATTCTTAAAGGACAGAAACTTGTCTTAGACTTCTCTGTGTTATTCAGTACATTTATTGTATGTATTAGGTCCTCAAATTAATATAGTATATCCTCCGTTCATCAGTTATATAATTTACCTTAGTTTATCATTACCTTAAACATATTAATCAGTATGTTTCTTCACATACCTTTTCTTTCACAGGCTTTATTTCTGCCTCATCCACCTTTCTTTCCAGTTGGCTTTCTAGCTTTTTAATTTTCTTTTGGAGTTCTTCAATTAAACTTTGTTTATTATCTATTAGAGGTTTCCCCTGAAATAGAAGACATATTTTTACTTTTTTACGAGTAAAAACTATCAAACAAAATACACAATAAATATTCCAATTATAGAAGTTTCCTGAGGCTATAGCTAACCATCTTGTCTAAATGCACTTTTGATATAGAACATAGTAGCTGCTTCTGCATTTTAAAGAGGTTACTCTAAAATCACAAATATGACAGAGGTCACTGAAGGAATTACCAACATCAATCAAAGTGATCTGAAAGCTAGTTTCAGCAATTATTTATAGATTAAAGTAAAAAGTGGGAATAAACTACTACCTATATGTTTTAAATCAAAGATATGATCACAAATATAAAATCACCTGTAATCCACTGGTTAGTCTTTTAATTTGCCTTTTCAGTTCATCATTCTCTTGATCAATTCCATCTTTCTCTCTAAGCATTTTATTATAGGCTTTTTGTTTTTTTTGCAGTTCATTCGTTAAGTCATTCAAATTATCGCTTAGTGAGTTTTCTCTGTTTTTACTTGTTTTAAGAGCTTCTTTCAATTTTAAAAGATTTTCATTTAAATCATCAATTTGTGACTAAAAGTAAAGAAAGGATTAATTCACAAATCTTCATCAAGTATCAATAAAATAGAATACATCTATTACTTAATAAAAAGAAAGTGTCAATCTAAGTTTTTATTATTAAAATAAATTATTCTTAATAATACTTATTTAAAAGGCTTGGTTAATATTTATTAAATTAAAACATGCTAAAAATAAAGTTTCAAATCTAAATTTTTAAGTTCCCAGGGGGGAAAAAAAAAAACAACTAAACACCTATCTTCATTTCAAATTAACCAAGTCTACTTTGAGAAAAACAAAATGTGATATAATACCCTAAGGCACTTCATCTTCAGCAAATACTCAGAAATAAAATGTTATCAAACAAGCAAATGTTTTGTTATGGCTAAACTAAGTTATTAAAGGGACAAGTACGTATGAATGTATATGGTGATGTTTTAAATGCTATGAAGCCTAAGATTAGTATAAAACAAAATCTCTGATTTGTAGTAGTTTCTAAACCATTTTGTAAAAATAAGACATGAAAGGGTAACTCGTAATACTTCACAGTATATCTAAAGCCACTACACAGTAGTTTTCAGCTGTCCCATACAAGAACAGTGATGGAAATGCTGGTACTTAATATGTTTTCTTGGATAAATTACTACAGGCCAAAAGTATTACTAATGACACTAATAAGAAATTAGCAATATTATAATGCACTTAGAAGAAACACATTAGCTGTCCAAGGAGAAGTGAGAAAGGACTTTAAAACCGTGAAGAAGAAAAAAAAAAAAAAAACCATGAAGAATTCAGAGAAGATGATGCATCAGGCAGAGAAAGGTATTGAAGAAGATATCAACAAAGGGCTATTCCTGTTTATACATTTATTTACTTAATGGATTTTCTTTTAAGATTTTATTTATTTATTCATGAGAGAGGGAGAGAGAGACAGACACAGGCAAAGGGAGAAGCAGGCTCCGTACAGGGAGCCCAACATGGGACTCGATCCCAGGTTCCCAGGATCACACCCTGGGCAGAAGGCAGCGCTAAACCGCTGAGCCACCCAGGCTGCCCTACTTAATGGATTTTTGCTTTCAACTGTGCTCATAACCTTGGCAGGTACAATGAGAGCTTTAAAAACGCTAAATAGGGACACCTGGCTGGCTCAGGCAGAACACGTGACTCTTGATATCAGGGTCGTGAATTCAAGCCACATGATGGGGGTAGAGATTACTAACAAAAAAATAAATGGAGGGATCCCTAGGTGGCGCAGCGGTTTGGCGCCTGCTTTTGGCCCAGGGCGCGATCCTGGAGACCCAGGATCGAATCCCATATCGGGCTCCCGGTGCATGGAGCCTGCTTCTCCCTCTGCCTGTGTCTCTGTCTTTCTCTCTCTCTGTGACTATCATAAATAAAAATAAAAAATAAAAAATAAATGGGGAAAAAAAAAAAACCCTAGGCAAAACCAGTCCCTACACAGTTTAATGGTGGTGAAGAGCACATTCAAACAAATTGAGTAAATCAAAATTACAAACATATAAAAAGTAGATTTTTCACTTCATGCAGAATGTACTATATAAGCTTTGTGTAAAGAAATTTAAAACTCATTATGAAATATATAATGGGTGACGGGCACTGAGGGGGTACTTGATGGGATGAGCACTGGGTGTTATTCTGTATGTTGGCAAATTGAACACCAATAAAAAATAAATTTATTAGTTAAAAAAAAGAAATATATATGTTTTGTAAAAAAAAAATTTTTTTTAATCACCAAATCTAATCATTGATCAGATATGAACACAGTAATATACACTGCCAAAAAATTAACAAATAGCTTCAAAAAGGCTTCACAGTTAGGTAGGTCTATGGATTAAATGTTAAGGACTATATATAACCTCCCTAAACTATTTCAGGGATAAAAAAAGAAAGCTAATTAACTCATATTATGAATCAGCAAAAATTAGAAAATTCTGATAAAGCAAAAGAAATCAAACAAAACAAAGAAATCTATACATCTATTGCACTTATCAATATAGAAACAAAATTCCGAAGTAAAATGTTTCTTAACTTTATTAGGAAGAAGTAGTTAATAATGGCCTATCTTGCTAATCTCCAGGATGATAGTGTGTGAGTACAATAAAGATTCTTAGTGTTCAAAAATGAATGTGTATATATATATCTATATATATTTAGATATATATATACATATATATCTCCATCAATAGTTCATTAGAATAAATTCCCTATTCATTATCAAAATTATCAAAGTAGATCCTCTGCCAATAGCAATTATAAGGAATTTTGTTATACTGATGCATTTGTTATGTTCACCTTTAGCTCTTTTGTATGTCGATCAACAATTTGTTGAACATTGAGATTTGCCTCTTTCTGAGAAGTTGCAGAAATAATACGTTCTTCAGCTGCTGCTGTCATTTCTGCCCTGAGTTCCAAAAGTGCTCGACTAAGTGCCTGAAAGTTATAACATATATACTTTTTTTAAAAAGTAACATTTTATATGAGCAACATGTAATCCAAAAAATAATATGCTTTATAACTTTTAACTATTTTCCTAAAATACCATGTAAGTAAATATAATTCACTAACAGTTCAACTTTTTCAAATGAATTTCCTTTACTCATTGCACTCAATTCTTTCCAAACTGAGTGTGAGACTTCAAAATCTTGACAATAATAATTTTGAGGGCCCAGCATTAAATCAAGCCATTTGTGTGACAAAAACCATCCACTTTGTTTCAATATCCAAGTTTAGATATTTATCTGAATTACTCACTTAGCACATACTTCTGTTTGAAACTAATTGAATTATACAGACAAGGGAAATTATAGGATTAGGAAAAGACTTAAAATTTGCCAATAAATTACATAAACTGGCACAGAAGAACAGCAGCACCTCCTAAAACAATTGAGTATTAAATCTGAAATAAAGTTTAAAAACTAATACATCACTGATAAGCCACTGACCAACTGCATCTCAAAAAACTATCTGTGACCTCCTTCTTTAAACTTTCTTCCTCACTGTCATATCTCTCTCATATTCCCCCAAATTGTTCAATTATACAGTGTTCAAAATAGCCTTAGTAGCAGAAAATCCCAGTTAGAAAAGGAGAGAAAATAATGGGATTAAGATTTCCCCTTACTTCCCATAGATAACTCACAGATCAAACTGATGACAACATAAAAAGATAAACTGGACTACAGATGTACTTAAAAACACCACCAAATGGCTATTTAAAAGAATTATCTTGAAAACTTCTGCTTAATAGACTAAAACCAAGCTCATACTTTTTATTGCAACAGAGAGGTATATGCTACTATCTTGTGCAAGTCTTTTCTCACAACAATCTATTACCACTTGTATTTCCTAAGTATTGATAATAGTCTGTTATCACTTACTTTTTGTTGTTTCTCTTTCAAGGCTAACTGGCTCTTTAGCCTTTCTACCAGATTTCTCATTGTAGTTGTTGGAGCTCTTGAATTTGCTTCTTTTTGAGCCTGCAGTTCAGATTTTAAATTCTGTGACTCCTTTTGTGAGTGGGCCAGAAGACACCTTAAATCCTCTACTTCTGCTTTCACTTTTTTTACTTCATCTGCATGGTTTTCTTGGAGCCTAATATAAGGAAACACATGTATTTAATGGAGTGACTGCTGTAATTAACACTTTGATACAAATTTTACACAGAGCCAACGTTTGGCCCTAAGTATCCTTACAACCTAAGCCTTGCTTCACATCAAAACAAGGACAATTCTTCGTTGCACTTAACTAACTCTTAAACCTAACGTAAAATAGACTTTTCCTTTTAGTTTGTCTACTATTGTTGGCAAGGACTGTATCAAGTAATTTTTTGGCTCTAAACAATATAATGAATAAAATAGCACTTTAAATACTATTACTATGTCTCGGGGATCCCTGGTTGGCTCAGCGGTTTTGTGCCTGCCTGTGGCATGATCCTGGAGTCCCGGGATGATCCTGGAGTCCCGGGATCAAGTCCTGCATTGGGTTCCCTGCATGGAGCCTGCTTTTCCCTCTGCCTGTGTCTCTGCCCCTCCCTCTCTCTGTGTCATAAATAAATAAATAAATAAATAGTCTCTTGCAACATGTGCCAAAAACTGAAGTTACCTCAAATAATCACCAAATTGTGAAAATATGAGGTTTTACTAAAGAAAACACACAGATCTATAATTTTCTAAGACACATTAAAATATACATGTCACTGTGTACACTGAGAATAAAAGTACAATTTTAGTCTAACATGATGTGGTAAGGTACAAGACTACTCAAGTATTTCATGTGACAAAAATTTATATATACCAGGTAATTTCAAAGGATGATTACTTTCTACACCCAGGAATTAGATTAAAAAGCATAAGCAATTTTATATACCAAAACGTGATACAAACTTACTACACTAAAATAACATCTCATGTATAAAATAATACAGTGGGGAAAAGTAGATTGAAAAGATACCAAATAGGGCACCTTGGTGGCTCAATCAGTTAAGTGTGGATTCCAGCTCTGGTCATGATCTCAGGGTTATGAGATTGAGCCATTACTGGCTCTACCTGGGCATGGAGCTTAAGATTCTCACTCTCTCTCCCCTCACCAACCCCACCCCCCATCCCCATCCCAGCCTCTGCTAGGGCTTAGGCACACTCTCTCTCTCATTAAAAAAGAAACAGAAAAAAAAAAAAAGATAAATACTACTGCTGATTCTCTTTTCTTTTAGAGAATAATTTCTTAAAAGTGGTAACTTCTTAATAAAGCAAAAGTGGTGTTGATTTTGTTAGACATCTTGGATACGTTAGTTAAGAATAAAAAGTTCTACTAAGAACATCAGAGCTGGAATGGAATTATAAAGTCAAGTCAACTTTCCCATTTTTTTCAGATAAGAAATTGAGGTCCAGAGAGATACCTCTGTTAGGTAGAAGCCAGACAAGAGCTGTGGAAGGAAGTCCCTGAAGCGGAATGATGGAGACATGAGCTGGGGCAAGGTCAGTGATAATAAAAAAACAAAACAAAACAAGCTACACATTATAAGCCCAGGAGCTCAACAACCTGACTTTATGGCTTCCAAGGCCTTGGGCCTGACAGAGCAAGAGTCACAGATACAGAACCTGCCCTCTCTCCTTCCACCTCCGTCCCAGGGTTACCCCTAGACTCACTATTATGTATTTGTATTGTGGGCACAACTTCCTCCCCCTCCCCCAGAAGGGCTGCCAAGATGGTTCTGGTACAAACCTTGTAGGGCCAAAAACCCCCTCCCAACCTGTGGGAGGATTTTCCCAAATGACTGGAAGCGGCCTCCATTAGAGACCATCCCACTTAAGTCACAGCTCCTCCAAGCCCAGAGAAACCCAATAATATCCAATTTCAAAACAACTTGGGAGCCAGTTCCAACTCTTGGAACCTGCCCACTCTACCACCTTCACTTTAAGAAACTGCTTTCTGCTTGCTATTTTTCTTCTGGCTGTCTTATTCAAGTACTGATCCCCACATAAATCTTTTCATGGGAAATCCAAGGATAGAGACCTCCATTTACACAAGGCAGACACTCTCTAGTTCTTAATATTTTTACAGTGATTACAAAATACACAAACTTTAAAACTGTTCTGGTTTTAAAATCTATATTCTGGGGGATCCCTGGGTGGCGCAGCGGTTTGGCGCCTGCCTTTGGCCCAGGGCACGATCCTGGAGACCCCGGATCGAATCCCACATCGGGCTCCCGGTGCATGGAGCCTGCTTCTCCCTCTGCCTGTGTCTCTGCCTCTCTCTCTCTCTGTGACTATCATAAATAAATAAAAATTTAAAAAAAAAAAAAAAAAAAATAAAATCTATATTCTGATCAATTTGTTGAGCAATGTTTAGAATCTCTAATATAGAGAATGAAGCAACTGTCACTGATTAATTAAAAACATATTTTTTTCATTTAACAAATATTTGCTCATCCTCTATTATATGTCCCAGAAACTGTTATAGGTGTATAAAACAAAAGTTTTATATTTATGTATTACTTTGTAATCTTCAAATTACTTTCACATACGATATTCTTTGGCCTCCATAAAGAAGGAGCCAGGGTAAGTGCTGTCATTTACATTTTACAGATGATTAAATGGATGCTTTAGTTCAAGAGTTTAAAAACGAGGTTCTAGAACAAGAATCTTGAGTTGGCTCTTGCGCCAGACTGACGAGATTCAAATCATGGCTTTTCCATCTCCTAAGGCATGTTACTGAGCATTCCCGTGGCCTAACCTCCTATGTGAAAAAGGAGAGAATAGCCTATGTCATAGTAATCCTGAGGATAAAAATGAGATAATAATATACATGAAGTTTTTAGAACAGTGCATGACACAGCAAATGCTTACCTTTATCCTCACTGTATCATTATTACCATTTGCCTATATTTTATGATACATTCTTAAAGCTTACCGTAACTTGATATTTTCAAATTCTTTGATTTTTAATTCAGTGATTTCTTTTTGTCTCTCTAAATCTTGAGATACTTTCTTTAGTTTGACCAAAAGTGAAGAGAGAGAATCATCTTGTTCTGCTACTGTCTGTTCCATCTCAGCCAGGCGAATAAAATGCTTGTTGGTAGGAACTGGAGTAGGGGACTGTTTTATTAAATCCTAGGAAATATGAACAAATTAGCCATGAGCATGTACCACTCAATGCCATACTTAATCCATAACTTTGCCTTCTCAAATGATCAAAATATACTACCTAATTTAAAATTGAATGATATTTAATAGCCAATGGAGGCTTAAAGAAGATGAGAAACAGAGATCTTATTTTTTGTATTCACAGTCCCAAGTAAAGCATCTCCATGCAGTGGAGAATCAATAAATGTTGACTGAATTCATGATTTAAGGCTCAAGGATGCCAGGATTTGCCCATTTAGAGATGAAAGATATGTCACTTATAACATACAAAAAACAAAGATCAAAGGAAACAAGTATGAATGGAATTCAGAACATAAAAGCCGTTAGATTTTGGTAAACTTAAAATGAACACAACTTGAAAAGACAGACTGAGGGCACATCATGTAAGGTTCTGAGTACAGGACTAAGGAATATGAACATAATTTTGTAGGTTGCAGTGGGCTACTAAAGGTGTGAATGTAGGGAGAAAAATGATCAGAGCTATGTTTTTAGAAGATTATTCCAACAACAAAGGTAGGATGGCTACTTTTCCAAAAAACAAACAAACACGAGAGCTACATTTTCAATTATATGGTCTCAAAAGTCAATAAAGAATAAAGTTCCCAGAATCTTACCCAAGCTGTTTGTTTGAATTTATTGAGTGAACTATCAGCCTGTAGTTCTAATTTATGATGAAGAATATGAAGGTCTTCCTCATGTTTCTTAACAATTTCTCTTTGTTCCTGTTGACAGCAAATCAAAACTGTATTTTAAATTATGATTTAATTTAAATTAAATTAAAATTAATTTAAAATTCACATTTTAAAGTCTTGAAAATTTTATTACCTTTAATCTTCCAAAACCCTTATGAGATAGGGAAGGACCAATATCTGCGTGTACACACACACACACACGCACGCACGCGCTCCCCCCGCAAATATGCATTCCCCTAGTACATGTTCAAGTTGATAAATCCAGTCTTAAATCACAACTTACTCTTAATATTAAAATAATATGAATCCATCATCTTTTAACTGGTTTCTAAAAAATTTTTGTAAATGTTAGATTTTCCCATCAATGTTCTAGCAAATTGGATTTCCACTGACTACTAGTATGATGGAGTTCATTCTAACTTAGTGCCTCATTCTTTTTACCTATAAACTCAACTGATATTTTTCAAAATCCTAACAGTTGCACCATGACAGCTATTCCTGGTTTTCCTGAGGGAAAGAGAGACATATATAAACTGCCAGTTTTACTGACAGATCTGTAATCCAATCATGTGAAAGGTAAAATTCCTAAATAGAATCATTTGAAAGCAAGAAACGAACTACCATTTTAGGGCAGAATTATATTTGGCATTGGCTAAAAAAACATGGTAATAAATAAAAAGGCACAGCATAATAACATACCTCTCTGGCTTTTTCCAGAAGATGCTGATACTTCTTTAATACTTCTTCCTTCTGATTTAACCTTGCTTGCATATTTGCAATTGTCTGCTGAGCAATTTTCAGTGTATGATGTGATTTTGGTTCTACCTCTTTTCTGCCCAGTTCAGCTATCAGCTTTTCACGTTCTTCAGTGGCAGGCAATCGAAGCCTCAGTTCATTGATTACTTTGTCTCTTGACAGAATATTTTGCTCTGCTAACCGTAAAGCAGATTCTTTTTCTTTTAGTTTCTGCAATGATCAAGTTGTAATAAAATTATTAAAGTCTGTTTTTTTTCTTTTAAAAATGCCTCACCTCAATTTTGGTCAGATTAATTATAAGCAATAACAGGAATTTCACTTTATTTTTCACATAATATTCATACCGATATTATATTGATATTAATAAGGTTATATTTCTTATATTTCCATGCGACAGCAGTTATCTGCATGCACATTTTACTTATTCAAAAATTATCACGTGTTATAAACTTCACTGTTATGATGAAAATAAAATTTAATTAAGGTACTTTATTTAGCTCTTGTAGTTTTAGAACTAGAAGCGTGTGGCAGTACTAGATTTAGAACGAAAATGTCATAAATCATCCCTTTTATTTTGTTCCATTGACTGTCAGAGCCCTACACGAGTAGTCCATAAGTCAGTTAAGTTATAAAAATTGAAACTTCAGCGACCTTAGTCAATGAATCACCACTCTACAATATGTAGTTTATTAAAATAAAACAGGAAAAATCTTTACTCTTCAACAAGATTAAGGCAGATATTTTAAATCAAGTAACTCAGTGGCAATTCACATAAATGTCAAATCTTACAATTACCAAAAAAAATCTTAGGTTTCCTCAATTGATTAAAAATGTACAGTTTTACTCATGAAATTTTAAAATGCATTTAAAATTACTTCATTTGGATGTAAACCAAAATGAAAGTCATCTTCAGTTTTTATTATCTTCTGTAATTATAACTTACTACGATTGATCAGTGTGCCCAAAAGTGACAAGTAGTGATTAAATGGGAAAGAAATTCAAATTAGCCCTATCCACTATTCTTTACTGGCTATTAAAAACATTACAGTAGAGTAGAAAAGGAGATTGGAATTAGCAACAGATTCATAATTCTGTGCTTCACCTCTGTTAGAAAATATTTAGAAAATTCCACAAACAATAATACACAAATAAAAATGCAATACAATAATACACAAATAAAAATGCAAATTTTACTAATTACCTCTTCTAGTGATTTACAAGTTGCCCGTGTTTCTAGGATTATTCGAACATTCTCCTTTATTTTTCTTAGAGCAATCTCAAGTTGATTTGGAAGAGGTAAACTAGGGTCTGGCATTGATCCTGTAGCTTCTTCAAACTATTAAGAAATAGCATTAAAAAAAAAAGCAGTTACATCATTAAGAAAATACTATTGCAACCATATAATAAGGACATGGTTAAATCCCACTTATATTTGTTTTTTTTGTTGTTGTTGTTGTTTTTTAAAGATTTTATTTATTTATTCATCAGAGACACAGAGACAGAGACGCAGAGACACAGGCAGAGGGAGAAGCAGGCTCCATGCAGCCCATAGGACATAGGACTCGATACCAGGTCTCCAGGATCAGGCCCTGGACCAAAGGCGGTACTAAACCACTGAGCCACCGGGGCTGCCCCTCCCCCACTTATATTTCAAATATAAGTAAGTAGCAAACAGAATTAATCACTCATACCTTTTGTGCTGCTTTTAGTATTTCATTTTGCTGATGGTCAAAAATGTCGAGTTGACGTTCCAGCTCAACTTCTCTTTGGTCCCAGGCCATCTGCCTTTCTTCATGAAACTGTACCAGACACACACAAAGACACTCACCAAGCATATAACAACGGTGTTAATATACATTTTCTTATCTAATCCTCACAACAACCTTTGGGGTCACTATATTCTCAATTTATGGAAAAAAGAAGCAAACTCAGAGAGATTTAAGTAAGTAACTTGCCCAAGATCACAGAAATCAAATATGTGAAGTCAGGATTTCAATCTCTCCATGCATCCATCCATAATATTTAATGACATGTACTATGTGCTCAGCACCATTCTAGATAACATGACCATTAACAGTGAACAAAACCAAGTCCCTTTCATTATGAAACTTATGTACTTGTCAGGGAGAGACAGTCAATAAATATGTAATATATCAGAGGGTGACAGGTGCTGGAGAAAAAGGAAGCTAGATAATCCCTATTTGGGAATCTTGATGGTAGGATTTACAGTTGTATACTGAGAGGCTAGTGAAGGTCCACTGATAAGGTAAGACAGTTGAGCTAAGACTTGGAAGCAATGAAACCACACACAGTACAGGGATCTGAGCTAGGAACACTCTAGGTGGAAGGAACAACATAATTTCTGAGGCCAGCAAGCATGAGCTTAGTGAATTTCATCTGTTCCACACCAAACTGCCTTCTACTACGCCATCCGTGAGAGCCAGGTGAAACTCATTACTGTGAAAAGTAACTAATATCAAAATAAAAATTAACTAAATTTATTATTCCTTTTAAATTTAAAATCACCATTACAACATAAGTAAATAATATAACATTTTTGAATGCTTTAAAAATAAGAAAGTCTTTTATAAAAAGAATAATGGGAACTATACTCAAGAGAATAATGCCATCACTCATGAGATATTCTTACGTTTAATGTCTTAGCAACGAAACAGCAAAATAAACATAAAATGAAACCTTGTTTTGCTGCACAATATCTTCCTCCAGACTGCTGATTGTATGCTCATATTCAGAAATTATATTATTCAAATATTTTATTTCTTCTTTATCCTTGACTAGTTCTCGATTCAGTTTAAGCTCTTGAAGACGAAGTTCTTCTATTTTCATATGCCAATTGATTACCTAAACATTTACAAATAATATGTACAAATGTAAACACTCTCTACGTAAATATATTTCTTCATTGCTCCTAATAATTTTAATTGAAATTAATATTCTGTAAGAATTATCCTTTGTTGAGCCACATGGCAAAGTTCATCTAGAACTTTCATAGATTCTTCTAAAAAATATGTGCCATCTTAACAAAACATTCTTCAAATGTTTCTATAATGTTTACAAATAACTAAAATTAGTATTCACTTAATATATATAAACATTTCGGGATCCCTGGGTGGCGCAGCAGTTTAGCGCCTGCCTTTGGCCCAGGGCGCGATCCTGGAGACCCGGGATCGAATCCCACGTCGGTGTTTAAAGTTCTCTGATAGTATATAATCTAAGCATTTCAACCAAAACCACTGTTTAGAAGAATCTCCTTTTATTTTTACAAATAGATATTCAAATAGCCAAAACTTTTAACTTATAATATATCTACATTAACAACAACATATAATTGGAATTTTGGTCATATAGTAAACATTTTTCAGATAGCTACATACTAAGAACTTAAAATTACTATGTAACTCTTTTGGAAATACTGAACTGAAAGTCAATATTTTACCTTTTGTGCTCCCCTGGCATCCTTTAGAGTGCTTATTAACTCTTCTAGCCCCTTTAACTTTAATTCCATTTCCATCGTTTTGTTCTCCATTTTTCTATGCTCTTGCTGAGAATTTTTCATTTCTTGCATTATCTTCAGTTTGTCATTTTGTAATTGAATCATTGTTTTAGAGAACTTTTCCTGTTGTGCCAAGGGTAAAGCTCCACTAAACTGTCGTCGTAGAGACTGAATTGTTTGGCGCAGATGTTTTGCTCTGTTTCTCCCCTCCAAACGGGCATAATAGAGAGCCTGTTCTTTTTCATCAAGTTTCTGCTCTAAGCGCAAATTACAGGCCTCTGTCTTCTGTAGTTTAGATGTAACTGACTCCAACTTACCAAGAACAGTGGCCTCACTAATTTGAAGAGAGACGATGTGTTGATGCAACTTGGCAATTAGTGCCTTTTCATCAGACTGCGCCTAACATAAAAAAGTACACATTTATAGTCAGTTTCAAGTTTTTCTAATGACACTTCTCATGGATTTAAAAACACAACTTACTAAGTAAGATTTTAAGAAGTGTGGTATATGAGATCCTATAAAAATCTTGCCTAGCTTTAATTCAGCTTTAGTTATATATAATTTTAATTATCAAAAACTTTGTTAAAGAAAAAAACCCAAACTCAAACATATTTAAAATCCAAATCTGACATCTAACTAAATAACGGTTGGCATATTACTGTTTTTTTTTCCAACTTCCATATGCAAATGACAATATTAGTGTAACACGAATGTGGACAATTTTTTTATCCTAGAAAAGTTTATATTGGGAGAATATGTGTGTGAGAGTTACATATTAATACAAGAAAAAATACTGTTATGAAAGACTATTTCTCCTCAGGTCTTAACTTTGACTTGCAGCCAGCACAATGTGTTTGTAGGTATTTAAATGCTTTTCTCTATCATGAATGATATTTCAAATTAAAAAGTTTTTCTAATCAGTTTACAGTGAACAAGAATAGGAGCCTCTATTTGACATACCCTCGGATTGAAACTGTAAAATCATCCAATATATAATGTGAATTTAGGAAAAGGGAAAAAAATCTATTTAGAAGAGCCAATGCTGTGCATACCTGATAGTCTAACAGTTGCATTCTGACAGATTCTACTTCCTTTTCCCTGGACTGTTGCTGTGCCTTCAAAATTTCAACTTGTCTTTTGGCAATATCAGAAATCTCTCTCAGTCTAGAAGGTGAAAAGATACCTCAGGAAAAATTAGGTACATTTTCTAACTAAATACCAGTATTCCAGTTTTCTAGACTCTTGGAAAAGCTGCTAATCTCCAGCATCTTTTCTTTTTAAGATTTTATTTATTTATTCATGATAGACACACACACACACACACACACACACACACACAGGCAGAGACAACAGGCAGAGGGAGAAGCAGGCTCCATGCAGGGAGCCTGACACAGGACTCGATCCTGGGACTCCAGGATGGTGCCCTGGGCCAAAGGCAGGCACCAAACCACTGAGCCACCCAGGGATCCCCGTCCAGCATCTCTTCTTAGCATCAAATACTAAAGTAAAATTTCCTCAACTGTTTCATGTAATGTAATTTCATGAGAGGTTAACATGTTCTGTTAAAAAACTTCATTCCCAAGATCCTTCCCTTGAAAATTCCTAATACAGAGTATTGTATGAAGTGTTCTGAGAAGTTCTAAAGCAAAAAATTATCTCAAATTACACATATACAGCATTTTCCAAATCTACATGACCACAGAACTTCTCTCCCACACTTTTAACATGAGATGCTTATTATCCTAGCTTGGCAGAGCTAGAATAGGTATTAAGTAGGTTTATTTGAATAATTGTACAGTCAAGAATACAGAAATTTAAGATTCCTAAGTTCCCTAGATGAATTAATATATGTTTTAAGTTATAAGCTATCAGGAATATGAAAAAAATATTATATGTTTACTACAATTTTTCTTAAAGATTTTTATTTATTTATTTGAGAGAGAACATGAGAGAACACAAGCAGAGGTAGCAGCAGAGGGAGGAACAGCAGGCTTCCCACTAAGCAGGGAGCCCCATGTGGGGCTGGATCTCAGGACCCTGGAATCATGACCTGAGTGGAAGGCATTGCTTAACCAACTGAGCCACCCAGGGACTCCCTGCTTACTACAATTTAAAAAAATGGAAGAAGCCTGATGGTAAATTATTAAATTTCCTACAAAACTACTATTATAAGATCACAGAGGGAAAGTAAAATGCATTTTACTTTGGGCAAGAATAATTTTAACTCACTGTCAGATAAGTCGGGTTTCCTCACATTGATTAGAAAGTCTCATTGCCAGTTGTTAAAACAGTTGTTTTAAAAGGGACACCTGGGTGGCTCAACAGTTGACCGTCTACCTTTGGCTCAGGGCGTGATCCTGGGTCCCGGGATCGAGTCCCACATCGGGTTCCCTGCAAGGAGCCTGCTTCTCCCTCTGCCTGTGTCTCTGCCTCTCTGTGTCTCTCATGAATAAATAAATAAAGCCTTGAAAAAAAACATATGCTTTAAAAATTAAAATATAATAAAATGAATACTTATAAATTAGTTTACTTCAAAAGATGAAGTCTATGAGGTAAGAGGAAGAAAAAATAAATGGAGTCCTTTACAATGAAATGGGCTGAGAACAACAGACATTCCAAGGGCTATCAAGGCTCCAAAAAATAACCTTATGATGAGCAAGCCATAAAATCATTTTTACAAATAGTTATTTGGGCTTAACAGAATACCTTATGGCTCCTATTACCTTTCTACTGAATTGATACAAAAATTACCCAGGAGAATGAATACACAGCGTCAACCTGGCACACAGTATTAATTTCTTACATATAATTTTTGTTCCAAGTAAATAAATTATTTTCACATGTAAAATAAAAATCACATTATGTTAGGATTATTAAGTGTGATTATAGGAAAAAAATCAATAAATAATTGTTTTTAAAAATGTGATTATAGGAGTTAATACATTCAATACCTAGCAGAGTACACAGTACTCAATGTCAATTGGATGGCTCAGTTGGTTAAACATCTGACTCTGATTTCAGCTCAGGTCATGATCTCAGAGTTGCGAGATCGAGGCCTGCATTGGGCTCTGTGCTCGGTGTGGAATTTGCTTGAGATTCTCTTCGTCTGTCTCCCTCTGCCCCTACCCCTGTTCATACTTTCTAAATTAATCAATCAATCTTTAAAAAAAAAAAATATATATATATATATATACATTTTATTCTAACATATGCCAACTATCATCTGAGCTTTCAGCAAGCCATATTCTTTTCATTGGTGGAGGGTCTTCCCTTTATGTTGATGATGGCTCGTGATTGATCAGGATAGTGATTGTTTATATAAAGTTGGAGTGGCTGTGGCAATTTCATAATATATTCATTTTGTTTATGTTATTCCAGTATAGTTAACATACAGTGTTATACTAGTTTCAGGTGTATAATATAGTGATTCAACACCTCCATATAACATCCAGTGCTCATCACAAGTGCACTCCTTAATCCCTTCATCACCAACTTCACCCATTCTCTCTACCCATCTCCTCTCTGGTAACCATCAATTTGTTCTCTATATGAAGTGTCTGTTTCTTGGTTTGTCTTTCTCTTTTTTTCCATTGTTCAGTTTGTTTGGTTTCTTAAATTCTACATGACTGAAATCATATGGTATTTGTCTTTCTGTGACCTACTTATTTCACTCAACATTATACTCTCTGCCTCCAACCATGTCATTGCAAATAGCAAGATTCCATTTTTTATGACTAATAGTCCAATTATTGTAATATTATTCCACATACCATTTCTTTATCTACTCTTCTATCAATGGAAACTAGGCTGCTTCCATAATTTGGCTATTGTAAATAATGCTGCTATAAACATGGAGGTGCATGTATCCCTTTGAATTAGCATTTTTGTATTTCTGGGGTAAATACCTAGTAGTGCTATTACTGAATCATAGGGCAGTTCTAGTTTTAACTTTCTGATAAAATTCCATGCTGTTTTCCACCAGTTTACATTCCCACCAACAGTGCAAGAGGGTTCCTTTTTCTCCACATCCCTGCCAATGGTTGTGTGTGTGTGTGTGTGTGTGTGTGTGTGTTTTATTTTAGCATTCTAGCAGGTGTAAAGTGGTATCTCATTGTAGATTTGACTAGCATTTCCTTGATGATCAGTGATGCTGAGCATCTTTTCATGTATCTGCTGGCCACCTGGATATTTCTTTGGAGAAATGCCTGTTCATTTCTTTTTCCCATTTCTAATCAGATTATTTGTTCTCTGGGTGTTGAGTTGTGTAAGTCCTTCATATATTTTGGATATTAACCCTTTATCAGATATAAGAAACTCAAGTTTAAATAAATTAAATGACCACTACTCTTTCCTCCAAAAAAAATGTTAGTATGTGGAAGAACTAAGCTGCATAGGGTGTTGATTTCAGATTCAGTGTTTTATGCAATACTATTCCTGAATTCTGAAAAATATCAATCTTGAGAAATTATTTCCTCTTCAATATTATTATTTATGCCTGTTAAAATTAATCTTGTTAATATTTAACTTGTTCTTACAAAAAACGAAAATAAAAACTACAACCAGGGCAGCCCCAGTGGCCCAGTGGTTTAGCACTGCCTTTGGCCCGGGGTGTGATCCTGGAGGCCTGGGATCGAGTTCCACATCGGGCTCCCTGCATGGAGCCTGCTTCTCCCTCTGCCTGTGTCTCTGCCTATCTCTCTGTGTGTCTCTCATGAATAAATAAAATCTTAAAAAAAAAAAAAACCTACAACCAGTATCAATTCCATGAAGAATATTACCTCAAACCACTATAATTAGTTTTCTTAAAGACAAATTAGAGTAGACATACCTAATAAGTGAAAAGTCTGCATGCACTTACTTTGACACTTCAACTTTTAGTTCCATTTCGCTCTTCTCTAATTCTAGAATCCGTTGCCTATCAGCATCACTTACTGCCTTGCTCACACTATCAGCTAATTCATCTCTTAACATCTGTTCCACCTTCTGTGCTTCCAAATTGATTTTGGTGAGCTAAGAAAAAGTAACAAAAAAAATGTTCAGCTATATCAGCTTTTGGTGAGGTTTTCTCTTTCAATTTAGCTTTCACCATACCGTAGTTCTCTTTACTTGACATTAGTCCGGATACTGAATTGGGTGTGATGAAATATTAAGAATAAATTGTAGAAAGTAAAGAGAGTCAAGAACAGGTCATAAAAACTCTGAATATATGCCAACTCATCAAGATAACTTAGATTACACACAGTCTAGTATTTGAATCTCTTATTTTCTTAAATTTGTCTGAAATGCAGTATATGCATTACACTTTAGCTATACCACCTATAAATAAATTTGAATGAGTTAATAAAATCTTAATATCTAATTTAGTTATTATTAGATTAATATTAATCTAGTGACTCAGTTAAACAAAATGACATACATTTGAAATATATACTAATTCTGAAAGTAAACATTATAGGAGTGCTACTTCATCATTAATTGTTGAATATTTGCAAACTATATTTATGCCAGCCAATTTAATATTTTTGACCATATCAAAAAAAGTATAAAACTTACTAAAATGTAAAGTCCTGACAGCAGAGATTACTGTCTATTTTGTTTCCTCTCCTAACACCAGCCCCCATACACTGACTGGCATGTAACTGGCATTCAATAAACAGATGGTAGTGGAAGGCAGTATCATTAGTAAACAAATAATATCTTTTTGCATTAAATCTAATGTAATGCTGATGGGAAATAACTCATTTAAAGAAATACCTGCTTTCTTTTTAAACATGTCAGATTTAAAAAACATCTTTTATTTATGCTTTACATATAACACAAGCACTACACTAATGTTACTTCAAAAATACAAACTAATCTCTCACAAAATACAATGACTAATGTGACTTATTCTTTACACTAATTACATGATAAAATTATATCAAACCTCAGCAAATTTGGTTTCCAATTCAAAATTACGTTCTTCCACTTGCTTTAATGAAGTCCTTACATGCTCATACATTTTTTGAGAATGTTCAGCCCGCTGCCTTTCATTTAATTCCTTCATCTCCAGCATAGTGATTTTTTTTGAAATAGAAACAATTTCACTGTTGGTTATTGATTTCTTTGCCTTATCCATGTTTGATTCATTTCCTATATGCAACAATACTAAGTCAATCTCAAGCTGTTATAAAAATTATATCCCAAATACTTTAGCCATTATATACAAGGATGCAATAATATGGTTCCATGGAAAACACGTTAGTCTTATGAATTATGACAGACTTGGATTCCAGACTTAGCTCTACACCTCTTTGGATACTGCCTATCCCATTTCATCTCTCTAGAACTTACATTCTTCACCAAATGATAATAAAAATTATTCATCATAGAAATTTAGAAATTTCTATAGGGAATACAGCACCTATTAAGGAGAGACGGGAAATGAATGGAGAACTTACCACAACTGTAATACCCTTTTTTTATAGTTTAAAAAAGTTTAAATGATACCTTCTTTCATGTAGAAGCTGCATGGAAGTCAATTCACTTTTTGTTTTTTTGTTTTGTTTTGTTTTTTAGTCAATTCACTTTTAATCCCTTGATGAATTAAAAATTGTATTTCTAAAAGTAGCTTATTTTAAATAGTTAGGCCCAGTGTTAGGCTTCATCAAACTACTACACGTCCCAATTACCAATTTTAAAAGTAGCTCTATTTTGTAGCAGAAACCTTGAATAGCATTAGAGCTCTTTAGAAAACAAACATACAAAAACACTTTATCCAAAGGAGCAAATTTTTTTGAAAATTTGAAAATTGTACTTTAACAATGCTAGTAAGATAAAAAATTATTTACATGCCATAAACTAGGATAACCATTTGAAAAACCCTAGCAGGAGTCAGAAAGATTTTAATATCCTATGAGACAGTAATATATCTGTTAGATATACCTGAAGATGTTCACTGCAACACTAGAAGCAATAGCAAAAATAAGAAAATCTATTGGTTTAATCACTCACGCAGTAAGATACTGCATGACTATTTGTACGTATAAGAATGATAAATAAAACAAGTATTTTGACATCTACTAAATGAATACAGTATATAATGTTATAAAGTATATATTTTTTTTCCATTAGCATCAAACTTACATTTTGTTTATTTATTTTTATGTTTTTATTTAAATTCCAGTTAGTTAACATACAGTGTAATATTAGTTTCAGGTGTACAACACCATGATTCAACCCTTCCATACAAGACCTGGTGCTCTTGTAAACATGTATAAGGTAATACAGAAAATAATATAATAGTGAAACTATGGGCTATATAAATTCTTTTCAAAATTTTTATGTTTTATGGTGACCTGTTAATTTAAATATATCAAATGATGCATTCCTAATACATCTTCACACATAGTGAAAAACTTCTAATATTACTACTAAGATAAAGGTTTTTATAAATTATCACCAGTGTTGATTGTTAAATGGTTCAAAATACCTCATGCTTAGTCATAATTTTTTAACATATATGAGAACAAATCTATTTAAATAACTAAAAACCAAATTTTGGTAGAGGTTAGCACAAGATATTACTTGTCAACTGCCTGCTAAATTAAACTGTTAGGCAGAGTTCATTTTTATATCAAAATACTTTCTTTTCACCTGATATAGAAGAGGAACTATAAATGAAAAATATTCACTATTAGATTTTTATCACTTTATATTATCAGAGTCATAATACTTACCTAATTTGGTTTCTTGCTCCCAGGCTTGTTCAATAGTGTGAAGTTTTTCCTTGGTAATCTCCAGCTCTTTATTTATAGACTCCATTTGTTCTTTTAGGGATGAATTTTCACACTGAATAAAACAGAAACATCACTGAGAAACTACACTGTAATTCAGGCTAATATCATAGTGATATTGTCTTAACTTTATATAATATCTCCTACAATTCACAATCTGTTTTTTTTTAAACAAAATTAGAAGAACATACACACATGTATGCATACACACATACATATAGAAAATAACATTTTAAGATAACCACCAAGATCTTGTGTATCCAGTCTGGGGCTTCTGAGCATAAGCTTCTGGCATGTGCATTTTTGGCCAAGCTGGAATGCTTCAAGTCTCATGACCTTCACAGTGAAGGTTGCTCACTTCCCTCTTTCACACAAATAGTTACTAAGCATCCCTAGCATGCTATCAGTGACAGGTCCTGCTTGTCATAGTGAAAAGAAATAAAATTCTGACCTTCACAGGCCTCACCATTTGGTGCCTGTAGGTCTGTGTGTATAGCAGGAATTGGGGAGAGTGTGCAAGGCAGCAGACAGTGAACAGGTAAGCAAACAAAACAATCATTGAAAATGTAAATATTTAGAAAGAAACAGAATATGGACCCAGAGGAAATAAAAGGAGCCATCTCAAGATAGAAAGGTTAAATATGGTATTATCTACTGAAGAGGTGGTATTTAAGCTGAAAGCTAAGGTATTAGGAGGAGCCGGTTTTGACAAAAAAGCAGCCAGGGGGAGAGCTGAGGTACTGACAAACTCCGATGCAGGTCTGAGTTTGGGGTGTGAGAGGACTGGAGCACAGTCAGCAAAACTGGGGAAATAGGGTAACAGGGGGCCATACGAGGCCAGATAGGGGATGTCAAGATAAGGAACTGGAATTTAATTTAATTTTGAAATAGGAGTTGTAAAGTAAATCATTCCACTACACCATTGAGAAGTCAGGCTGGACTCATAAATGTAGGAGCTGGCCCATCAATTTAATATGGCCATTTATTCTTTTTTTGAACAAACAGGACACTTACAATATGCTGGGTATCCTAAGCCCTGGGCTTTATTGATAAACAAATTCTATATTAGAATTTGTGTTTTAGAGGTTGTAGTTGGAAAAGAAGCCAATATATAACACAATGTCAGGTAATATGTGTTATGAAGAATAATAAAAAAGGGTAATGAGGTTTTCTTTAAAGAAGATATTATAATAAAAAGAAAAAAGCAAGGTAAGGGAATAAAACATGACTTTCTGGTAACACGCACAATTACAACCCATTCTAGGTAGTATAAATACACAGGAAAACAACAAAAGATGGATTAGAGTGTTCTAAACATCTTTTTTCCCCCTTTTTTTTCTTTTACTTGCAGACTTTCAAGGAAAACTTTGGTCTGGTTCCAGATCCTATTCTCACCCCCCTGCCTTTGGCACCACTTAATGTGCTTTTACACCCTCCTCTCCAATCTTCAGTCATTCTCTCCCTATTCACTCTAAATTTTCTTTTCCTCTCCCCTCAAACTTCATTGGTCTCCTTTATTTAAAAAAAAAAAAAGTTGATAAAACAAATCTTCCTCTCAATCCTATGTCAACCCATATCTTTTAATCTTTTCTTCTGTCATCGAATTTCTAGGTTTTCTATTGTCTTATGACTCATTTGGTTTTTGTATTTCCCTCTCACCCACTCTCTTTGTATTCTGAAAGTTGATTTTCATCACCTTTACTATCAAGACCTTCACCCTTGAAGGCACAATAGGGACACCTGGGTCGCTAAGTGGTTGAGCATCTGCCTTTGGCTCCAGGCATGATCCCTGGTCCAGGGATCCAGTCCTGTACTGGGCTTCCTGCAGGGAGCCTACTTCTCCCTCTGCCTATGTCTCTCTCTCTCCGTGTTTCTCATGAATAAATAAATAAAATCTTTAAAAAAAGAAAGAAAGGAAGAAAGGAAGAAAGAAAAGAAAGAAAGAAAGAAAGAAAGAAAGAAAGAAAGAAAGAAAGAAAGAAAGACAGACATCAATGATTTCCTAATCACCATATCTGGTGATCTTTGCACCACATTTCTAACCATTAATCACTCTCTCAAGGTCAACATTTATTAGCTTCAACTGTGTACCACACAGGAGGCACTCAACACAGAAAATGAATTAAGTAGAGTTCCTGATATCAAGAAGCTTCTATTCTAGTTGGGGACACAGACATATTAATACTGATAGTATGATGTGACATAAACAGCAGAACTAGATACAAGATAGAGAACTAATACACAGAGGGACTTGGTGCTATAAAGAAATTTCTGGGAAAAAAAAGATAATATCTGAACAGTTTTAAGCATGAATGGAAATTCACTGAGCACATAAGCTGAGAGAGTGGGAAGGACCTTCTAGACAAGGAAAATGCATGGTATGAAAGAACATAAAAATAAAAAACAAGGTACTCCAGAAAACTGGCAGTTCAGTTTCAAAAACATAAATTGTAAAAGTATTTAGAGCCTCACAGGAGATGACATGAGGTTAGTGGGGGCTAATCACAAAAGGAATTTGACTCATTCTTTAAGTGACTGGCAGCTGTTGATAGGTTTGAAGCAGGGCAGTACATGGTCAGCTTCATGTTTAGAATGATCATCGTGGTGGCAGTAAGAAGAAGCTAACACGGAAGATAGAGATATGAGTCATGGCTACCACAATATACATCATAAAGACATTGCCAACAGGGATAAATATATATTCAGAATTATAATTAAGATGTGGGAAGGAAAGGAAGGGATATGATACAAATGGAAATTTTAAAAATTTTATAGACAGATGAAAAATATATTCTTTGGAAAAATAAATAAAAGTTTAAAACTACTTAAAGTTATCTATCTAACACATTTCTTACATAGGATTTTCAAATGCTTCAGAGGAAGAGGGCAAAGGACATGAAAGATAGGGAAAAAACACAACATTACCACATCTAAATATTCAAAATTTTCTATAAAATTAACATAATCATCTCTTTAGCAAAAACAGTAAAAAGTAAACTGATCATGATTACTTATAGTTAGTATTAGTAAACAACTCAGATAATTTTGTAGGAGTCATTCAAATTCTATTTAAAATAACGTTTGGGTGTTTTAACGATTGTGTCCCTATACACAAGTACAATTTATGAAGCCAACAAAATTAGACCTCATTCCACTCCTGGGAGAAGATCACAAAAGAGAGTAAGTCAAAAGACATAAGCCCCTATTTCTGAGGAGGAAGATGAACGAATCAGGAGTAGGAGTTTTGCCTACTGTTAAAGGTGTGGAAGTGAAGTGGCTAAAAGACAACTACAAAGGGCTCGGGGCCATATTCACATACTATTTGAATGACACTTATGATACCCATTTTTCTTATATGTACAATAAGAAAGGATGAGAATTTCCAGAGCTTATTCATGGTCCAGGAAGAGCCATTCTCAGCTACATCATCCCAAGGAACATAATAAACCAAGGACTATGAGAAAATAATTTGCACTAGATTCAGGAAGAAGAGAAAGGGATGGGTACTTAAATGATGCTTCCTCTTTTCGTTACAATTTCCCTATCTGGTTCACACCGCTCTTGCTTTTTTAAGTGCCTGGAGAAGAGGCTTGGTTCAATAAAATTTACACAAGTGGGCAAAAGGAGGATGATATAGGATGAAGTCATCTAGAAGTCATTCTGCACCTACTGGTACCCCCCAAGAAGAACAGCTAATATTGCAAGGTTCAAGGATCACATACACTCACCTCTAAGTGTTCCAAGTTACTTGTTCTTTGAACCAGCATGTTATCTTTTTGCAAGATGTCCCTGTACTTCGCGGTCAATTCATTGTATTGTTTATTGGCCAATTCTAGTTCAGACAAAGAAACACTATTATCTATAACTTTTTGGAGAGCTGCAATCTTGAAAATGGCCATTTCCTATGTAAATAAGGATACATTGAGTTAAGTTAGTGTATTTTTTTCTGGTGAAGCACTAGCCACTTTAGAGAAGGATAAGATAATACAGCTAAAAGCAAAACAGATTTTAGAATCATTTTTTAAAAAGGATTTCTCATGTATTAAAAATATTACAATAATTAATTTTTTCATATAAGAAATCATTATTTAGAAATTTTAAATCATAATAAAATAAAGGGAATCTTTCAGAACTATGACAGTAAAATAAAATTCAATTGATTTCAGAAAAGCATAATACACAGTAGCAAGAAAATATATCACTCAGAATGTATCCCCGGATGGTTTTCTAAATTTCATAAGATTGAAAACAATTTGCCTTTAGTTAGCTGAAAGGTAAAATTAGCATTATCACATTACAATTTAGCTGTTTCTACTTATTAGAGTTACACAGACTAGCTTTGTAAGAGGGAAAACCTTTTGTTCCCATGAAGAAACAAGACTTAATTAGAAAAAATTTCTCTCAATCATAGCTATATAATATAAAAATATAAATACTCTTTAATTTTATATATATAAATGAATATTTATATATGTTTATAAAATGTAATATAAAATGAATGTGTTTATAAAAATGTAATATAAAATAAAATATAAAATACATGAAAGACTGTTACTTGTTTTATGTTCTACTCATTAGCTACTACAACTAAACTATAAAAAGTCACTACTCAAAGATATCGTATTAACAATAAGAAGAAATATCTGAACTTTTATTTCTCTCTAAAGTAAGTTGATGAAATAGGAATAACCAAATTTATAAAGTGAGGAAGAATTTACAGTTAGAATTTCTTCTGAAGTAAAGTAATGAGGGAAAAATATTTGTAATAGTGCTTCACATCTCATTTTGGCAGTTTCTCTTTTCCATCTAAATAAGTACATTATTCTACCTTCCCCTTGGAATTTGGTTTGACACTTTCTTTGGATGAGGAGGGGTTTCCTATTTCCCATCCCCTAAAAAACCAATTTTCAGCTTTCCATTTGTTACCACACCCCCCTCCCCAAATCCAGGTTGAACAATCAGGTTGAGGAGAACATTCTAGTACTTTTTTTCCCTTCTGTCTCACACACTAGCTACATGTGCAATCCTCCAAGAAAAACATAAAAATCAAAACAAGAACATTTCTTAAGACTCAAAACTTCCTTATTACATGTCCAAATAAAAATAGCTTTCATTATTGAAAACTATTCATAGTTCCTTTTTGCATCAGGATTCAGCTTTAACATCACATTGAAAATAGTTTGTTAGCATGACAATTTCACCTACTACCCTACTACTATCTTTAAAAGTGAATGGTAAGGAACTCAACTTCATTTTAATTCTACTTTGAATTCTTTTGTGTTTATATGATCCAACGTAAATTTGGACATGTAAACCAAACATGTACATGCTTAAAATAAGCTATATAAGACACGATGTAAAGCAAGGTGTAGAAGAATACACACAGCATGCAACTTCTTGTGTCAATATCTTCAAAAACAATCATTAAAAGGGTAATCAGTTACCTATAGCAGGTAGGGCAGAATGGAGTCAAAGGCACAGGGACAGAAATAAGATTTTTTGGACTATATGTTTGAAACATGCAAATGTTTTATATATTCAAATCATTTAAAAAAAGAAAAAAAAGTAACCTCTGAGTTTGAAGATAAACACAAAACAAATGAGCCTAACTATCAAATTTGTAGCATAACGACACAAAGAAAATTATTTCAAGTTACTGTAGAATATATTACCTTGACTATATATGCTATTGGAAGATATTCTAAAGAAAATAGGAACTATAAAGAAATGTAAAACTAAATCTCATAGCATTCCCGTTGTTAATACCAATGCAAGATTATCTTCAAATTAATGTGTGAAAATTATAGGATAGAGCAATTATTTTAATGTTAATAACAGATTTCCATATAAGAAAAAAAAGAAATATGAGTCCAAAATCAAAGGTTAGTAAAAACTCCATACCATTTCCTTACCCCATTATATTAAATCTGAATTAGAGATAACAATATGAACTCATGGTTTAAATATATACATATTTTCCTAATTTGTCCACTGAAAGGGACCAGTAGCAATGAAACTTCAAGAGCCATAATATCTAGTGACCAGCTTTTGGTATCTAAATGTCTTTCCCCGGCAGCCCCAGTGGCTAAGCAGTTTAGCGCCGCCTTCAGCCCAGGGCGTGATCCTGGAGACCTGGGATCAAGTCCCACATCAGGCTCCCTGCAGGGAGCCTGCTTCTCCCTCTGCCTGTGTCTCTGCTTCTCTCTCTTTGTCTCTCATGAATAAATAAATAAAATCTTAAAAAAAAATTAAAAAAAATAAATGTCTTTCCCACTAAAAAGAACCAGGGTTCTTTAGCATAATGATTTATTCCAAATCTGGATAAAAGTATAAAAGGTAAATCTTGAACATCCTGTTGTGTCAGAAAACAAACCAACATCTGAAGCTTTGTTCAAAGACTACTCAATTCTTGTCAAAAGGAAATAAGAGCCAACTTTAGACAGCTCCCCCTGGCCAAAATTATTATTAACAAATAATGAGGGATCCCTGGGTGGCGCAGCGGTTTAGCGCCTGCCTTTGGCCCAGGGCGCGATCCTGGAGACCCGGGATCAAATCCCACATCGGGCTCCCGGTGTATGGAGCCTGCTTCTCCCTCTGCCTGTGTCTCTGCCTCTCTCTCACTGTGTGCCTATCATAAATAAATAAAACAAAAAAAATTAAAAAAAAATTCACATTCTCCTTTAAAAAAAAAAAAACAAATAATGACTAAATCTGGGACTGTGTAATGATACTGAAAGACGAGAAAGCTGGAGAGGTCAAGCAAATAGGTAGAAACAGAGTATACAAGCTCTGATTTCGGAGGATTAGTTATTAAAAAAAAAAAAAGGAATGAAGCTTTTATCTTGTCTTTCTTGTAGGAGCTATACTTCAAGATAACCAAACAGGCTGGGCTAATGAGGAAAAGCTCTTTATTTACAAAAGACTATTGGCCAATAAATGTAGAAAGCATAATATAGCTAGAAAATAATTTTTGCAACTCCTAATGAAGTACCTGAGTCAAGTAACAACAATCATCAGCGAACACTAAAGCCACTAGGAGGACTGCCAAAGAACTGGTTATTTGCATGTATCAAAGTATCACCAGTTAACTAAATACTTAAGACAATAATCACTCATGAAACAATAATCACTCACACAATCTCTTGAAGTGATACAATATAAAATATTACTTATAAAGTACAAAGCATTCTTATCAACAATGTTTAACCTAACATATCCAAGGCTTCAAAGCTTTTGTAAATCAATAAATAGGGGAATAAGCAAAATTAGAAAAGAAAATAATTAGGTAAATGTTCAACATTTTTCAAAGTAAAGAGAGGAGATTCTATGAACATTAAAGATTTATGACCTGTAACATCCGAATACAATGCAGGGTCCTTGACTGGATCTTGGTACAACTGAGGAAATGTAAATATGGTCTGGACATTAGATAATGTAAGACAATTATTGCCAATTTTGTTAGATGTGATAAAGTTCTTGTGTTATGTAAACAAAAGAAGTCTTTGTTTTTTAGAGACGCACAGCAAACTATTTAGAGAAGAAATGTCTGCAATTTATTACTACAATGAACAGATGAGGCAATTATGGCAGAATGTTAATGTTAACTGTTAATCTAGGTGATGGCTATTCATTATACAATCCTCTCTTCCTCATAATTGAAAGTTTTTATAGCCAAAAAAAAAAAATCAGATATACCTTAAATCGTTGCAAACGTCCAATTTTTTCACCAACTTCAGCTTCCATTGCTATCAATTCATTCTTCTGTTTCCCATTTTCTTTCCTAAGCTGTCGCTCCATTTCTACTAAAGTAGTATACTGTCTTATGAGTGACTTTTCATTCACTTGCAAGACTGTTATTTTTCTACTATTTTCTGACAGTGTTTTCTTCATTTCATCTGAATCCATCTGAAGAGCACTGAGCAAATTCTACACAAAGACACATTAAATTACTTGTTGAATGTAGCTATCTTACTTTGTACAATACTGTATATTGATTTTAAAAGAGTTTTGCTTACATTATATTCTTTTACTTTTATAGCATCTTGTTGGATTTGATCCTCTAGTTTTTTCTTTTCTTCTTTCACTGTTTCAGATTCTGTTTTCCAGGTCTCCTTTTCACTTAAAAAACAAATAAAAATGACAATATAATAAACCTAATAAAACACTTAACTACAGGAAAAGATAACTTTAAATTACGGAAATTTAAAATGTTCATAAAACAAGAGGCCTTGGGTATCTAATAACAAATTAAGTCAAAATTCCACTCAGCAAGGATTTAGCCTGGAAGTTCTATTTTTACTAAATAAATGCAGTTTAAAGAAATTATTTCATCAAGTTACTTTCATTATTCCATGAGTCACAACTCTACAACTGTTACAATATAACAACCAAAGCTGAACTTACAACATTTTATTAAAAATAGAAAATAGGAAAATAATCAACACTCTAAAGTAATTCTGGAAATCAGTTCTCAATATACAGACCCTACTCTTAAACTTGAGGGTTAACCAGTTGTAAAATATTTAGAATACAAACAAGAGTAGGAATCATTTGACTTAAAAGAAGATGTGTAAGACACTGTTGCCTACCCAAAAGACATTCCACAGTCATCTGCAATCTGGTTGGCATAAAAAATTACAGTGGCATCACTCTCTTTGCCACTGAATGGTTGAGACTTGGACATATGACTTGGAGAGCTCATTAGCCCAATTCTGGTTAATGTGATCTGAGTCAAAGTCTGCTCTGCTACACGGTTCTGGGAAATTTTTTTTTAATCTAAAACTAAAAAGTTGTGTGTTGGGGGGGGGGGGAAGGTTCTTCTACAGTGGCCATGGTTCCCTCTTCCTTGAACTCCCGCATCTATTTTATAAACCATAATGGGGGGACGCCTGGGTGGCTCAGTGGTTGAACGTCTGCCTTCCACTCAGGGCGTGATCCTGGAGTTCCAGGATTGAGTCCTGCATCAGGCTCCCCGCAGGGAGCCTGCTTCTCCATCTACCTATGTCTTTGCCTCTCTGTGTCTCATGAATAAATAAATAAAATATTCTTTAAAAATTAAAAAAAAATAACCATAATAGGAGATAATGATAACTCTTAAACAAGGCCTACTCTATAATTAGCTTCGGGTTTCTTGTTAGATCATGTAATAATTATCCTTTGTGTTTAAATAACCTTTGATTAGGTATTCTAATGACTGTTAAGAAAATTATTCCATTAATATAGAGGAAATAGCAGAGATAAGGAGAAACATTAGTTACCAATGAAAATATATCAATAACATGACAGTGACATGAGGAATGATGCTAACAGCTGAAACACATTTACAAAATGTTCACATGCTGGGACATTTACAAAATGTTCATATCTGAACATTTTCATATAACAATTCATTTAAACTTTGTAACAATCCTATGAAAAAGGCATTATATCTCAGAAATTTATACAGAAGGAAACTAAGACATAAAATAGAAGGGAAGAGGCATGAGGGAACAAATAAGTATTTTCTTACATTACTAGTATCATGAATAAGAATATGCTGCAATTACATTATAAGTTTTACTCTTATACCTTAGATATTCCTTATATAATAAGCTTTGTTGATGACGAATTACTGCAAATTTTCTGTTATAGTCTTCAAGAGACTCTTCTAAATTCTTTAATTTTTTTTCTTTATATTCTAGATCCTAAAAATTAGTACAGAAATAAGAATGAAAAAATTATCAAAATACATTTTAAATTGGAGAGTATACATTTATACTCTGACAAGATAATAAAAATAAGAGAGAATACAGTTCCCAAATCCTAGCAGCACAGATCATTTCTAGATCCTGAACATTTTAGTTTGAAGCATCTGTATAAAGAGAAGTACTATAGATTTGTTAAAATTATTTTTATATTTGATAGTTTCAGTAACCAGATAAATTCTCAGGTACAGTGGTTACAAACTTCTCCAGTCACTCAGCTTCACACACCCTTTTGTGAACGTATCTGTTCATGTCTCCATTCAAATAACTCTTTCCAATTATTTCATTTTATAGATGAAGAAACAGACTGAGAAAGAGTAACTCAACATTTAAAAGCTCATTAAAACTATACTTGGTAACCATTCCTAAGCACATATGGCATGCGTGGTGCCAGGTACTTTACACACATGCAGATCCAACACTTAAAGTCAGGTTTTGTGTGGCTCCAGAGGCCCTGGCTACTTCTATTATTCTTAAGACTGGGGGTCCAAGGACCCATTTTGCCACTATGAACAGGTTTTCAGATTCCCAACTGGTGCTCTCTAATCTACGACAATGCCTCTCATATGTTGTTGTTGTTTTTTTTTTAAGATTTTATTTATCGATTCATGAGAGACAGAGAGAGGCAGACATAGGCAGAGGGAGAAGCAGACTCCATCTCAGACCCTGGGATCATGCCCTGAGCTGAAGGCAGACACTCAACCACGGAGCCACCCAGGCATCCCATCCTCTCATATGTTTTTATATAAAGATGAAAAAAAAAACATTAATCTTATTTGAAGCAATATGATGTCACATTACCATTACTTGTTGACAGTGTTCTTACACTGCAGAAGAACAAGAGAGATCATAAAGAGTGAAGTTATAAATTTAAAAGTTATAGAAGTTAGAAGTTTAAAAGTTGCAAATTTAAATTCATGCTATAACAGGAATTATAAAGTAATGTTTAAACAAGTGTAAGGTTGTTCCTCACTGACATACAACAAATTCCAATATTCAAAAAAGATTTAAGTAATTTTCAAATACAAAAACAAGTATTTGATAATCATAACTCAAGTATGTTCACAAATGGATCATCTAGGAGACAGAAACAGTAGTGCTTATAATCAAAAATATGTTTTCATTGATTCCAAACACATTTCTGTAATTATATTTCAAACAATGGGTGTTATGGATATTCACACTTCAAATGAAACAATGAAAAGCATCTCTCATTAGGGCATTCATAATGACCACAATATAGACGGCAAAACTGACAAACACAGGCAAGCACTACCCGTTCTAATTCACTAATGTATTAACTAACACCTTGTAAGTTTAAAGGGAAAGAAGACATTACAGACAACTTAATTTAAAAACTTTTTTCCTGGGGGCTCCTGGGTGGCTCAGTTGGTTAAGTGTCTGTCTTGGGCTTAGGTCATGACCTCCAGAGTCCTGAGATCCAACCCTGAGTCACAGCTACTTACTCAGTGGGGAGTCTGCTTCTCTCACTCTCCCTCTGCCCCTGCCCTGCTAGTTCTCTCTTTCAAATAAATAAATAAAATCTTAAAAAAGAAAAATGTTCAAAAAATAAATAAAAACTTTTTCTTGTAGTTAAAAAAGGAACAATTTTAATCATTTCACTAAAAAGTTGTATCAGACTTTATTCACTTGAATTGCTTTTCTAACCAGCACTAAATAAAAGTGCTCCCCTTATTTATACATTACCACCTTAGCTGCATGTCATTCTACTTGTCAATCATATATTTCAGATGACACATATGTGTACAAGATATATCAGCATGTTTCTTACATGGATGAATAGAATAAATTGCTTTTATTCATAATATTCCATTTCATATCAAAATCTAGAAAAAAATGCATTGCAATGATAATATTCTAAAGAATACTCAAAGGAATATATAAAGACTAAATTAAACATAGTATCAACTACTTTTGTTATTCACATGTTATTTACTACCTGTAAGATATGTATTAAATATTCATTTTGAGAATTAATAATATTGGCACTAGACGGTGGTATCCCATCAGGTAGGTCCACTCCTTTAAAAACAACATTTGATCCTTCTGACTGCCGTAAAAGAATAGTCTCTTTTTCAAGATGATCTATCTGGAAACAAACAGTTCAGAAATGAGAGTCACGTCTCTTACAACCAAAGACAAATTTAAAAGCAGGTTAACTTTTTCTTCCTACTGAATATTTAAAAAAAAATAAATGTATGAATGCCCTACTAGGCATTAATTAAACTATACTTCAAATTCTATTTAGAAATACCCAGGCATAGACTTAGAATTTTTGAATTCCTTTATGTTATAAAAGGTACTTATTTCCTACTTAATTATTTAAGGAAAATCCAAAAAGGAGTTTTCTTAATGTTGAATGAATCCAAGAGGAATTTCTCAGTCTTTTTTAAAAAATAAAAGTTTCATATTAAGCTTATGTTCATAATGCTTGGCATTTTCTATTATTTAATAAAATTCTCACCTTTAAATTTGCTTTTGCCAACTGCTGAGAATAATTTATAGCCTCCTTCCGAGATTCCCTGAGTTCCTGTCTTAATTCTTCATTCCTTCCAGTAAGTTGATCAACTTGGGCTTTCAAATGCAGATTGGCATCAAAAATTCCTTCTGCATTCTTTGATTCTATAGCCTAATATATTCAGATTATATTGAAAAAATGTGAAGCAAAATACTAAAATCACAGTTTAAAAAAAAAAAAAGCTACCTTTAAATAAAATTCACATTTAAGCATTTTACTCTTCCCAGGCATAACAACAAAATATGCCAAATCCATTTCTTACTTATGAACCTAAATTTATAAAACTCTAACTTACATCAGTATTATCAAGCATAATAATTACCTTATTATAACATTTAACAAACATTTAGCTAATTTTGTAGACTGGTAGACTAGAAAAACAACGGGAAGAGAGTAAGAGGACAAGGGTTCAAATCTTAACCAATCTCTTACTAGCTCAGCAAGTGGCAAGTTCTTTAAACCTAGTTTCTATATCTCTAAAGAAGAGCAAATGTTACATCTGTCCACTTCACAAGGTTTTATACAGTCAAAATGAGATAATTTTTATGCAATACTTAGAAACTATGCAGCATGAGCAAAGCAATGAAATAGTTACTACATTTAATTGAATTTTTCATTGCTTCCTCTCCACACAGTTGAAGCATATATGATAAAAAGGCAAAGTATGGTAACACAATATTATTCAGATTGCTGGATAAGCAAAAATAATGTTAAATATTAAAATATTATCAAAGAGGTTTCATTGGTCCTAATTCTCCAACAATGGCATATATAAACATACATATTCCCTGGTACACATCTACATAGTACATACATATAAATATATTTGCATTTTAAAGAAACTATATATGATAAAACTGCTAACTGCAAAGTAAAGCTTCAGGAAAAAAAAAAAAGCAAAAACAAAGAAGGTTAAGATGAGTAAAATAAAGTGCAATCTCCTACTCAGGAGGGTGATCCAGGGTTTGAGACAGAAGTTTTATAAAAGTAAGCCTTGACCCCCTAGGAGACCAGAGCAGGCCACATGGAGTAATAAATTATGCTAATTCAAAGGGAATACCAGGAAGACAGAAGTACAAGGAGGTACTGTGACAGACAAGGTAATCTAGTTATCAGTCTTGCTGTTTAGAAATGGCATCTTGTTGCCTACATGGCCTTTTATTAAAATAAGATTAAATGGTGATTAGAGATACTGAAAAATAACCCATAGCAATAGAAAGTGAAATGAAGTACATAACCTAGAAATATTTGATCTAAAGTGTCACTGATTCTGCAAATTTCTTATAGCAGGCAATGTTGTTGGGTCATTCGTGAATTATAGACAGGGCAGATTCAATCAGAAAAAAGAATGACAACCCAAGATAGAAACTGATGAAATCTCTGGAAGTAAGGATACAGAAGAAGTTAGAATTCCCTGAGGTGTCCATTCTGTTTGTATTTGGTCACTAAGTAGAGTTTCCCTTGGAAAATAGTTTGATCTGAGACACAGTATCAAAAGTGGGTAGCATCAGAGATAAAAGATGTTCACAGAAAAAGCACAAAGAACCATTTTAGACATTCAAAATAGCAGAAGCAAAAAGTCACCAAGAGCAAAAGAAACATAAAAATGAGTTACATATAAAAAGAATTAAATGGTTCTCAAAAATTTTGTCAAATGATTTTCTTGCCTCAGAAATTTTTAACATACCAATATCACTCTCTCTTTCTAACAATATGGTACTGCTAAGAACGTATTCAATTATTAATTCATCATAAAAAAAGCAATTAAATGAATAGTATTTTGTTGGGAAGCACAAATATATGTTAAATATGTTCAGATTATATAAACAATATATGTAAATATTAAGAATTTAAAATGTATATTTTATTTAAGTTCATATAATACTGTAAAACTCTCAATCTCTATATAATAAACATAAATAGACTATTATTTGCTGGTTAATATTTTTCCTTAGCAATGCTTACCCATTTAAATATTTAAAACATTCTTACTATATAAAAACATAAATAAATAAAATATTCTTACTACATCCTATTACACTTCTAGGTTTGTGGCATAACGTCCTACCAGACCTACCTTCCCAACTTAACAAGTGAATACAAAAAACAAATATTTGAAAGTTCTAGAAAATAAACAAAAGCAAGCAGATTTTGGAGCAGACTTAAAACCTGGAAGATGGAACCACTGAGGAGTGAATTTTGCATTTGAGGGGAGAGAGGTGGCGCAGGGAAGGGACAGGCTACAGTTGAAGTGACCTGTCATCTTTCTGGCCAAGAACACCAAAGATAGAGCCCAAAGTCTATCACTGGGAAAGTGAGATAGGAATTCTAAACAGAAAATAACCAGCCAAAGGGAACTCCAAATTCTGTTTAAAAACTCTGCCAAGCTGACCTTTAAAATGGAAGAATGGAGATGGTAGTGAAAAATATCAGTGATCTTAAAAATAGATAAATAGCAATTATACAATCAGGAGAAGAGATAAAAAATTAGGGGGAAAGAAAATGAACAAAGCCTCAAAAACCCCTGGAACTATGTCAAAAAGTCTAACGTGTCCCTGGAGTTCCAGAGACAATGGGGCAGAAAAAATAATTGAAGAAATAAAGTGGAAAACTTTCCAGTTGTGGTGAATGGCACAAGTAAACAGATTCAAGAAGCTCAGTAAACCCCAAATGGCATACACACACACACACACACACACACACACACAAATATATGGACTCACACACATACCTACACACACACACACACACACACACACACACACACACACACACCAAGTTACATTATAGCGGAACTAGTGAAAATCAAAAGAGGAAGCTTTGAAAGCAGCCTGAGAAATTTACATGTAAGAAACAGGGGAACGATGATTCAAATGACTATAAACATCTCATCAAAAACTATGAACACCAGAGAACAGTTGAACAACACTTTAAAGTATGAAACAACAAAACAAAACCAATATGAAAAAAACTTACATTAACTAGCCTTTCAAGACTCGGGATGATTAAAGATGTTTCTCCTCCTTTAACATCAGGATCTTTCTGCATTTCCTTAATAGCTTGCAATATTTCTTTCATACCTTCTTCCAGCTGCTTATTTTCTTCAGCTAATTCTTTTACTAAAATAACATATTTTTCTCATTCAATGAATACTTTCTTTACAATTTACACTATCTATACAAGTAACAAACATTTTATATACAAAAAAAATTGGAAAATGCCAATGCAAATAAATGTACAAAAAATTCAACTATAAATCCAATATGCAAATAGTTGAATTAAATGACAGACCTATTTAAATCATGTGCATATATGTTTCATTGTTGAAAGAAATAAATCATAAACATACTTTGTCTTCACTTCATTAACAATCTTTTATATTTGTTTTTCTAACTTCACTTTCATTAGACAAGAAAGAAAAATTGACTTATTGCCACAAAAAATTCACATTAATAACTTTCTTTGATAATGAATATAGCAAGGCAAACCAAAGAGATGAATGAGAGAGACATCTATATATTATGGAGGTGATTAAAGTTAAAACAGACCAGAAAACAAAGAATGTATTAAAGTCCTTTTAGATCCATGATTTTCAATATAGGATAAATAAAAACAGAAAAATAAGAAATAATAGTAACTTACATTTATTCTGAAATTTGGTTATTGTTGTTCTACCTCTTTCTAAATCTCTTTCCTTTTCAGTTAGTTCTCTTGAAAGAAATTCACTCTGTACAGAATACAAAGAATAAAACTGATGTTTTTAACAAAATATCACAATAGTTTGTTGTTTCAAGTTTAAAAAATTTGACCAACTGAGGGACAACACACCAGAAACAATTTATAGAAATACAACAGTAATAATAACACAACCCTAAAGGTAAAACAGATAGTAGTCTTCCTCCCACTTTCTCCCTTTCCCCACCCCCATAACAAAAGGCAAAGAAATACAATCAAAGTTTTGTCTTTAGCGCCACAATGAAAATTTTTGTCTTTAAATAGTCTGCCTTTATACTACCTGTTCTGCCTGGCTTCTATGAAGTTCAAGCTCTATTTCTGCATTTCTATTCTGTGCTTCCTTGACCAATAAATCCTGTGCTATGACTTCATTCTAAAGAAATAATTAATAAATTAGGCAAGTCAATGATTTCATATCAAACTTACTGCATTTTTAGATCTTTAAAAAAATAGAATGCGTATAAATTGGTGTTACGTGCAAGCATGAAAAAATTCTTAGTATAATTATTACTTAAGAATTTTGTTAGAGAAGTCACAAAAAACAAAGAGTTAATAAAAAAGTAATCATAGTAATGTAATTTGGAGGAAAGCTCACCTGAGATCTAAGAAATACTAGTTCTCTCCGTAGCTGTTCTATAAGATTTTCAAGAGGACCTATCAGAGATGATTTTGATTGTGTAGTAAAAGGCACATGGTCAGGAACATTAACTTCAAGTTTACTTTTCACAATCTCTGTCTGTAAAGGTACTTCACTCTTTCTTATATCTTCTTTCAAATTGATATCAGCATAGTTTATCTGGGTATGAACCTGTTCATCTTCTGATGCTGCTATCTGTGATTTTTCCATGTTAGTTCTGTTACCATGAATTTGTTCACAAAATATTGCAGACTTTTGCCTAAGTGATAATTTCTGCATTAAGTCTGAAGCTGTTGATAAGGCTTGTAAAGATGAACTACTTTTTTGTGTGAAACTATTCTTCTCAAGTGTCTGACAGCTTCTTGACACTTGCTTCATAGAATGGTCAGAAACAGAGTATAAGTAGTCATCTATTTCTTCATGGCTCTCCCTACTAAAGATATTGACTAATGATTCTAGATTTCTTAAAGATTGTAGACATGGTGCTTTAAAAATCTCCTTTATTGTAATAGTTTCTGGAGGTGAATTATTATCTTTTACTTGTATAGATGAAGACTGTTGAGTTAAAGAGACAAAAGGATCCACTTCACTTTCTACACTATGTTGAATTTCAGATACCATTCCTGATAATGATCCTATGGTGACATTCTCTTCTGGCTCATTCTGATATAACTGTGGAAAACTGAACGATGGTCTCCTATGCGGCAGCTCTATTTTATCTGAACTCCTAATCTGTATTCAGAGTAAATAATGTCTCATTAATCAATCTTTGGATCAACAGGTTATTTAAATTTAAAAAAAAGTTTTCTTTTATTTAACAACTATAAAAAGAAGCAATGCCCAAAATGAAGTAAAGGGGGAAGAAATGAAAGCACTAATAATAGCAATTTTCTTTTATTCTATAACAATACCTTATTGTTTACCTTTGATTGTGCTTCATTCATATTTTTGAGGCTTGTAAAATCGAATTTCCTTTCTCCTATTTTATTTTCTTGAGAAAAGTTTTCAGTTAGGTTCAAGTCCTCCATGGTTAATCCTACATATAAAAGTATTAACAAATTAGAAACATAAAAAGAACTTTCTTTTACTCTAATTCTTAAAAAGGAAAATCAAGTTTTAACTGAAACAAAAGGTAGAGGATCTCCAAAATCCTTGATCCACATGTAGCCTATACAATCTTCTGACTTAGCTCACTTTTAATATTAATATGAGAAACTAATATGACTTTTGTCTTCTCTATCATTCTTTACCCATTCTACGTAAAAGTATTAATAACTACTGAAATAGTTTAGAGAAATATAAAATAGATAAGAATCATGAATGAGTAAACTGGCTAATAAACTAATAAATTATGAAATTTTGCCCTCCTAGAAATCTTTTGATGTATTATAGAAACTGATGATTTAAAAAAACAAAACAAAAAACAAACAAAAAAATCCTCTATTATTCAGATACTTGTAGACTTGGGTGAAGTTAGAAAATAATTCCTTCTCTACAGTCTTCTTAGAAAAATGTACTGAAATTACTATTATAAAACTTTACCAACTGTTCTCTTGATATCAAATAAGATAAACAAAAAATTAATTTTTATTCAATAAAATATTACTTTCACTTAATAAAGAATAATGTACAAAAATAGTTTTCAAAGCACAGTTCTTAAGGAAAGGAAAAATATTAATAACAAATTACTAAGTTTTATCCTTATTGATCAAAATATCTTGGGATTGTGTGGAAATTAATAAACTATACTGTAAAGTTTTCAAAAGTCGATGATTCTGAAATTTTGTTCAATTATTTTATTGTGTTTTTTCTGTTTTTACCTGTTTTAGACTTAGGACAGACACCAATGATACTTAAATACCCTTCATCAGGTCATTATTTCATTTATTAAACTTGGCAGCAGAACCACGATGATATATATAATATACAGAAAATTTCAGCTCCAGATAATTCATTTTCCAATGACTCTTTTAAAGATTTGGAATAAATGCATATACCTGAAGTTGCAGCTCTTTTTCCTCTTTCTTGAGCCATTTGGCGAATTTTTTTTTTCAGATCAAGTCGTTCTTCCTCTAGACTTTCAATCTATAAAGTACAAATTATTAGTCTTTCTTTTTAGTTCAACCAGAAAATTAATTACTTAACTATCACACTTGCCTCTTTCAAAAGAATCTGGTTTTCAGCTCTGTACTGCTGCTGTTTTAAACTTTTGCTATTTCTAAATTCAGTTAAATCAATCATTGTCTTCGGTTCAAGACCTAAAATATTAAGGGATATAATTAAAACCTTACCAACATTCAAATGAACTACAAAAATTTCATATAGCAATTGGTTATCATCAAGCAAATGGCTGTAATTTATTTAGTCAGTATCATTGAAGAACAGGGCACTTTTCGTGCAAGAATTTCCACATATTTGAACTATAACCTTATAAGTCAACATTTTATCACATTAATGGAAATCCTGACAAAATATATCAGGATCTTTTTCTCCATGTCAGATCATTGTGAAAATATGAGAATGTATTAATCAACACAGAAGCTGTGGAATAAAACAGACTTGCACTCAATTTCCACTTGCAATTATTAACTAAGTGTCAGAATAAGACTTCATTTATTTTTCTTGGCTTGTTGTCAAGAGTGTAAGAAAATTAACCCACATAATGTACCTAGTTCAATACCTGGCACATAGTAGTCATAATTAATATCAATATCAATTATATTACTACACTAGTCTAATGCCCGCTGTCTGCTAACTTCCTATTATGAAGTAGATATGAAGATTGTCTCAAGAAAGTATAAAACAAGATTTGCAGGCTTTAAAATATAGAAAATCTTGTGTTTGTGATAGCTATTTAATTGGCTTAGTCATCTTTAGCAACTTCCAGTTTGAAGTCATCTGTGATCTGGTAGGTCAAGTTGATTAGAAGGCTAACTTGGGGTACTGGCTGATCTGGGTCCTATCTAGTACATTTTCATAAATAAATCATCTTTATAAAATATGTATTTTTTTCTTCCTCTAGAGAACAATTTTCACAGATGATCATATTAACTCTAAGAAAGCATTAACTAGTATTTATCAAGTATAATGAAATCAATATTTAGATTTTTCTTTTCACTTCAAAGTAGCAATTTATAGTCATAATTTTACATTCAAATGAGTAATACTCATTAAATGAACTATTTATTGAAACTATTACATAAACTCACAAGGTATATACAGTAATTACTTCTTAGAATCAACAGTAATCTTAAAATACTCAAAGTTAAATTTAAGCAGCATAAATTAACCAGCACTTATAAATGTCCTCATGAATTCATCTGAACAAAAGCACTTTGCAAACTATCATGGGTCATAAAGACACTACCTTTGTTGAGAAAAAGAAAGGGGAGTTAACTTCTAATATATAGTATTAGTTCCGTAGACTTTCAGCTTTTAAATAAGGAATTATTACTTGAAGAGATGCCAGACTGAATAAGCAGTGCTCTAGGCTGGCCCAGTCACCATCCCAACCCCATTAAATCCCTCATCCCACATCAATCACACTGGTTTAGAAGGGTTTATTTGCGGGGGGGAAGAGGGAGAAGCACTCAACTATTTAAAAATAAACAAAACATGGCTTGACAGCTAAGACTGATAAAACTATGGATCTTAAAAAATGACTTACCCACACGCTCCCTCAGTGCTTCATTTTCATCAAGGAAATCATTGATCTTCAACTCAAGTTTATTGATTTCCTTTGTCAATACTTCAATCTCTCGATCTCTTATTTTAATTTGGTTTTTACAATTCTTTATTTCAATAACAGCATCTTCTAAACCATATACTCCCTGAAAAATATCCAATCTAATTTATGTATAATGTGGTTTATTTGAATAAATTATGAAATTCATGATTTTCTTATTAAGTCTGAGGGAAAGTATAGTTATATGTAAGATTTATGTCATTAAACTGTGCTTTTAAAAAACAAATCCAGTAATAACAATGGAAAATGGAACAGCTGAAACTTTCTAGTATAGCGTTCTACTGACAAAGTGACTCAGAGAATGACATATAAAATACCTAGCAAGGGGAGACTGGGTGGGTCAGTGGGTTAAGCATTCAGCTCATTACTGATCTGAGGACTGTGAGATCGAGCCTGCAGCCAGTTTTATGCTGGGCACTGGGCATGGAACCTGCTTAAGATTCTCTTTCTCCCTCTCCCTTCCATCATGCTACTCAGGCTCTCCCTCTCTTGAAAAATAAATAAATAAAATAAAGGTAGTGAATATTGACTATTATAAGACCATGCTAGATGATTCAGAGGGTATGAAGACAAATCAGATTCTCATACTGTCTCTAGGGAGCTCCTTATCCATCCCTCTCAGTTATGTCCCTGAAATAACTTTTAGCAAATAAACGAGTGGTGTCACATGCGTATGGTGGCACAATGACACAGATTACAAAGAAACTAAACTTGCTGTCTCACCAAAGCTGATTATCTGAGCAAAATGTTTTGATCAAATGGTTAGAAAACAATTCTGCTGAAAAGTAAATGCTTCTCAAAAGTCTGAATAGGGTAGTATAAACCAACTAAGATAACCTTTATCATAAAATACTTCTGGAATGTCTTTGAAAGTACAAAGTAAATAGCACAGAACAGTCTGGGAGTGGAAAGAATAATCTAAACTCCCTGATTGACATGATGAAAATACATACCGATTCATAATCTTTTAATCGCTTTAGAGTCTCAACTAGTTCTTTATCCTTTTCCCTAGCATCAGCCTCAGCCAGTTCAGCTGTTCTCTCAGCCTCTTTAGTTTTCTCTTCTAACATTTGAACCTTAGACTGAATTTTCATATAATGAGTCTGTTGGGAAAGAGTTGAAGCACCTACAGGGTAAAAAACAAACAAAAAAAAACCCATGAATTAATTGAATTGATTACTCATTCCTTTAAATCCCTGATTCCAATACAGGAAGCAAGAAAAGTGGTTCATCACTAAAAAAGTCCCTTTAATATTATAATTTTATATTTGAAAAATAAAATTTGTTTTCATTTTGTTGATAGGACAAGCTTAAAAAGTTAACAGAAAACCTTAGCTGAAGGGTTATGGATTATAAAAGATTGCAAAACACTGCTTGATAAAGAAGGATCATTGTGACAAAAAGTACTAGCTATCTGTTCCTAATGTTCAACCTTTGTTGAACTGTAATAGAACAACACAATTTTAGTTGTGGACCCGTGGCCATTTGAAATAAAGGCTAAATTTCCACTTGTACCCCAGCGGTGAAGTGTTGTCATGGGGCTAATGGGATATAAGAACAAGCCATGTGTGTATTTCAGGAAATGTTTTTAAGGGAGAGGAGTGAATTTTTTCTCTTTTCTCCTTCCTACTAGCTGGAATATGGATATTACATCTGGAACTCAACCACTAAGAACACAACATGTATACTACATGTTGAGATAGGCAGGGCAGCAAATTACACGATGTCTGATACACGATTATTCGAGCAGGTATCAAACCAACCCCAAACCAGTTGCCTCAACTTTGTTTATATCATGGAAAAATGCATTTCTATCCTGTTTAAACCACTGCTATATTTGATTTTTTTGTCACTTGCAGCTAAACTTAATAGCTAAAAAAAATCTCTACTTATATTTTACCAAGCTGGTGCTAGACCAAAAAACAATATTCCTTTTATTGACGCAAATCATTCTAACCTACCCTAAGTGTTCTACTGATTTATAAAGCATACACTTACGTGTAGGCATTGGACTAATGTGGGACGGCACGCATGTTTATAAGAAATGGGCCTCATTCTCTGGAGTAAAAAGCCTAGATGGAGAATGTGAGAGTGTCTACTCTCATTTCTTCAATGTGGCTCTCCACAATATATTTACCTGCCTACCCTCCAGCATGTGCTATTTGCCTCTAGCTCCATCTCCTCTACCTTGCTGTTTGTGATGTGGATATGAGGGTAATGCTCCATTTTGGACAAGACAGAGGAGGGCAACATCCTGGGTTGCCTAATTCTGCACCATCACACAAGTGAGAAAAATAAACTTCTATCTTGATTTTGCCACCATTTTCCAGATCTCTAGCTCTGACAGCTAAACCTAATTCTAACCAATGAAAAGAAACCACCATCAGTGTCATATTTACAAATATAGAGTATATTCTAGGACACACACCTTCTGTGGACTTCATGGATCATATGCCTATGGACTGACTGAAATGTCATTAGACAAGGCCTCTTTCTTATTTGATAGCAGAGATCAACTGCCACTTTTTCTCCTGGTGGCTGGAATATGCAAAACCCATGCTGTCAGGCATGCTTTTAAAAGCAGTTTAACCTACTGTCAAAGTACAATTGTAAATACAGAAATAAGTATAGAAATAAGTATATAAAAATAAGTGTAACAAGTGGGCCTTGCTACTGGCTCAGCAATCATATTCCATTTCCCTGGTCTGTATTCTTCTAGATGATCATTTCATACCTTCTCTTTTCTCCAACTACTCAAACGTTAACCCGTCCTCCCCTATTTTAACTTTCAGCTGAGAACCTTGCTTCCTGTACTGAGAAAAAAGGAGCAATCAGTACAGAAGCTTTACCTGCTCCCACCATCAGGTCATCTCCACAGTCACTGCAGCTGTTCCTACATGCTCCACTTCTTTCCCTGTTATTATGGACAAATTCTTTGTGCTCCTAAGGCCAACTACCCCACTGGAATGCTAGATTCCAGCCCCCTGCCTTTTCAAGGATATTGTTCCAGAAGTTCTCTCTCTCTCTCTCTCTCTCTCTCTCTCTCTCTCTCTCTCCTGCTTCATCAATGTATTAATTTTCCTCTTTAATGGATCTTTCCTTTAACCTAAAAGCATGATTATTTGTTCCATTTTAAAGACAAAAAACACTTTCCTCATGACTCTTTCCCTTCAAGGTACTACTCCATTTTTTGCCTTCCGTTCACACAAACAGTCCTCGAAAGAGTCTCCATGGTGTTCTATATCAACTGTATCCCTTTTCTCTTAAACCAAGACTGGCCACTGATAAATCCACTGGTCAATTATCAATCAATACTCATCTTGATATATTAGCAGCACTGCAGTTCTGAACATGGCTGCTTATTCTCTTCCTTGATGACATTCCTCATGTGGTTTTCAGGACTCTAAACATTCTTGATTTTTATCCCATCTAGCCTCCTTTGGTTGTTCCTTTTCATCTCCCCAGCCTCTAAAGTAAGAGAATCCCTAGGCTCAATTTTGTATTTTCTTCTTAACATTTGTTCCTTTGATGATCTCAGTCAGCTTCATGACTTCAATTGTCATATGGTTCCCAAATTTATATCTTTAGCCTAGACTGTTGTCCTAAATCTCAGATTTCTATATATACAACTGTCTATTTAATTCTTTCATTCAGATGTCTAATAAACATCTCAAATTTAACATGTCCTGTTTAACTAAGTATCCGATCATTTCTTTTTTTTTTTATTTTATTTATTTATGATAGGCACACAGTGAGAGAGAGAATGGCAGAGACACAGGCAGAGGGAGAAGCAGGCTCCATGCACCGAGAGCCCGACGTGGGATTCGATCCCGGGTCTCCAGGATCGCGCCCTGGGCCAAAGGCAGGCGCTAAACCACTGCGCCACCCAGGGATCCCCCATCCGATCATTTCTAAACTTGCTGGAAACACAGTCCTCCCCAATGTTCAGAAAAAAGTCTTGATAACTCCCGCATATCCTACCTCTGATCTGTCAGCAAATTCTATTTCTTGCACCTTCAAAATACATCCTGAACTGACTACATCTAACAGCTCTATGCTACCGCCATGCTCTCAGCTACTAGCACCTCTCCAGAGTATTCCAACAGTCTCATAACAAGTTTGCCTGCTTCTGTTCTTACCTCCTGTTGTCTACTGCAGACATAGCTTAAGTCAAATTATATCACTCCTGTCCTTAGAAACCTTTTTTGGTACTTCTCACATAAAATAAAAGCCAAAGTCTTACAGTGAACCATTAAGTCTCTTCATGATATGGCCCCTGGTCACCTCTCTGATCTCATCACGTACTACTGCCCCACCTGCCCACTGTTTCAACCACAAAGACTTCTTTGTTGTTCTTCAACACACTCGGTACACTACTACTTCGGTGCCTTTACACTTATTCCCATTGTCTGGGGATATCTGCATGGCTTACCACCTCACTTCCTAAAAGTGTTCAAGTATCTCCTCAAAGAGGCTTTTGCCTCACTATCTAAATTACAATCACCACCACCACCATTAACTCACTAGGTAGTTACCTTTGTGTCTTTTTTATCTTCAGCAATTATGTTAAATATGTCATGAATTTATTATGAATGGTTTGCATTAATGTGTCCTAGTATAACTACAGTATGTACTGCTATGGAAATATAAGACCACTGATGTTTTAAGGGTTTCTGTTCAGATGTATTAGGCAAGGCAGTATGTCCCAGGGTAGGGAGAATAGGATGATATACTAAATTTGGTAATGTTCATTCAAATGCTGATGAGTCAAATGACTTCTGGAAACTACCTGCAATGCTACTACACTGATAAAAATTTTATTCTCTTCTATTCTTTTTAATTATAAAAAATGGGATAAATAACTACAATCAATTATATCACCATTTCGCATTTCTTTCACCTAACTAATCTGGTCAATGTAATTTTTATTGGGGAAAACTTACAGAAAATATCTCTTATCACTTACAAATTTAAACACTAGTAATTTATGTAGTTACTATACTAGTTAACACATGTAAAGTCATTTTTAAAAATATAAAATTCAAAAATAAAAATCACTAATATATCTATTGACATAATTTAAGAAAAAAAATCCTTGTAAAATTAAATGGTACATAGAATAAATTTAAGTACTTACTAAACACTGAATTAATTACCTTTGTTTCTATGAAGCTCATTTTTCAAATCTTCGATAATGAAAGTATTTTTTTCCATTTCTTTTGTATATTGTTCTACTTGCTCAGTGAGCATCTTAATTTGACTATCTCGTTCTTGTATGCCCTATAAAATATTTTAGAATATTACATATGATTTATTCATGGATGTTAACATGCATTTTAAAAGTGAGGGAAAAAAAGTAGGTCTTGTGATTTTTTTCAACAAGATTATAGAATATATTTTCTATGGGTCAAAACAATGTCTTTTACTACTTTGTCTCCCTCAACTGCACCACACAACGTTTGGTACACTGATGTCACTCTAATATTTAAAAAGAGAACTGCTAACATCCTGGCAAAGGGAATTCCAGAACACTCTGATATTGATAGCTTCTTCTGACTCTTTTCATGCTACCATTCCTCAGGATCCACCCATTTCCATCTATTGCCATGTAACACTTCATTCAAAATATTGTGCCTTGCAATTGTTCTTATCCTCCAGATACTTCCCAAATTTGCCTCTTTCTTTTGAACTATGACTATAGGGCACAGATGATGAAAGTATAACTTCTACACAAATACATTTGTACTAAAAATGAAATTTAATGTAATAGTCAAATTATTACCAAACTTTTAGCTTTTTTCACATTATATAGGATATTTCACACCAACATATAACATAATAAGCATTAATAATAGAATATTAAGATATTTTTAAGTTTCTAAAAGATTTTAAGTTTCTTATTAAATAATTCCCAATCAAAACAATATATCTATTACCTGCACCAACATAGGAAAATATACAAAATAACTCTATTCCTAACTCTAAACTTAATTCTAATTGTTTCTTGGGACTGGATTTCAAAGGACTTTCTCATATACCCAACAGTGCAAGCCACTAGGTAAGACACATTGCCTACTTTAATAAACCAAATTTTGAGAAGGTTTTACCTGTTGTAGAGCCATAACATTACTTTTATCAGCATCAAGCTGGGCATTTTTCAATTTCTCCCTCAGGTTATGCAACATTTGCTGATATTCAATAATTTCATCATCTTTAGAAGACAAAATTAACTAGATATAAACAACATAGGATCTGTTACATAAGAGGAAAATTAATAAATCATTTTTCACTTATGGTAAGTACTCTAATATGTACCATTAGCAGATTTCAAGAAAACACAGGAAATAAAATTCACTTTGAAGTGAGTAAGTATCAGCAACTATTTGCATAATCATTGTTGCTTTTGGGTGTACAACCTTAAGGTCAAATAAGAAATGATTCAAAAATATACATTATAATTTTTGCTGTTTTAGAAATTCAATCTTTAAACACTCTAAAGCTTTCAAAACCCATTCTTAAATAAGAATTGTAAATACTCTCATGCAACTACAAGGAAGTTTTGTACAATCAGTTTTTATGGAGAAAATCTTAAAATGCCACTGGATGAAGGTGTCTTGTGTTCTCTGCTAGAAGAATCAAATACCAAAATCAACTTGTAAAATTAATTTATAAATTTATCACATATCCAATAAGATTTTTAATAACTATTTCTAAAATTCATACAAAAAACATGTCCACTTGTATCTAAAAACTGAATAGCTTTTTCATATATTTAAACATAATAACTAAAACAAGGACACATGGTTAAAAACTACATCAATATAAAGGAGAGAGTTCAAAAATAAATTCAAATTCAACAAGAGTGTCATATGTAACAAAAATGAAATTGTATTTCAGTAGGAAGATAAAGTGTTCAATAAATAATGTTCGGAGAACAGAGTATGTCTGTTGCATTCATACTTCACTCTCCATGCCAAAATTAATTACATATGCTTAAAAGACTTAAATGTAAAAGATGAAACTAGGAGGTACTAGAAGAAAATAGAGAAAACAATTTTATACTCAGAACTCTAATTATGATACAGAGTTCAAAAGACACAAAAAAATAAACTACATGATACAAAAAGAAATACTTCATAACAAAAAGTACCATAATGCCAAAAGACAAGTGTCAAACTGGAGGGATGATTTGGATATATATGACAACTTGTAGCAATTTAATCTATGTATTTGCAAAACAACAAATACATGAAATATCCATTATAACATTGCTTCTAATACCAAATATCAGAAACTGCTAAATATCACTCAACAGGCTAGGCTACCAATTAAATAAATAACATATCTACAAAGAAAAATTACAAAGTCATTAAAAAGAACAAAGCAGTAGTATATATTACCGACATAAATAATTCCTAAAAGATATTAAGTGAAAACAAAATGCAGAAGAAAACATATACTACCATCTTTCCCCCCTAAATTAAATGATGTAAAACTTTTTTTTCCCCCAGGGGTTGGTAAACTTAATCAAGGGTCAAATTTGGCCTGCTGCCTGTTTTTGTAAAGTCTTATTGCAAAACAGCCCTGCTCATTCATTTGTGTATTGTTTATGGCTGCCTTTCATGTTATAATAGCAGAGTTTGGTTACACCAGAGATAATATGTTCTAAAATATTTACTCTCTGGACTTTTTACAGAAAGTTTACTGACCCGATTGACTCCACAGGGTATCAATGCCACTGCTACTGCTTTTGTTTAAAATACAGATTATCTGAACTTTCCAGATAACCAAATCCAAATAGCCAACAAGACTTATGTGACCTCTGTTTAGAAACAATGACTATAGAAGTGATAGCTTTTAAAATTAGGTTTATTCAGAATCACTTCCTACTTTTCTCAAAATATACAGTCATTATAATCCTAGCTTCTGACATGGTAAGGTCAGAAGATTTGGTTGGGGTTGGAGAGTAGGGAGGAGAAAGAAAGGTGTATTTTGAAAAACTCAGATGATTCTGAAAGGTCCCTTTCCTTACTCCCATTCCCACTAAAAACCAACAGTTTGGTCTGAAGGAAGGAGAATTAGAAAAACTAAAATTAAACCAGGAACTATATATACATTATACAAGGCACCTAGAAGTTATATGAAAAAACTTAAATTTTACTTAGAATTATCTATTTTAGATGACAAGTAAGTTATGTTTTAGACTTATATTACAAATAAGCTAGAGGACTATAGAAGAGAGAATACTTAGTGCTTTTCTAAGTAGGACATACAATGCACTTTAAAAATTGCCTAATAAAAATGTCATTAACTACCATAAAGCCTTTAAAGAAAACTAAGACTAAGAAGTTGAAATAAAAAATACAGATGAAAAACCCATTATATCAACTAAAAAAAAAAAAGGCCACCTTCCATTCTTCTACTTTTGCATTGACAGCAGCCATGACTGGATCATCTTCTTCATTTTTTGCTTTCAGAAGATCTGTAAGCTCCTGCACCTAAAAGCAACAATTATTTCAAAAATTGTTGCAAAATAGTGCAATATACACTTATTTGTTATATATGCATATTTACACATACATTACACATACACACCATATATATTCATACATGTATATACATACACATTACCAATGCATATCCATTATTGGAGCAGTTCTACAGTTAGACGTGATATTTAATAGTTTCTGTATCACTACAGATGTATAATTATTTGTCATTAACAGAGAATTATATTTTTGAGCATTATTCTATTTTAACACCAGGGTAATATCATGTAAAAAATAAGCAATATATTGGTTTTCTGATATTTATGATGCATTTATGGTATAAGATTTAACTTCAGGTCCACAGGACTTCTAGGAATCTTTAGTAGAAAATCCCCATGTTTATCAGTTTTCCAGGACCCTGTCTACACATTCGTTCACGACACACATGAGGTATACATAAGGGGATTAAAGAAACACATATGGACAAACATACCAGCATGGCAACACATTACAGTAAGAGGATATAGTACAGCATAAGACAAAAATTCATATCCTAGAAAGTTAAAGCACTTTTTAGTTTCACATAAATAATATGATATAATATGAAGTCTGCACAAATGAGTTAATCAAACAGTTATACTTACTTGGAGCCGGTAATGATCATTTTCTTTTTTTAAGTGGTCCATGACATTATCTGTCTGATGTACGATTGCTTTCATCCTGTTATACTCATCAGTCATCTTTTCCATCTCCTGTACAGACTCTTCTAGATTTTTTCTCATTTCTTGATTCTGAACTTCAATTTTTTCATTAGCTTCTGTTAAAGTCTAATAAAGTTAAAGACACTATGGTTAACTTAAGAAACTGAAATTTAAACGAAATTAAACAGAATCTTAAGTGTCTGTTGGAGAACAGAGAATCCTTTATAGATCTGTAGTAGCGTTTGATCCAATTAAATCAAATTAAATATCAAGCAGATTGCATCTAAAAAGCTTGGTTCTTCTTAATGCCCAAGATAGACATATAAAATGAGTGAATCTGCAAGATTTGTAATTTTAAAAATGAAATTTATTTCATGTTTCCAAATGCATAGTTGCAGATTTCTACTACAGAATTTAAATGTAGGACCAAATACTAGATTTATATTATAATAAAGCTTTATAAGAATCATTGCCTTGAATTGACTTCTATTTTACCTGAATTTCATCCAGATATTGGACAAGTTCATAGTTTTTTTTAGACAATTGTGATCGGTAGTCACTGTCTTCTCCTCTTCTCGATAAAAGTGTTTCTTTTTGGGAATCTATTTGTTTCTGATAGTCAATAATATCCTGACGAAGCTGCTCATTCTGAAGGCAGACCAAATACAATATTCTATATTAAGAAACTATCCAGAGAAACAAAACTTCATCCTCTAAATAGTTGATCTCAAAACATATCTTTAAAATCCCAAGGTCTCGCCACCCTTAAAGGCTCACCTTTTTCTTTAGACGTTTGTTCTCCAGAAAAGAATAGGAAAAAGAAAATTAGAAATAAGAAAGGCAACATATAATTAAAATTAGGAATTAGAAATTAAAACAATAAAGAAATTTTAGGAGGAGATATTATTTTGGATAATCAAAGAAAGCAAGAATATTAATTATCAACCAAAATAAGGAATATTTTGGTTATGTTAAAAAGATAAGAACTCCTGTAAGGATAAACAATGTACAAACATTATTTGGCTCAGAAGAACCAAATAATACAGAACTTATAAGATTTCATGAGAAACAAAACATTTAAAAGAATACTGGGTAAAATAAGAAAAGACAGAAATGCAGTTATTCAGCAATTAGCAAACTAACAAAGAATAGCTTATAAAACAAAGCAAAATTTACCCCTATACAGTAAGACATGAACATAGTACTTAGTAGCCTCAACTTTCAATTTATTTTCTATTCCCTGAGACAAATTCATATAAAAATAAGTCAACTTGAAAGCATCAGTTACTTAGATTACAGTCCTGCTTAGAGTATAAATTTATGAAAATGTTTTTAACAAGTAATTTATTGAACTACTACAACTACTAAAATGTTTTTTACCAACCTCTCTTCTTAATTTGCTGTTTTCATTTTCTGCTTCCTCATTTCGAAGAGCCAACTAAAATAGCAAAATAAATAAATAAATAAATAAATAAATAAGGTTTAGCAGTAATTCAATATAAATCCAGGTTTTCAACTAATCAATTTAAATTTTAAATTCTAATCAAGTAGAGAATGATTAACTAAGGACTTCATGTTGATCACAGATATGAATAATAAACCAAAATTTGTGAAATCTAAAGATTAGGAAAAACAAAACAGGCTGAGTTTAAATGATTAAAAAAAAAAAAAAAAAACCAAAAAACTAACTAACCAAAGGATACAGAAACAAAGCAACAAACTATTCCACTCCTCGCCCAAACCTAATAATCAGCAATTTTCTTTTTTTTTTTCTTTTCTTTTTTTTTTTTAATCAGCAATTTTCTGTCCAAGATCTTTAGCATTTTGCAGTTCTATGTCAGGGCTAGGATATTTTTTGTTCTGGTGAGCATTTGGCGCAGCGGTTTGGCGCCTGCCTTTGGCCCAGGGCGCGATTCTGGAGACCCGGGATCGAATCCCACGTCGGGCTCCCGGTGCATGGAGCCTGCTTCTCCCTCTGCCTGTGTCTCTGCCCCCCTCTCTCTCACTGTGTGCCTATCATAAATAAATAAAAATTAAAAAAAAAAAGAAATATAAGGCAGCACAACATAATGGTTAAAAAGAAGCAATCTGAAATCTGACTAGCCCAGGTTTATATTCTTTGTCCACTGATTTCTGGTGGAGTACAAACAAGCCATTTACGATCTTTTAAATCCAATTTTCCCATCTCATATATTGATGTAAAAATTAACTATGATGTATATAAAGTCCCTTAGCACAATACTCAGTGCATGAAATAACAAAAAAATTATGGAGTGTTTTCTTCTCACATAAATGATTTCATTTGTGATTCTTTTATTTCCCAAAACAGAAAAATTTTATTAACTATTATCACAGATTTTTTTCATCCATTGTCCAAACCTCTTATGTCTTTTCACTTTTCTGCTTTTCTCCCTCATTCAAGCAGAATGTAAAAGATCAGTGGTTTGGAATTAGAATATACTTAAAAGTCTATAGTAAATGACCAAATGCAGTATGTGACCCTTGATGGAACCTTGGATTTGGGTGGAAGGGCTATGAAGGGCATTATTAAGCCAAAGGAAAAAAAATACAATTAGAGACTAGATATTAGGTAACAGTATTGAAAAATATTAAATTTCCTGCATATGGTAATTATATAATGGTTACATTGGAGAATACTCCTCTTTTTCAGAGACACATGCTGAAATATTTTAGTGTTCATGAAGTATCATGATATATGCAGCAGTTAATTCTCAAATGGCTCAGCAAAGAGAAAGAACTATGTGAGTACAAAGATATTGATGGAGAGATAAGGTAAAAGTGGCAAAATTTTGACAATTGGTGAATCTGTATGAAGAGTATATGAATGCTTATTGTTTTTCCTATAATATTTAGGAAGGTTTGATAGTTTTCAAAATAAAAAGTTTAGAGGGATCCCTGGGTGGTGCAGTGGTTTAGTGCCTGCCTTTGGCCCAGGGCGCGATCCTGGAGACCCGGGATCGAATCCCATGTCGGGCTCCCTGCATGGAGCCTGCTTCTCCCTCTGCCTATGTCTCTGCCTCTCTCTCTCTCTCTCTGTGACTATCATAAATAAATAAATTAATTAATTAATTAATTAATTAATTTAATTAAAAAAAGACTTATTAAAATAAGTTTAGAGAAATTTTATAATAAAATGCAAAACACTAGAGAAATTTCAAGAGTGTACCTACTACTACTATCATCATCATCATCATCATCATCATCACCATCGTCCCCTGGGAGTTAAGAAATAATCCTATTGTGTTTTGAATTGGAAAATTTTAACTAGGAAAGAGATGTCAAGAACTTAACACTGAAGCATTTAGTACTACTGATGCTCTTTTCCCTTAATTTTTCAAACATCACATTCTTGATTTTTGTCTTATGCTGTTCCTTAAAGCACCTCTTCCTGTTTCGTTAGACATTTCTCAGAGATCTCCCTTATAGTCATTTCTACGGCTTCATAGCTATGTTGTTAACTCACAAACCTTCATCCTCCACCCAGTGCTTTTTATGAATTCCAAAACCAGTTACTCTTTTTGAATATGCCCACTGGAATCTCAAAATTAACATGAACAAAAGTGAAAACTGGAGTAGTAATTACACACCTTATAAATTTCTCTTATGTCTCTACTTAGTGAATAACACTACCTTATTATTCAGTGGCCCAACCCAGAAAACTCTCCATTCCTCCCTCTCCTGATAACCATTCAACACATCCAATTACACTTAATCTCTAAACCTGTCTATATCCCTTAATCTCTTCAGTCATGATTTTAATTAGTCCATCATCAGCACCTGCCTGAATTAGCACAGATGTCTCCCTACTATTCTTAGTCCTCTTCAATCCACTCTCTATAAAGCTGAATAAACATCAAAAGTATAGATCTGATCACGATATTCTCATATTCAAAATTCTCCTCCTTTTAGGAAAAAGACCAAATTTCTCAGGAACTGACTTGTACTTATCTCTCCAGAGGATCACAAATGTTTAAACTACAAAGGCAAGATAGTACAGTGGTTTAGAACAGACTCACTGAGTAGGTTTGGATTCAAATCCTGTTTTTACCACTTATTATTTCTGTAACCATGGACACTTACCCTTTCTTTGTCTGTTTCCCTATCTGGAGCATGGGGAAATGTTACCTATCTCAAATGATATGTATGAAACAAGGAACAACAAATTAGTGCCTATAAAGTATCTGGCACATAGTAAGGATTCTACACTAGCCATTTTTACCTATATTTCAGCCAAAATGAGTAACTGTAATTCCCTAAATTCACCATGCCATCTCTTCCCTCTAGATCTTAGCAAATGCTGTATCTTCAGCCCAGAATGCCCTTTTTTTAACCACCACGTATACCCCATCCCCTTGCCAGACTAACTCCTAATTCAGGTCTGCTTTTTAAGGTGTTTTGTTTTTAATAATTTGTTTTAAAGATTTTCTTTATTTGAGAGAGAATGTGAATGGGAGAGCACGAGCAGGGGCAGGGCAGAGGCAGAGAGAAAGAAGCAGATCCCCTACTGAGCAGGGAGCCCAATGTGGGGCTTGATTCTAGGACCCTGGGAATCAAGGGGAATCATGAGCTGAAGGCAGACCCTTAACCCACTGAGCCACCCGCGTCCTTCAGGTCTCAGTTTACAAATCATTTCCTGAACCTCAAGACTGATTTAGTTATCCCTCCCCAGAGTAGGGATATGTTACATTTATTATAGACCATGAATATCAAGAAGCAGGATAACATTACCCTCTATATTCCTAGCATCTAACAGTCTCTGGCAAGCTGTAAACTCAATAAGGGCAAAGAAGAAATTGCCAGTAACTCATATTCCATCTCAAGGAATCTAACAACTGGAATGGCACATAGGCCATATACTCAAGTTTTCTGTATTTGTTTCTATGAATAGATAGTAGTCTAAGAATGGACAAGATAGTTCTGATTAACGGGATATGGATATGAATGACAAAAAGTTGATTAATATGGGCTAGATAGAAAAACAGTTCGGAAAATGACAGATATCCCCCTAACAAGCAAATCTATTTCTGTATATCATAGATTGAGTCCTTAATGATTATTAAGAAATTCATAGGTCTGTTATGTTTTATTAAGTCAACTAAACAGACAATCCTCTAAGAACTTATTCCTAACCTTTAGGTGGCATCAATCCATACATTTTTCAGCACAAAAATGGTATGGATAGATCACTTTTACATGAATCTTTTAAATTATGTAAGAAAATAAATATATCAAGAATAGGGAAGTTTTTCTTTACAAATCAATTTGTAACACCTTATAACCTTATAAAATAGCGACAACTCTTTATAACCATTGTTGTTTACTTAAAATTTACTGCCTTCTACTTCTAAGAGAACAATGGACAAATATTATTAGGATGTAATGAAATATTGACCTAAAAGGACACAAAGGTGAAAAAGTTTCTGGGAATCAGGGATGGAATGTTACTATGCTTAGGCAGCAGATTCTATAAAAGTTTACTAACAGGTGAGGCAAAATAAGAAATTTGTTTTCTGACAGGATTTTCTAAATACATCCGCAAAAATTTTTTTCCTTAAACTAAATTTAAGAGAACACTGGATGAATTATTTTCTAAATAACAATAAATAATCCAAAAGGTAATAACTGTATTTGTCTAAAAGACAAAATGTTGTGATTTAAAATACACATTGATTTAAAAATGCTGGCTTTAACAAACTTTTTAAGAACCTATATTTTTTTTACATATAGGTATTTATTGCACAATATGAAGTACTCCTAAAACCATGGAATTTGATTCAAAGATATAATGACAACATGAACAGTAATACAAAACTTTAGAGGTAAGCATACATCTATTCTCACATAAAACACAGAAATTGATAGTTGCCATTATAAAAACATAATCAGGTGTTTTTAGGTAACTTAAACAGTTAAAATTCATTGAGGAAATATGCCTTACTTGCTCATTAACCTTCTTCTCTTTCTCCAACTCCTTTTCCATGTCCTCCAATTCTCTATCTTTTTGTTCCAATTGTTTTTCAAGTTGGCGAATTTCATCACGTAAAAACCGAGTGTCTCTTCCACCTGCAGACTGCTGTGCCAACTTAAATAAACCAAAAGTAGAAATCAATCCCATTAGAAGTCTCAACAACAAATTGACTTTAAATTTGTGTTATATATAATCAGCACCAGATGTTTAAAATCATGTAAAATCCACCCACTGACCTCTGCTGCTCTTAAACTACCCTTTCCCTTGTACCCTATTTAAACCAGGGCTATCCAACAGGACTTTCTAGGATAATGGAAATGTTCTCTGCATGGTTGAGTAGCAGAGCCACTATCTACAAGTGGCTTTGTGAATTTGAAATGTGGCCACTGCAACTACGGAAATGAATTTTTAATTTCTATTGTAATGAATTTAAGTGTAAATAGCCACAAGTGATTAGTGCTACTGTACTGGATGGCTCAGACCAAGATCACCTTTAAAATCTTGGGCCAGATTAGGGCACCTGGCTGGTTCAGTAAGTAGAGCATTCAACTCTTGATCTCAAGGTCATGAGTTTGAGGCCCACGTTAGGAGGATAGAGTTTACTTAAAAAAAAAAAAAAATCTTGTGGCAGATTAAATCCATTTCACTTCATATTCCTGTTATTTTGGGTCACAGTCCAAAACATATCCTTTGGTCATCTACCTCACATTCATCTCTTTACCATACAGTTGTGTTACTTTTATATATTAAATAGCTTTTTCTTACTCTTTTTCTCCTTCAGAACACTTTCTATTGTGCTCTCAAAAATCTTCTTTCAAGATACATTAATAAAATATTAATACATAAATACACTCTTGGCCCTTTTACTGAATCATGTTCTCCATCTCCCCTCCTTAGCTGCAATTTGGTTCCTTTAGTATACTAAATACTTTGGAACTCTTTGGAAGATGCTCATTCTTTCACATCCCATAGACCTCAGGGTCAAGAGAAGGTGTTGATTTACCTCAACTTGCAACTTTCAGGCTATCATTCTTCCACCATCTTATGAAAACTCTGGCTGCTATGAATTCCACATGATAACCAGCTATTCAATCCCTACCTATTCATGGTAGCAGCAAACTACTAACTTCCCAGTTGAGCCCCCTCAAAATTCGTTGGCAATTTTTGGCACATGGCTCATAGTTTTCCACCAAAAGACCCCATAAGCAGTTTTCATACCCATATAACTTTCATTCTAGTCTTTTTTTTTTTTTCACATGCTTCTTGAATTCACTATAGCCTCCCACTCTCATGCCCACACCAGAACCTTGTCCAGTACAAACATTGTCTCATGGTTCCTAGTATACCCACCCTCTGACTTCACAGGAGCCTCTAATTCCTTGACCCCTTTCTAACCTCTCATTCATATCTTGATTTACCCATTCAGCTGAGATTTCATAATCATTATTTTAATCAACCACTTTCTTACCAATATCTCCCACTGTCCTATCCTTCCATTCTACTGTAGCTGTCCAAACACTAACAGAATCAATCTGATTTCATAATTTAGTAAGTATTTATTGAGAATGACTGATATTTTTCTAGAATACAGATATATTATAGGGAACAAAAAATAACTTATCCCAGTTCACAGTTAATAAATAAAAGAATCAGGATTTGAACTCAAACTGTCTGACTCCAGATCCCCTAATCTCCAGCTCATTCTCCACTGAGTACTTGAAATATTCCACAAGTATTTCAAGCTTAATTTTCCTTAAAATTTGATCACACGTCTTCCACTCTTATTTTTAGCAAATGGGCCTTCACTCCAACCGCTCAACTTCTAGGTACTAAACCTATAAACATAAAAGCTTCTGCACACATCCATTCTTCCCATTACAAAGGAAGGTCGGGATCCCAGAGTGGCTCAGTGGTTTAGTGCCTGCCTTTGGCCCGGGGGGCGTGTTCCTGGAGTCCTGGGATGAGTCCCACTTCCCGCTCCCCACAGGGCGCCTGCTTCTCCCTCTGCCTGTGTCTCTGCCTCTCTGTGTCTCCCATGAATAAATAAATAAAATCTTAAAAAAAAAAAAAAGAAGGTCTTTCCCCCTTTTAAAGGCTAATCCATTTGTATCACACCCCTTCCCACATTGTCAGGAATTTCAAAATCTTTGGTTTGTTAACAATACATTCATATTTGGCTCCTAATTTTCTCAAAAACTACTTGTACCAAATCCTTCCACCGGTATTCCTCAAATTCCCATGTTCCTCCACTTCAGTTCAGTTGCTAGGTGTACTTCTGTACACCTCTCTAGATTGTAAGCTTTGGGGGGGGTGACTGAATATTTTTATTTTGTTCACTATTGGATGTTCAATCCTAAGAACTTAAGGTACATGGTAAACATGTAAAACAACTAATTATGAACACAATGTCATTCTTGTGGTTTTTTTCCAGCCAATGATAAAAAATCGAAAACAGTAATTCAAAATAAACAACAGTTACCCCCTAGGTAATAGAAAAGAACTTACCTCCAGTTCATTTTCCAGTTTCATTACTTTAGTTTTTAATTGATTTTCTATTTTAAAAAAAAGTTTCAATTGGTCAGATTCATCTCAAAACAAACTTTTAAATAAATTTCAACAAAGTAATAAAATTATTTCTATAGACTCCATCATGATTATAATAAGTAACATAAGAAAAAAATGACTTTTATACCTCATCCAGGAAATATGAATGCTAGAAATTTCTTACAAAATAAACTGAGCATGTATATTTTATAGAGTATATTAAACAGAATCACAGAATCCCCCTACTTAACATTGTGATAAACTTTTCCAGGACATTTACCAAATTTTGCTTGTTCTTCTCCAGCCTTTTCAACTTCCTCCAAAGCTAGCTCAACCTCTTGAGCTTTCATCTAAACGTTAAAAAAGAAAGGTTATTTCAATATGCCTTTACATACGCACTGAAAATGAAAATGAGAACTTTGTTTCATTTGCTTTCCCAATATTTATTTGTCCTTCAGTGCCTGGGATATGGAGACTTTCAGTAAATATTTGTTGAATGAATAGATGATTTTCTTAAGGACATAATTCCTAGATTCCTAACAGCTTGAAGTATATTGATTACTCTTTTCTCCCTCAAGTCTTATATCCAGTACTGTAACTTTGCCCTTTGTAATGTTTTCTGCTATGTTTCACTATTCCATTTGCCATTATTCTAGCCCATAATCTTATGTCTAACCTTCTTCACCATGTTATCTCTAAATAGCTTCAATTCCCTTCACTTAGTCCTATTAATATACCTAGTTGAAGCCTTCCTAAGGCATACTTTTGCACTTATCAATTAGGCTCAAAAACCTCTCATGGCTCCTCATTGCTGATAGCAACATAAAATACACCTGTAATACCCTTGACGGCCTACTGCTAACTATAACCAACATTAGTTTCCTCTACAACCTACTATAAACTTTCTGCACCTGTCTCAACTGTAAAAAATAAGCACATTTTCTAGTCCCAGGTTTTACTTGTGATGTCCAGCTGCAGAAGCTTTTTAACATTTGCCACTGCTTTCTACTTACCGAAAATTGCTCATCACTCTTTGCCCTTTATGAGGCCTTCTCTCACCTAAATCTCTTCCTCTCCTAACAAACGCCTTACAAGTCATTCACATTTTTCATTCTGACTTCAGGATTATGTTAACATAATCACAAATGAGTTGCTTATGTTATTTTTAAACATACCCATTCTGTTTCCCTTATGCATTCTTTTAGGAACTTTGGAGCAGAAACGAGCAATGCTTTGCACACTAAAATTCTCAACCCATATTTGAAAGAGATCTCATTTTTGAGTGATTTTGATATTACAAAGTACCTTCATAACAATTAACTTATTTAAGAGCTCCTTAAATGTCCTCTAATAGTCAAACATTGTTAAAACCTACTGCATACAAACCTTCATTAGTGATTGAGTAATTCTGAAAAGGTGTATCACATTTTCTTGACTTTCAGTTTTTAGCTCACTTATTTCCACCTAAGTAAAGAGAAAAGCATCTATTTTATGTTTTATAACCCTTAGTCAAAATGTAAAAACTCTTCTATTTGTAACATGCATTGATCTCGGGACAACTTGGATTAATCACAGTTGTATGTAGATAGATGCACTGTTTATAAATTAAGCACCTTGGATAAGGAAACCAGTAAATTATCTGCCAACTCTTCTTGACGAGGCAGGTCATCTGGATCAACTTTTATTATTTCTTTCCAGTTTATATTAGGTGGCATCTTGAAATCTTTCACTGCGCTTTACCTTCTGGAACAAGACAGGTGGGTGTTAGCATTTTCAAGATAAACAGCATTACTATTTTTATAGATTATATCATTTTAACTCTCCGTGGTGTTAGCAAGGAGGTATGGCTCCCTAATTGCATAAGAGATAAGTGGGCATAATAGCATCGATCAAAACTATGACAGCTGGCACAAATCAACAGATACTGCACCGCCTGTAAACTAGGAGTGATTTCTTCTGAAACTAACCTAGGGCAGAACTAAGATTCTGAATCCCCTCCTCCACGCCCCCTTACCACCAAGGCGCGCGAACATCTAGTGGTGCCAAAACGAGGGGGGTGCTTGGAAGGCTGAAAATGAATCCTGATTCGGAGAAGCAAGAACAGGAGCGGTTTAAAAATAATAATAATAATAAAAGCAGTGCAGAAATAAACGACTGCAATGAGCGCAGCTAGGCCAGGGAAAGCAGGGCTGCAGCTAGAAGAAGGCAGATGGGTTGCAGACCAGGCTAAGCAGTGGGGAAGCTAGGCTGTTACCTACGGGCCCTGAGGCTTAAAGAACCTGCTTGGGAAGAAACTGGCTGCTCCTGCTCATCAAGATCCACTCCAAGATCCACCCACCGAACCGAGCCTGGCAATCAGCAGCGGCCCCCGATCTGCCCCCCGGGTCGAGCCTGGCCCCGCCGCCACGCCCCACCGCTCCCCGGCGCCGTTCCACCGGGACTCTGATCCCGCCAACTGGTGCAGCGTAAGCCAGAGCGGCGGCGGCTGCTAGGCGACACCATTCCCCACCCCGCGAAGGACGGCGCAAGGCCCCGGATGCGAGGGGAGCCTACATTTCACGACCTTGAGTGATGCTTTGCGTTTAGATCCTCCTGCGGGACCCCTTGGACTCTGTGTGAAAGACGGGAGAAGGCGATGGCAAAAGGACTCCAAATCCCAGGATGCAGTTCTGCTCGGAAGCTCGTGCATGCTGGGAACTGAAGTCTAGGGAGGTAGGCTGTTCCCGGCATGCAATGCGGGAGGCTGCGACCGCGCCGGGGTAGCGGGGGAACGAGCCAGAGGCGGGAGGCGCGGTGGCTGAGGCGCGTCTGCGCCGGTGACCTGAATGAGGTAGACCATGACTGTGCCTTCGGTGGCGTCACCAGCCGGGCCGCTTTTCCCGGGATTTCCCTAAGCCGCCTCCTGGTTGGACGCGCTTCCAGGTGAGGTCGGGCCGCGCGGGTCAGCGGCGGGGGAGGCGTGGAGGGGAGCGGTCCCCGCTTAAGGAAGCGCGCGCGGTCGGGGCGGAAGGACTCGGTCCAGGTCTGAAGGGCCGAGGGGGGCAGACCCCTTCTCCTGAGGCGTTTGCGGACGTCCCCCGGGCGGTGCCCTCTGCAGGAAGAAAAAAGAAAGTTTGAGTTTTCTTTGCTTTCAGGATCTACTCTGTGCGGTGGAGTCGGGGCCGCGCGGCCGGGGTCATGGCTTCGTGGGGAGTGAAGAACTGAGGACACGGTCTCCTCTGCCCGCCTCACCTGTCGCACCGTAGCCTTTGCTGGGGGCGGAGGTGGGGGCGGGTGTCGAGGGGTGAAGCGCTCCAGGGAGGAGTGTTGAGGACTCGTGCAGCCTGATCCCGACGCTGGGGTGCAGGGAGGAGCGGCCGCAGCCCTCACCTGCCTCAGCCTGTCACTTGCTTGACCAGCGACGATGCCCACAGGTGAAAGCGCTCCTCAGGTGTTCACAGTTCCTTTGGGCAGGTGTTGCTCATCCCACTGCGCTTAGTTCTTCTGGCTACTCCAGAACTCTATTAGGCTGTAGACTTGAAATCTTTTTTTTTTTAAGATTTTTTTATTTATTCATGAGAGACACAGAGAGAGGCAGAGACAGAAGCAGGCTCCATGCAGGGAGCCCGATGTGGGACTCGGTCCCGGGACGGTGAGATCACACCCTGAGCCAAAGACGGGTGCTCAACCGCCGAGCCACCTAGGCGTCCCTGTAGACTTGAAATCTAAATGACATTCCCAATTGTTTGGGACCAGTGCCTCATATTTATCTTTTTTTTTTTTTTTTTTTTAGGAATTTTTTCTTAACTATAACTTTTTTTTTTTTTAAAGATTTTATGTATTTATTCATGAGAGACACACGGAGAGAGAGGCAGAGACACAGGCAGAGGGAGAAGCAGGCTCCTCACGGGGAGCCCGACGTGGGACTCTGTCCAAGGACCGGGCCGGGGATCGCGGCCTGAGCCGAAGGCAGGCGCTCAAGCGCTGAGCGGCCCAGGCGTCCCTCTTAACCGTAATTGATACCAAATTTCCTTCTGAAAATACATAGATTCATTTTCAAACCACGTGTTTGGGTGGAAATAGCCAAGGAGAAAATAAAAACAGATATGATTTCCCCAGATATGTTTTAAAGACGTTCATCAGATTTGTAGGAATGATAATCTTGTTGTATTCTTTACTGAGATTATATGCCACGTACTGTTTTTTTTTTTTTTTTTAAACCATGCTGTTATTGCATCCCCCTTATGTAGAAGTTTATAGCTTTTGACCAGTTGGTTCTTTGTTTCTATGAGTTCGATTTTGTTTTTTTTGTTGTTGTTGCTGTTTTGGGGGTTTGTTTTTTTAGATTCCACATGTGTGATCCATACAGTATTTGTCTTTTTCTGTCTGACTTATTGCACTTAGCGTAATGCTATCAAGGTCCGTGTCTTCCCAAATGGCAAGATTTCATTCTTTTAATGGCTAAAAAATATTCCACTGTATATATCGCATTTTCTTTATTCATCTGTCAGTGGCCACATAACTTATTTCCATGTCTTGACTATTGTAAATAATTACGCAATGAAATGGATATGGGAGAGCAGATACCTTATCCACATAGTGATTTCATTTCCTTAGGATATATACCCAGAAATAGAATTGCTGGATAATATGGTAGTTTGGGTTTTGTTTTATTTTATTTTATTTATTTATTTTTATCTTTTTTTTTTTTTTTTTTTTTTTTTTTTTGTAGTTCAGTTTTTAATTTTGAGTAACCTCCGTACTGTTTTCCATAGTGGCTAAACTAGTTTACATTCCCACCAACAATGCACAAGGGTTCTCTTTTCTCCACATCCTCGCTATCCCTTATTATCACTTGTCCTTTTTTTTAACATTTTTTTTTTTAAGATTTTATGTATTTATTCATGAGAGAGACACAGAAAAAGAGAGAGGCAGAGACACAGGAAGAGGGAGGAGCAGGCTCCATGCAGGGAACCCAATGTGGGACTTGATCCTGGCTGAAGATGGCTAAACCGCTGAGCCACCTGGGCTGCCCTGTCACTTGTCTTTTTGATGACAGTAAACTGTCAGGTGTGTGGTAATAACTCATGGTTTTGATTTGCATTTCCCTGATGATTCGTAATGTTGAGTGCCTTTTCATGTATCTGTTGGCCATTTTTATGTCTTTGGAAGAAGTTCCTCTGCCTGTTTTTAAATCAGGTTGTTTACTTTTTTGTTGTTGTATGAGTTCCCTATGTATTTGGATTTTAACCCCTTATATATGATTTGCAGATATTTTCTCCCATTCTGTAGGTTGGCTTTTCATTTTGATGATGACTTCCCATGCTATGCAGAAGCTTTTTAACATAGTACCACCTGTTTATTTTTGCTGTTTGCATTTGCTTTTGGTTCCAAATCCAAAAAAAAAAAAAAATCATTGTCAGGGTCAATGTCAAGGAGCATGTGGCTCTCCAGTTTTCCCAACACCATTTATTGGACTCTCCTTTCTTCAATTGTATATTCTTGGTACTTTGTTTATTTCTAGGCTATTTTGTTCTATTAACCCGTGTTGCCGTACTCTTATGATTACTATAACTTTGTCACTCTCACTTAATCTTCCTAACAGTCCAATGAAGTAGGTGCCTATATTGTCCTCATTTTCCAACCAAGTTGAAAAACTGAGGCTTGGGAATCCGTGGGTGGCTCAGAGGTTTAGCACCTGCCTTTGGCCCAGGGTATGATCCTGGAGACCTGGATCGAGTCCCAGGTCGGGCTTCCTGCATAGAGCCTGCTTCTTCCTCTGCCTGTGTCTCTGCCTCTCTCTCTTTCATGAATAAATAAATAAAATCTTAAAAAAAAAAAAAAGAAAAGAAAAACTGAGGCTTGGAGAGCTTAATTAAGTTCCATGCTAAAAATTAATTGGTGTGATTGACCATGGATTTTTCTGGCTGGAGGACTTTCTCTTAAATGCCATACTGCCTCCTCAGGCATGCTGGGAACCAGTATCTGTGAAAGGCTTGTTCTTCAGTCTTGCTGTCTATAGTAAATATTATATTCTAATGATGTAACTGTTTACTCAGGAATTTTAATTACATATTTTTCATGTTCAGTTTTTAATTCATAAAATAGCAAGGGAAGGAAGAGATAAGATTTAATTTCTCTTAGGTGAGTCATATGCTAAAAACTGCATGTGTATTTTCATTGTGACTGTTTTTACCGCAGCACCTTGTTTTCCTTGTTTTTCCTTCATTATAGCTGTTCTGTGTGTTCATTCATTAGTTTTGTTTTGTCTGTATTGGCCTTTATTACTCTTCCCCTCCTCTTGTTCACATTTATATTCCCAGCAATTTAAGGTACCTGGTCTAATGATAAACTTTATTTTCATTTTTCAGAAGTGAAAACAGATTCAAAGAAGCTAAGTAATATCCTATTAATTAACGAATCTAAGATTATAACCCAGATCTCAGTTACAACCCTGACTAAATGTAAAATCTTGCTTAAATCTCATTCTTTTACTCATTCTAACAGTATTTTTTGAGCTTGTACACTGTGGTAGTGTTGGCTCCTAACCTCCTTGGGAGCTTCTCAGGTATAATCTGAAACTGGCTTCTGAATACAGAGGGCAGAGAGACCAAAGAAAGGGGAAGGCCACTCCAGCTTGGTAGGCAGCAGTTTCACTAAGCAAAGGAGACTTTCCTACAAAGCTTGTCTTGGGCACCAGAAAGACTAATGGATCCCTGCACCCACCCACCAAATCTTAAAAGCTTATATAGAGAGAGGCCTTAACTGGGTTCAGTCAAGTGTACTGTGCAGGTGTTCTTACCACCATATCATTATCTCAAGGCTAAGTCCTTGCATCAGCCTTGGGGAGCAGGAAGAGCAAACAGAACCACATTCCAAGGGGAGGGGATAAGGAGACATGAATCACCTGGGTCCAGTTTATAGATCAACTGGCAGTTGCATCTTTCTAGTGACTTTCCCCAACAGATAGGAATGAAGGAATGGAATAGGAAACAAGTTTGCTGAGGTCTAGGTCCTGATGCATTGTGGGAAGTTTGTATCTGTCAATCAAGAAATTTAACCCAAATTCTAGTTTAATTGCTCACTATATAATTTTAAGGAAAATTGCTAACACTGTTGTTTTTCATCAGATTTTCTACATCAGTTTTCACCAAGAAAAGAGATGTATGTGATAATTTTATAAATGGCCTTATTAAAGAAATACTTGCCTGGACTTACTTGCTTTCTTCTCTCTGGTTTTATGAGCAGATTTATCTGATCAAAATCATTTCACAGGAATCTTAGATTCCTTTTATAATTGCTACTTCTATTCCCTCTATCAATCAACTTATTTAGATATTACTTCCATTCCCTTTTTTGCTGCCTTATCAAGAAAATGGTAGTTTATTTTTCGGGCATTTATAATAAAGCATGGCCATGAGAAATTTAGCATCCACTGTGTATAACAAATGTTTTGTCTGTTCTCCTCGAGAGGACTCAGTGTGCAGCAAGCAAACACTTGTCTTTTGTGGTTTCAAGAGTAGAATTCAGTGATTCATCACTTACATACATGAGACTCGAAAGATTAGGAGGAATCATTGTGAATGCAGACTTTAAAATAGTCATAAAATATAGATTATTCTTTGGCATAATAGCCACTGGGTGGCTCAGTTGGTTGGATGTCTGCCTTCAGCCTGGGTTCTGATCTCAGGGCCCTGGGATTGAGCCCTGCATTGAGCTCCTTGCTCAGTGGGAAGTCTGCTTTTCCCTCTCCCCTCTGCTCATGCTGTCTCTCTCTCTCAAAATAATAAAATCTTGAAAAATATATACACATATGGATAAGTCTTATTAAGGAAGATAAATATCATTAAATTATTGAATAGAGAGAACTTTACCATCCGGGCTCAATAGTTTCAGATTCATATAAAATTTTCCTATAGGTTTATTTTTTCCATAACCGTACT